CCCGCATTAAATGTAATATAGTTATGGCTCGTACGAATTTTCTTTTTCCTCCATAATAGTCTTTTAATCATTGCGACTACAAAGCTCGGAATATATGGAAAACTTGCGTATGTGTATATGCAAGATTAAGATACATTTTAAGTCCTAAATATTAACTACTTAATGTTTTCTTATCATTTTCTTCCTTGGGATCGTTACTGTTCTTCCTTATCTCTTCGGTATCTCGATATTGATCGGGAGCGTTTGCTCATTGAAATTCAGACGGCCCACATTCGGGAAGTCCTCGCCGATGAAATATGCTAATCGAAAAATCAAAAGTTGAATTATTTTGTAAAAATTTCCAATTTAAAATTAGATTTCATGCTCGAAATTTGTTAACATGCAAAAACTTGGGCGAGCCGGACCGCGTCCGCTAGAAGATACCGACCCGGATGGATGGATGAATGCATAAATAGGCGTCATTAGCATAGAAGAGCCGGGGAAAAACTCGCTTTAATTATTTCGTAACTTTATTTTGTTTACAGGATGATTCGGAATTTTTCAATTAGCTTCTATAATGAGTAGACGCTGGCTCTATTAACGATGGATGTGCCCCCCTTTAAGCCCTCTGTAACTCTTAAACGGTTTAAGATAAAATTATCTTGCACTAGATAGAAGAAGCTACGCCTAATAATTTTCTATTCTTGTAAAATTTTCCAAAACATCATAGTTATCGAGATTTTCGCGTTATAAAATACTCAAAAATTTAATGTTTGTTGTTAACTCATAAACAAGTAAGTAATTACCGCAGAAAACTCGCTTATTGCAGGGAAAATTTCCAGACAATTTTGCAAGTATATCAATGAATGAATGATTGCCCACTCCTGCTGATTCTATAGTATAAGTTCTTTAATTTTAGATGGAATTGCGGTGTTAATATCGGAGGAGCTATTCACTTTGGTTCGGTTTTTTTTATTATTCCTGCGACATTGTGACGATATGCAAACGGTCCCCAGGCAGCAGGAATGACCATAGTTGACGGTGCTGTCCCGCAACTGGGAGTTGTTTTCCATAATGCGCGATAAAGATCATTAATCAACATGCCATGCTCCGGTCAGAACCGTACCGAATTGGATTAAAATAGAGGTTGTTTAAAAAAGACCACACCTAAACCTAAGTTCTTCCTTTGTTGACAAAAACTCTTTATCATTTTATAGAAAAAACTATTCTCTACAGCTTTTATAGAATAAAAAAAATTTAAAATCCGAAATATTAGAGATATTTTGACTTTTTGTAATGCTTACATGAATAAAGTAATTGCTAGTGCAATTCTGTAAAAAACTTTAATTATCTCAAAAACCAATCGAGATAATGACACGAAATTCTTACCATTTTATAGAAAAAACAATTCTCTACAACTTTCAAAGAATCAATGTTTTTCAAAAAATCCAAATTTTCCGAGATATTTTGACTTTTTCTTATAAATACATAAAACGAATCTTAAAGGTACTCTTCATTATCGAACATCTTTTTTATTTATTTTCGATATTATACGATTCAATTACCACACAATCGATTAAAACGCCATGTTCGAAATAAGCAACAAGTATTAAATCTTGCGGTAATGTTTCCTATACGAGCGAATTTCTTCTAGGGAAATTTATTAAAATACGAAAAGCACGAAGGGCCACTCCGCTTGATATTGACAACTACGTCAAAAACACTCTAATTGAACACGAGATATTTCCATTAAAACAATGGCGCTCGCCCGCCCGTTCGAGTCGATTCCTTTTTTGGGAAATAGATGTTCGCCGCCGCTCGACAGAAGCAGACCGAAAAGACTTAGAATTATTTTCCTAATTAATATTTAATGTAGAGAGAACGATGGTTTAATGTGTAGATGCCGCGGCTGAAACTTACGCCCGAAGGTAATGGGAGGAGGCGATGCACGAAAAAGGGTTGAGTTACGTTGAAGATACTTTGTAAACGATTGGGTGTTCTTTATTTATTCATTTATATATGCATCAAAAAGTACATCATATGCTCATTTTTTATGAATACAAAAAAAATTGTAATCAAAAGGCTCTTTGTTAATTTTTTTAATGAAAATTTCAAAATGTTCACTCTTATTTTTCGAAAATCGTATTATATTTGTATAATAAGACTCTTTGTTCATTTTTTCATTCAAAAATTTCAAAATTTTCGCTCTTATTTTTCGCAATTCTTAAAAAATGCATCGAAAGGCTCTTTGTTCATTTTTTTCTTAAAATTTCAAAATGTTCGCTTATTCACAATTCATAAAAAATTGTATCAAAAGGATCTTTGTTCATTTTTTATGAAAATTTCAAAATTTTCACTCTTATTTTTCGCAATTCATATCAAATTTGTATCAAAAGTCTCTTTGTTCATTTTTATCATGAATATTTCAAAATTTTCACTCTTATTTTTCGTAATTCATAAAAAAATTTGTATCATTAGACTCTTTGTTCATTTTTTTTATGAAAATTTCAAAATTTTCACTCTTATTTTTCGTAATTCATAAAAAAATGGTTTCAAAAGTCTCTTTGTTCATTTTTATCATGAAAATTTCAAAATTTTCACTCTTATTTTTCGCAATTCATATCAAATTTGTATCAAAAGGCTCTTTGTTCATTTTTTTATGAAAATTTCAAAATTTTCATTCTTTTTCTTATTCTATGAATAAGATATTCCTGACTAATTAGCGTTACTTAAATTAACCATAATATTAAAAAAATACAGTTTGCATATAATCCGAACTCAACTTGCAACCCTTCGAGCTCCACTCCTAACATTTAACCATTCCTTCATCATAATCTCACTTGCGATATTCAAAACGACCCCGTTTCGCTCGTTTTTTACTCTATTTTTTTCCGGTAATTTCTTTTCCGCGAAAGCCAATCCTGCAGCGGAAGTTCGGCTAATTAGATTCGGGCCTCATCTGGCGCGCTCATCTAATTTCCCCTAAAAGGGTTACAAAACGCTTTGTCCTTCTAACTTGACCGAGATTTTTATTAAGCGGGACTAGACGTAATAGACTCGAGGGGCGGTAATTTTTCCCCATCTGCCGCCGATGCTTCTCGGGACAAGCTGTATACGGTCGAGTCGAGCCTTGTTAGTTCACAAAAATAGAGCCATTTTAATTAATTAGTCGATGGGGTGCTAATAAGGTTTGTTATTTTTCGCCCCGGGGGCGGCGACGACGCCCCCTCCGTCTCCTCTCCGCAAACAGGAAATGAATCTAACTCGACGAAAAATAAGTTAGAAGGCAACAAATAATAACAGATGAACGAAGCCCAATAAATATCTAGTTCTCGTTTTCGTCGGGCGTATTTTATTTTTGTTTGCTTGATCAGAAATTGGATATAATTCGCCTCCCCCGGTGATTTTCCGTTCACTGTTCCATATTATTTGCGACAAACAACTGAAATAACAAATTGAAAAATTAATTAGTTTTAATTCGACCTTTTTTTTATTTGCTCCGTCTTGCTACAAGAGCAAAACGTGTAGTTTAATTTGCTCTATTGATTCTGCAAATAATAATACAACACAGAAATGAAACAGGCTAAAAGATTTATCGAAAATATTGGTATTCTAAGTAGGAACATTCCAAATTTTTAGTAGGTAGATATTTTTGAATTGTTTGAAAATTTGATGAAGTTCTTATGTATAATAAAGGTGGAAAGGTCACTCGAATGGACGTTTCGAACTTCATAAATTTCATCTTCAGTGTCAAATTTGCAATCTGTTGAAGAAGGCCCTTCAACAGAGCCCTTATTTCTAAATCTATGGTAGGAACATTCCAAATTTTAGTAACATAAACTATTAAGGAAATTTAATTAAAAAAATCGGTCGTAATAACAACAACGAAATTCGATAGTACGAAATTAAATCAATTCGAAAAGTAAACTCGCCACATCTATTTCGATCTTCGTCCATTTCGCCGGCAATAAATAATTTCCCATTGGATATCCGTTGTGTAATCGAATACTCTTTTTAATTACCCCATATTCGGAATTACGGATAGTGCGATAGCGATATCTGTTTCGAATCCCATCTGTACTGATGTATCGATTATAATACTTTTCGTTATGAAATTAACTGTGGAATGAATATACACAACGAGCTACTGCTTCGCAGCAATAACACTGATAAAATAAAGAGTTTTATCGCGGCATTAGAGAGCAAACCGCCGACGTTAAGCACGTTACTCGAGCAATGTTGATTGGATAAAAATAATCGGAAAATATTTTTAATAAAAGCGGTCGCGGCGTAGCGGCGGAGCGCGGCTTCCGGGCCGCCGTCGGGCGTCGCGGGCGCCTCCTTCGGCGCATTTATAACAATTTCCGCGTATTATTTCCGACGTACGATCCGAGGCAGTTCGAAGCCGGACAAATAATTTAATTCCGTTCGCAGTTTGACGCCCAATTACGGAGCGAGTAATTGAAACTCCGCAAATAATTAGACTGTCACTTGTCGCGGTAGGGGAGGCGGGCGGTGGCGCCGATGCGACGACGACGTCTTCCCCGCCTGGATGCGGGGGGGCCCGCGTCGGGGCGCTTTCTCGCCTCATCGCCGGTCCCCCGGCTCGTTACGGTTTTCTTGTTAATTCCAAAAGCGTATCTCGTATATTTTCCATGTTTTCCGCCAATTTCTATAATGCTGCGTTATTAACGCAATTACCTCCTATCATAAACATTTACCTACACCACTTTTACACACATTGAACCATTTTTATTCTTAATAACTCGGTTAAGGCTAGAAAGGAGCGCTTCTCCTTCACCCACGCCTTTATTATAAATATTTAACCAGTTTCTCGATTTGTTGATTTTTATATGACAATCATTTTATAATTTAATTTCATAATATGGACCCGGTTGCCCTATTCGCAGTTAATTTGTACACTGAAGGTAAAATTTGCTGCAGTCGAAACGTAGAATCTTAAATTTTTAAATAAAAAATCTCCAATGAATTAGTAATCTATCCAATTTTATTACCTATATAAGTTACAATTAAATCAAAACTCATAGTTCAAAACTTATTCCATATTACAAAATACCTCCTTTCTAAAACAAGCATGGACATTTAATTGTCCAACCAAGGTAATAAGATTTTTTTTAGCTCTTCTATGGGTTTTAAGATGTTCTTGATAAGTTCACCAATTGGATCTTTTGTTTGGGAAGAATCTGTGGTGCTGCTGGTACTGGTTTCTTGTTGTGTCGTATCATCTCCATCTCCATCTGCATCTCGTGCCACCCTGGATTGCGATGGTACACTTTCCGCAATCGTTATTGCAGCGATTAATACTAATAAATCAAATTATAGAATTACTATTAAACCTATTGCTATTACTATAGACTCTTATAGATTATAAATTCCTTTAGTGCGTGGTTTCATTAGAAATTGACTCCTAAAATCTAAACACTTTTAAAAATGAGCATCAGCATTTATTTATTACAGTTCAATCTTCAGCCTTTTGAATAAATTTTTATGATAGATATCTATTTGGCTTTAATAATTTTAGTCGCCTTAAATGTGAATCTGTAATTGTAATTTTTTTGTTGATATTGCATATGTAAATGCTGGTTCAAACTTGATATATTTATATCAAGTATTTCCATAAAATTTTAAGTAAATTGAATTTTTATAATTAAAACACTTCCGATTAAATTTTATCAATGTAGGTAGTAGTCAGTTTTCAAAAAAAAACTCAAATCATGTACAGGGTGCGTTTTGGAATTGCCATAGTTTTAATAATTTTTCTCAATCTGGGTTTGGATTTTATAACTTTTTAATAGGTCGATTAATAGTCCTAAAGGTGTAAATTGCGTATACCAAATATCAAAAAATAACACCAAGTGAGTCAAAAGTTAAAAGCACCAAAGAAACAAACCAAATTCGAAAACAACCGGATGTAACTCTGTTATAAATGGCACAAGACCAATACTATACAGTATGTACGAACTGATCCGCTGCAAGCATATAATGAGAATAATGAGATAGCTAATTTAACTTTTGCTATGTAAGGAATAAAGAGAACATACGAAATAGTCACGCCCGCTATCCCCGCTATTCGCTAGTGGACGAAGCGAAGCGAATTGATGAATTCTAATATCGGCCGGCAACCGATAAACAAGTTTCTGTTCTTTACTATCTTATAGTATTGATTGAGATTCTAATTCTAACGCTTGCAGCGGAAGAATTCGGACACTCTGTATAAGTCTTATCTGATCCCCTAGCTTGGTATCCTCTACATAGAGCTACAATACTGATTTTAATATACATTAAAAGTAGGTACTTACCAAACAGTAATGTAGCAGTGAACTTCATTTTGAAAAGTGCAAAAGAAAGAATGAATGAATGTCCTGCAAGACAGTATTTAAAGGAAAAATGTTTAAGTGTTTAGCATAAAATATACGAAAAATTTGTTAAAATGCAGCGAGGTTTAATTAATTTGAATTTGCATAATTGCGTTGAAATCGTCATAGGATGTTTTTTATGTTTTTATCAGTTTTATAAGTATACCATGCATTTATTTAACCTGAGGATGTTATCAATCCCACTGCGACATGTAGATTTATGAAAAAAATATTTAAAGTTCTTCTGGGAAATATTGTAGGTGACAAATACCTACGTAAATGTCCCGACTTTTGGCATTGCATTTTCAGGACAAGGTTGCTCTTATCATTTCATATAACAAAATCGGTGAAAACAATTATCGATAAAGTACTCGACTCCATTTTCCAAAAACTCATTAAATCATTTTTCGAGGTATATTAATTAATTTGTAACAGCTGCTGTGAAGTAACTTAAATCAATAATATTATTTACAGAATACAAGTCAATTAGTTTTATTAACATAGACAACGCCGGGTTTCTTAGGATTTTCTTATTATTCAAGGAAATTTTTACCTTTTTATATAATAAAACAATTCTCTGCAATTATTAAGGAATCGAAAATTTTCAAAATTCCAAAATTTCCGAAATATTTTGGCCATTTTATCTACTTCTAAGTACTTAAAAATGTGACGTGAAAGCTCATCATAAATTCTCGTTTCCGAGGAATAGTCGGGGCAATGAATAAGACCGTTTTCCCCTGCTCAAAGGTAAAATCCGCCTTATTTCGGAGATGATAGGGACACAACAATCGGAAAATGTGTCGCCAGTTTGTTTTCGACTTATTTCCGCGCTCGGGAAGTTCCTTCTTTGACAGGGTAGTGCTTTAATAAAACTTTCCGAACCCTCTTCGCAAAAAAACTCTACGAAAATGAATGGGAATATTTCCTTCTTTATTACATTTAAATTAAAAAAAATCGTTCCTAACGATAACCTCGAAGAATACGAGTTTTTATCGCCAATAGGTATAAAATGTTAATGAATAAAATAATAAATAATATGAATTAAAGAAAGTAGTATAAACTGATGGTTATTTTTAATAAATTGATAAATTGAAGTTTGTACGAGCTATATTTGAGTTCTTAAAACTTCAATTATCTCGAAAACCAATAGAGGTACAAAAACAAAATTTTCATCATTTTGTAGAAAAAATAATGACTATTAAATTAACTATTAAAGTTTAAAAATTTTTCCAAAAGTTCAAAATTTCCGAGATATTTAATTTTTTCAAGAAGAAAACTAACTTTCAGTGTAGTTCTTTAAAAACATTTCAAGTATCTTCTATCTCGTAATTGATAAGTAGATATATCTGCGCGAGTCGGACATGAATTTTTAAAAAGCACCTCTTCTAAAAAATGCACATCCGAGTTATCTTTGACGGCACGAACAGCCGGAGAGAGAGCGTTAATTACGGGCGAGTTGATTTTTAATTAACTCTGTTTAAATCAGCTTTGCGGGTTAGAAATTTTACTCCGCCGGAAATCTTACTTAGCCATCTCGATTTTATAAACACTAGCCGTTTAGATTTCGTCGTAAAAAAGCCCTGTTTGCCTATTTAAAAGGGTTTTTAATTGCATTTCCCTCGCAATCCGATAAGTACTTATGCACCGGGGATCCTATAGAACCCGGAACGTCTCGCTCCGGATTTTTTAATCAGTATTTTGGTGCTTAAATGGATTGGAGATACTTTTGTAATGTCGTTTCAAAATATGCAAGGATCTCCCAGAGGGTCTCTGGGAGTGAACTATCTGTAGCAAAGTTTTTGAATTACAAAATGGACATATCGAGCTCGCGCAGCGAGAAACCGGCCACGCGACAGGCTCCTTCGAAGCCGTCGGTGACGGGGCAGGGCCCCTTCCGAGCCGTCAAGCTTGTGAAATATTAAAAATCGTCCGGTCGAACGCGAGAGAGGAAACCTCCCGGAAACGATCTACAATTCAATTCACACAAACACACACCATTTAGTTACATTACAAACAATATTTCCGGTTCATTACCGAAGTGTTAAATTCGATGCGGACCGCTTCGAGTCGACGTTAATTTAAATACAAATTTGCAAATTAATGTCGAATGGTAATGGCGGAGACCGGACGGGCGGCATGGCGTGGCACAATCAAGTGCGATAGAGCAGAAGATATTGTTGCGACTCGAACGGGAGGAAGAGATTCGCGTGTCATAGTTCAGGCTCGATTTGTTTTCGGGAAGCATGAAAATTATGAAAATTTTAATTGACGGCTTTTAGTTTTCGATGTTTTAACGGCCTCTCGCCGGCGCCACCGCTCTGGAGTTCAATGGATTATATTTTACACTCCCCAATAGTTACACATCCACCAGAATTTGAATAGTTTCGTTGTAAAGAATGATGATCAAAGACTTTTGAGTAATTTTTCACGCATATTTTGAGCTTTATCAGAGACCGATCTGCATTAGCAGAAACTCAGAGGCTTCCTTTAATGGAATTACGTCGAAATTCTCTTAGTTTTGTGCATTATTTTTTTACACTAGCGAACGCGTTTTTAAATCTCTACTACCTTTTTGCCCGGCTCGCTAAAGTATGTTAATACGCGCATTAAATTTCAGCCGGCAATTTCCTTCCGAGCGAGAACTTATATTACCGTTTCCGTCTTATAGAAAAGCTAAAAGAAAAGCAAAAAAAAAAATAGTCGCTCGGCTACACTTAGCAGGCACTATCGTGACTGCGAAGCGTCCGAAGGCGAATTTTTGTGATGTAGATTTAATAGAGTAGAAGCGAGCTTTCGGGAGTAATTAGACGGCTAACTAAGTCTAGAAGGAATATGGCTGAAGGACGGCCGGGATCGTTGACAGAGTGGCAATGAGAAGCAGGGGGACCTGTAGCGTCCTGTTTAGTGTGATTTCCCCAGAGTGGCATCGATTGGGAAACGCAACACCTACCTGATGCTATTGCACAGCGGCGGGTCGAAAAAATACGCCAGGATTTCGCATTTTTTGCGAAAGATTACTCCATTAAATTGGAATTATTATGCACAAAGTATCTGAGTATATGTATGCAAAAAGTTGAGCAAGTATGTTGATGAAAAAATTACATATTTTTCTAAAATAATCTAAGAATGTGCAAACGTTACTCTCAAAACATGCAAAATATTTAAAATATGCATATAGTAGATTACTCTAAATATGCAAAATATGTGAAAAATGAATACTCAATGCAATGATACTCAAAATTTGCAAAGATCACTCGATATAAGCAAAAAAAAAGCAATTTTTGTATAATCCGAGCTTTATACTGAGGCGAACTCTACCCATTTTTCCGAGACACAATTTAATGGAATACACACCAAGTAAATTTTGAAACATTTTCCATCGAATTGCATTCCTTCAAACTGATACAAAATTCGCATAAACGTACCTTCAATATAATGACATTGGGACTTTTCTCGATATCGATTAGATATCTGTATCAATTAGCACTCGTACATCTCCACCTTATTCCAGTTAAATTTAATCAGCATCTATAGCTTTCCGCGACTATAATTCTAAATTAAAGAGATACCGAAACGTATACAAGAAAGGCGTACCGTCGGAAATTTCTGAATTATGGCTTCCATATTTCGCCCCCGTTCGCCCGTTTCGGCTTATGTTCGCCCAAGTTTGCATGCTGGAGATGCAATTAATAAAATTTAACGATATATACCTTACCTAGGTACGTGTAAAGGCGACAAGTTTCTCTGTGTTTCTTTCATATGGTTTTGCTATGAAAAAACTCTCCAAAGTCGCTTCAAAAACACTGTAAAATCGCTTTAAAACCGCTCAGAAAACTCTCTGATATATTTTCAATTGAAATACTTTCAAAAATCGCTTTAATATCGCTCTATCGCAGCTCAAAACGATTTGAATAGAGTGCTAAACCGCTCTAAAACCACATTGAAACGCTTCAAAATCACGCTAAAAATACGTTTTTTTCAAAATGCTATAAAAACGCCATAGCGTTCCATTTAAGGCGGCTTTAAAATAGCTCTAAAAAGGCACTAAAAATACTCCAAACCTCTAAAATAACTCTCTAAAAACGCTCTATACAATCCCTTTAAAAACGCTCTAAATTCGCTTTGAAACGGTATAAAATTGCTATAAAATCATTTTAAAACCTCTCCTAAACCGGTCCAAAATCAGGGAACCAAAACCGCTCTAAAATATCTTTAAAAGGCTCTAAAACTGCTCATAAATGGCTCCAAAAAAATCGTGGATATTTTTTGCAGATCAGTTCAGTTACAAGATCTTTATTATTACATTAGGTTTTGTTATTCGGGGCCTGCTTGTAATTAACATTTGATGTATCCGGGTTAATAACTTTCGAGTAAACAAGTAACAGCGAGTCCGCAACTGTTCAACATCGGCCGCTCCCACATAATTTCATTATGGGCAGTTTCACGTGACAAGTACAAACAGACCTTAATCGCCCGTAATTTAGTAATTATCGATCAGAATTTTTAATGTCGCCACAGTGACAGTGGCTCGCCAGCATTTTCGCCCTCGTTTTATTCGAGAAGCTCAGTTTCTCCCAAGGAAATCGGGAATTTTATTATTAGAGTATTTATTTAGAGTATTGGGAGATTAATTGAAAAAAAGTAAGTTAGTCGATTTGAAAGGAGTAGATCTTTTTTGAAGAATTCGAGTTCGAGTTGGCTGTAAAAGCCTGTTAAATCCGCTTACTAGAAGTCAATCATAATAATAATTAATCAAAAAATATTTGTTCTATCGAATTTTAATAACAAAAATAAATCTAATTCGAATTACACGTTGCCCTCTGCTATCGCTGGTGAAGTCCCCGAGAGAAACTTAAAGAGAAGTCTACATCTACAGTAGGTAAACTGTCGGTACATTTGAACTACTGAACGTGAGATGGCCCTCGAGACGTAAACCCGAGTTTAGTGTTAATACGTATTATTGTTTTTATTATTAACTATTACCTTGATTAATTTAATATTAATAACTTTCATTTAATTCGACTAATAGAAGAAACGTCAAATATAAATTGATATTGACATTATTGATAGTATTGACATTGACACTAATGACAGTGACATAGCCTATAAAATATTTGTAAAATAATCGTAAACAGAAATAAATTTACTGGAAAAATGAGTTTAACAGGGCGATATCGTACAAGTATCTTGGATAAACCGTTGAGCAAAGGAAAGGGCGAAGTCTCGCTGAGTTGTTTCGCGTTGCTTTTCTCCGAAGTGGTGCAATATTGTCAAAATAAATCGCAAACTGTGCCTGAATTGCAGAACAGGTACCCATTTTTTTTTTAGAAATAGTCGCTTAAATAACTCCAGAATGAACTATTATCGACTTAATTAACAAAACTAACATATTCAAGATAATAATCGCAATATTTAAGCATTTACTTTTAAATTATATGTATAAAAAATATTGTATCTCTGATATTGTTATTCAGCCACTTACCAATTCACTTAATATATAATTAATAACTAATACAACCCTAAATCGTAGATTGCACGACTTGGGAAAACGCATAGGAGTGAAACTCATCGATCTCTATTTCATGAGAGAACGCGGTGGAAAAAGGGAGATCAAATTGTTGAACATACTCCTATTCGTCAAATCCACCTTGTGGAAAGTAAGTTATCCAGCCACTCTGAAACTCTCATTACATCCCGTTTGGTTTTCGCAGGCTTTATTCGGAAAGGAAGCGGATAAATTGGAGCACTCGAACGATGATGAAAAACACGTATTACCTAATGGAGAAAGAACCGATTGTGAATCGATTTATATCCGTACCGAGAGATAAAAGTAGCTTGAATTGCGCTGTTTTGATAGCAGGAATCGTTGAAGCTGTTTTGACTGGTACCGGATTTGTAAGTACTCGATTTGCTTTAATAACAGGTTAAAAGATGTTCAAAGTGCGTTTAGTTCTTTAAATAGATATTAGGGAGTTTTTTGTATCCTAATGTAATCTCCTACCATCCTTGGTAATCAATTTGTATTAATAACATGTTACGTTACTTGTTAATTGGGGTTCAAAGTACGTTTAATACTTTAAATACCTGTTTGCCTTGTGAAGTGCATATAAATGCAAATTATTTGTAATAACTGGATTTGTGAGTAATCGATTTGCATTAATAATACGTTACGTAACTCATTAAATGGAGTTTTTAGTAGTTTATCCATTTAAATGCAGTTTATTTGCACTACTATTTGATCAGTTATTTATTTAAGTATATATTTCAGCCCGCTAAAGTAACAGCCCATTGGCACAAAGGCACTACTTATATGGTCAAGTTTGATGAAGCAATTGTATCGAGAGACAAGAGTTTAGAAGAGAGATAATTTTATTGATTTTCGAGATTATATTTGTGAGTATAAAATTGCTTTTATACGAGATATGCCTGAAATTTATGCAATGAAATGTTCTTAATTCGGTTCTCTTTCAACAGAATTTTGAGATTAATGCATTAAAAAGTTGTTTTCTTTCCATATAGTAGAGTCAAAATATTTCGATAATTTGGGGGCTTTTTTAAATTATTATTAGTAGTTTTATTCTTCTAGAGATTCTTTCAAATGGGTTGTGGGTTTTGAGGTAATGTTGGATTATAGCGATGAATTTTGGGGGACTGGAAACTCGGAAAGTTGAATTCGCTAGTAAGAAATTAAAAATTGTATGTGTTTGGATTTTATGTTAAAAATCAGCACTTAAATTTGTGTTTTTGCATTAATTTCTGGTGATCTGGTGTAGCGGCAATCATTTATTAATATATGTATATTCAGTTTATTATGGTACATTTATTTGTTATTATTTAAGTATTTATAAATAATAGAAATGATATTAATAAAAAAATGACTTATTTTCCTGCTAAATCGTTGATTAATCTAGAAATTTGTGCGTTTATTGAAGACTAATAGTGAGTTACTAATTGATTTACATGTTTATACAGGGCGATTCATTAGTGCGAATATGTCTCATTTATCGTTTCATTTGCAAGAAAAAAGTTTTAATTAACATTAAAGCTACTTTGCACTTGTATTTTCGTCAAATTATGAAACCCCGATGAACTATACATAGGAAAATTACAGCATCATAAAATTTATATCTATGCACATGCAAATGAAAAAAAACACTTCCTTATCTGCGATGTTTCATTTCATTTACTCGTAAATTATTCACTTTTTAGATAAGAGGAAAAATACGAAATTATAAACGTAATAGCACTATACAAATTTACCAAATACTCGTCAAGTTTCCTTTCAGAACTACCATTATGAAATCCGTGAAATTCCTAAAAGAGTTGCCCAAAAATGAACAGAAAAAATTTTTCGAATCATTCGATACTGTTTTCTTCGATATGGACGGTAAGTACCGATTTTTAATTAAATAATACCTACATATATTTATATTTTCTGCAAGCTCGGAAGGGGCCAAGCCCCTTAACTCCAAACGTCCCTCTATAGGCTCTTACATAGATCATTTCGATCGTGTATAGGAACACTAGCATTGTGCTGTAAAGTTGCTCTAAATATGTGTGTTTTTTCTTGAAGATTGATTGTTGACCTGGCCCCTTTTTTGCGGTAGTTAGTCACCCCTTTCCCCATCTAAAAAGCCCCTTTTTACAGGCGTAATTTGGCGCAATTACGACCCGATACCGGGAGCCCCCGATTGCCTGAACAACCTAAAAAAACTGGGAAAGAGCGTACGATACGTGACCAACAACAGCACGAGAAGCTGCGAAAACATTTCGGAAAATCTGAAAAACTGCGGCGTCGAGGCCGATGTATCGGATGTGGTTAATCCGTTGAAATCGATGATTTTCCTCTTGCGAAAATCCAACGTTACCGATCCCATGTACGTGATGGCTCCGAAATCAACTAAAAAAGAGCTGGAGAAGCACGGTTATAAAATATTAGAGGAAACTGTAAGTTCTATTCGTTTGGAGAATATGGGAATTTGTAGTTGTGAGATTCCCTTATTTGGGATTATTAAAACGTTCTATAAATTTTAATAATCGTTGTGGGAATTTGGGATTATGGGATTCCCATTTAGGGGATTTGGGGAAACTTTGATAACTTCAAAAATATTGAAGTTATTTTTTTACAGGCTCACGGGGATTTTGATCAACCCAGTGACATACTTGCTTATCACGATAGCGCGAAAAATCAAAAAATCGGGGCCGTTTTGTTTGATGCAGATTTCAATATTGATTACCTAAAGGTGCAAAAAGCGTATTGGTATCTGAAATACAACCCGAAATGTTTGTTTTTGGTAAATTTGATGGACAAAACCCTGCCGGTCGGACCAAGAGGACCGATTTTAGGTAAAGTTTGTCTGAAGATATTTAGGAAAAAAATTGTAAAAATAAAATTAGTACAGGAAACTCTGCAGGGGGATATCGAATTTATTTTTTTTAGGCTGGCACTATTTTGTTCAATCTGTGAGGGAATTGCTGAAAGTGGATAATGTGGATAGAAGTGATTTTATATCAATTGGTAAACCATCAAAAGTAGTGGTGGATTATATTAAAGAAACTTATAATATATCACAACCTGACAGAGTATTGTTCGTGGGGGATTCGTACGTATTAGATTTTTTTATTCCTATACAATTAAGGTAATCCGGAATTAGGAAATAAAGAAAATCGAGGTCAATTTTAAACATCAAAACGCCAAATTCCGTCGTATAATTTCCTTTATTTCTCGCTCACTCTGTAGAAATTGCAATACAAATACATCATTCTGGAACACAAGTAAGTGTACAAAAAATGTTATAATATATTTTTTTCAGGATTGAAACGGATCTAGTGACCGCCTCTAAGGCGGGTTTCCAGAAACTCCTGGTGCTCAGCGGCACGGACAAGCTGGAAAGTCTGGACCGCTGGCAGTACCCGGACCACTACAAACCTGATTATATAGCCGAACATTTGGGAGATTTTAATGATGTTTTAAAAAACCTTTACGCCTAAAAATATATTTCCAACTCGTATTATGTTGTTGTTTTTTCGTTAATAGTTTAATTCACTGGCTCAGGTGAAGTTTTCCAGCCCGGAAAATTCAAAATTTTCATTGGATCTGTACATACTCTGTAATAGGGCTCAATTTTTTAAGAATTTTAAAAATTTTTAGGAGGTTTAATTAACATTTTTACCTTGAGGCAAGAAGTATAAAGGTTTGATGAAAATGTATTATTACTTGAAAATATTTTATTACTTTTTTTCTCCTTCAATTTATAAGTAATAATAATTTCGCCTTGCAGAAGTATATACCAACAACGCTTAATAATTTAACTACATTTAACATTTCCATAGAATATTTGTGACGAATAAAATTTTTATAATAATATAATCATTTATTAGGATTACTCTTCGGTCTAATCCCTTGACTCCACGGTTGCTTCTCACCAGAAGTAAATAGAGTATTAACAATCATGGCGACCACATTAGCGCACATGGGGATGTAGAACAATATCCTCCATTGATCCTGATTAGTCTAAAAGAGAAATATTTATTTACTGCTGGCCTAATATTTCAATTGATGAGATATAATACTTACTTCGTCGGTGATGAGAAATTGGGCTATGACTGGGGCTATTGCGGCGAAAATGTTGGACGTTCCATTAGAGATGCCCATTAAAATGCCAGAGAAATTCGGCGCTAGGTCCATGCTATTGGCGACGTGGCCGGATTTTCCGGAGCCCTGGCTGCCCGACACTAATATTATCAGCAGCACGGCGATTTTGGCGTCCGTCGCCTCGATTTTGCCCAAGAAATATAGCGATATAGCCGGGATAACAAGACCTAGAAGTTTGTATTAGGTGAATTATACTCCGTTTGCTGTTAGGGGGTAGAATTAAAACATTCTTGAAGCAGTAAATCAGAGGCGAACCAACAAGAATGAATCTAAAGTGAACCAAAAACGATCAATAATGGAATAAAAAAATTGATAAAAAATGTTAAATGTTAATTTTTAAGTCCAGGCTTGAGCATTTTTTAGTGTCTGACAATTTTTAATATATTCTTTAATCGATTTTTTTTTTAGTAAATCATTGGTCAATTTTCAGTGTATTTTTTGGCAATTCTTAATACATTTTTTAGCCGATTTTTGATCATTTTTATCGAGTATTATGGACAATTTTTTATCGATTTTTGATCAGTTTAGTCTATTTTTCAACAATTTTTTAATCACTTTTGATTACTTTTTAGTCAACTTTTGATCAATTTTACACTGGTTTTGGTCAAGTTTTGGTCAATTTTAGACATACCGAAATTATTCATGATCTTTCGGATGTTCGTTTGCCTTAAAATTTTCCTGGATAGGAGAAAATCCGCAACAAATGAGGCGACCAATCCCACAAGAACCTCAAGGATGTACGGAAGAGCAGTTAACAAACTATTCTGGAAAAAATATTACATATATGCTCGGATTATCTAAGACTTTAAAACTCATTATTTATGCACAATATCTTACATAAATATGCACATATTTGGTCATATTTTTGCACAATTCTACCTTTAAATATCAATTATTAACTGTATTAAATCACTTACAGATTTCAAATCGAAATTCATGAACTTATCCAAATAAATGGCGGTTTCCGTAATAAAAGTCCAATGCGTGTAATTGAATGCCACATTAACACTCATTAAAGCATAGAAATGTATCGAAGTGAAGATACTTTTGAACGGTATTCCCAATTCGTGCTAAAACATAATTTCGTTTTCACAACACTCCCAGTATATGGGACACGCTGTATATACTCACCCTATTCTTTTCCAAATCCAAATTCGCTACAATATAATTTCGTTCCTCCTCGCTGATGGTGGAATGCAGAGAAGGATCACTACACCCTATATAAGCGTAAAACCCCAGCGAAATCAAATGCGCCGAGCTGAATATATAATAAGCATAAGGCCATCCGTACGAAGAAGCCGATATGTAACCGGTCAACAGAATCGAGGCGGCCATTCCCACCGGCGCGCCGCTAAACACGAGCGTTCCTATTCGGCTCCTCTCGCTAGTGGGTATCCATTTGCCCAGCAGGGACGAGGTGCAGGGGTACAGGAAGCCCTGCGTCAGGCCCTGCAGCAGCCTGCACAACATCACGCCCTTGGAACCCAAGGTGGCGGCGGCGGTGGGGATCAGAAGGCCGCAGCAGGCGGATATGGAGGAGGTGGCGACGAGGAACCACTTGGCGCCGTAGCGGTCCGATATGTACCCGGCCAGGAATTGGGGCGCCAAGTAGCCCCAGAGGAAGGCGGCCGCCACCAGGCTCTTGTCGTTCCATTCGTAGGTCTGGAATGGAATGAGGTTCTAATAGGGTTTCGATGGGGGTTTCGAATTTGCTTCTGCGGTCCGGGGTTCTAATAATTAAATGATGAGGCTCTGGGGAGGTTTTGTGATGAAGGTTTGATTGATGCGATTGATTTGAAGCGGTTCTCGAAGGTTCGAATTATGGAATAATGAGGTTCTGATGGAGTTTCAGGTGTTCTTGAATCTGCATGTAGGGTTCTAGGGGCTTTGAATAATGGTATCATGAGGTCCTGTTAAAATTCTTGGGGTCTCGAATATGCTTCTGTGGTTTCGGGAATTTGAATAATGACATGATGATGAGGTTCTGCTGTAGGTTCTGAGAGGTTTAAAACTACTTCGGGGATTTTGAGTGGGTCGAATATGCTTCTGTAAAGACCTGTTAGGGCATTCTAATGATGGAATGATAGGTTCTGCTGTGGTTTCGGGGGTTGTAGTGAAAATATAACACTTACTGGTATACTTTTGTCTGGATTCGCCAATGGATTGGTCATGGCGACGATTGCCACGGTCAGTATAGTTCTGGTTAAGAAGTTCATGAACATTACCAGTGTTAAAATGGCGGTTTGAATGTGCCTTTTGCCGAATTTCGGGCCTAAAAATTTATGTGGTATTCATTGTTGTTGTTATTTGTTTCTATAGTCTATTTACCATTATTGATGGGTTGATTATCCGGATTTAGCAGGCTCGTTAAGGCGTTTGGAAAATTTTCTTTTCGATGGTAACCTTCCTCGATGTGTGCCATTATCACTACTTTGCTCCACTTTCAAATTAACATTATTAATTTTAGATTTAAAATTCTTTTTAATCATTTTGCTAAGTAGGTAGCTAAGTAATCTGAATGATAAATTAATTTTTGACGTAAATTTAAACATCCTGACTGATAGACAATAGAATTTTTGTAAGAAATATTTTCTTTTTCGACATTGTATTCCTTATCAATTTACATTGGATTAATAGCTCATTTTTGCATAAAGTAATTATATCTAAATAATTTTATTATGTCAATCTTTGAGAAACGAGAGTAGTACCTGAAAATGACTATAATTAAGTCAAACAATTATTGTTTAATAAAAAATTTAGGAGTCATTTCTTCTTAAAAAAATAAATTATTTGTACAGGGCGATTTTAACTCAATTTTGTATATTGAGCTTTATATTATCATACAGCATTTTGAGACACCTTTGGGGCCTCTAGGATTAGAATACTCGGGAATAAACTTAAAATATTTAATATTTTATTGTAACAAAGATATAAAATAATCCTATTCATAGTATGCAATAAAGGACCCTTCATACAGCATATACTCAGGTTAAAATTAATGTCATCATGACTTTACAACATTAACAAATTCAAAATTGCAAAAATCCTTCGTGCAACATTTTCTCATCAATCTCACATTCATTCCCATTTATTGTACATCAATAAATTATCACATTTGTTTCACATCAATTTTCTACATTCATTACACACATTTTCTACATTCGTCGATACATCGAATTCAATTACAGCCATTAAAAATGGAAGGTTTCCAGTAAGTAGCACTCTCTTTTATATAATAGGTATATAATATAATATATTTTATGTATGTAGAATTTCTTACGAAAGGATACAGAGAATGGCCAAGTTCGTAGAAGTTATTATGGGGTGTAAACCAAGAATAGGCATAATTTGCGGAGCAGGAATGCGTAAGTAACCCCCTTACTTTTAGAAGAAAATATTTTTACAGCATCTTCATTCTTCAGTTTAAGCTCTTCGTGAAATATCATTTGTGTATCCTATATAGGTTTTTTAATTTGTAACTCCAGTTTGCAATTTGTTACAGTTCCAATTTTCGATATAGTGGAAAGCCGAAACGAAATAAAATATTCCCAAATTCCCGGATTCCCCGCCGCCGATGTGGGACCACAGGGAAACGCGTTCGTTTACGGCAACATCGCCTGCATCCCCGTCATAATCCAAACTGATAGATTCATGTTCTACGAAGGCAAGTCCTCGCAACACCATTATAACATACATCCATCGCTCATTCTTCGCAGGTTACACATTGGACGTGATCACGTTGTCGGTGAAATTGTTCTACTTGTTGGGCGCCACCGAGCTGATCGTGCTCACCTCCGCCTTCAGCATCAACCCCAGTTACAAGCCGGGCGACGTGATGATCATGAAGGACCAGCTCAACATGGTCGGCCTGTGCGGCTCCAACCCGCTGCGCGGCCCCAACGACGAGCGCTTCGGCGACCGGTGCCCCTCGATGATCGATTGCTTCGAGCGCGCCGTCTACAAGCACGCCCGCCGCAGCGCCGAGGAGCTCGGCTGGGGCTGCAAGATCCACACGGGCGTGTACGCCTCCATTTCGGGACCCACCACCACCACCGTAAGCCAATTGTCCGGGGTGTATTAAACCGCAGGCTACAATTGTAGCACCACGTTTATTTTCGTTTGTTAGAGGATTATCTTCTATCGTCTTCAACCCTTTCCCTATCATCTTCAACATCGCTGCTACCTCACTCAACCTTTTTCCTACCACCTTTATCACGTATGCTTTCAGCTTTAACCTCTTTACAACCTTCCAGCACCTTTCTTAATAGTCTCAACCTCTTACCTACTATCTTGAACTCTTTCCCTACCATTCTCTACCTTATATCTACCACCCTTAACTGTTTTCATACCACAATCATCCTCTTTCCTGCCACCTTCATCACCTATTCTTGCAGCTTTAATCTCTTTACAACCTTCCAGCGCCTTTTTAATAGCCTCACCCTCTTTCCTACCACCTTCAACACCTATCCTTCCACCTTTAACCTCTTTACAACCTTCCAGCACCTTTCTTATTAGCCTCAACTTCTTACCTACCACATTTAACGGCATTCCCACCAGCTAGCCTTAGCCTCATTGCTACCACCTTCAACACCTTTCTTACCACCCTCCCTGGTTATCCAATCTGTCACCCACGACCCCTTTCTATTGCATGACTCTTCTCGCTAGTAACGTTAGGAATTCCGCAGGCGGCGGAGGCGAATATGCTGCGGATGTTCGGGGTGGACGCGGTGGGCATGACGTCGGTGCACGAGGTGATCGCCGGGAGGCATTGCGATATGGCGGTGTGCGGATTGGCGCTGGTGACGGCGATGGCGCGATTGGATTACGGCAGGTACAGGGAGCCGACGGCGGGCGGGATGGCCGCCGTGGTGGCGGAGAACGTGGCGCCGCTGCAGGACCTGTTGGTGAAGATAGTGCAGTTTATGGGCGTGAAGAGGGTGTGCAAGTGCATCAATAAGGGAGATTTGGAGGGACGGAAGAGCAGGAAGAGTACTATTAGGAGTTGAGTTAATAAAAGTTTGGATATCGTCATGGTGTTTTGTGTTATTTTTAAGCGTAGGCGCGCTGTTTTAATATTTATGTAGGTGGATTTCTCGTGTTTAACATCGGCTCGTTAGCTCAGTGGTTAGAGCACCACACTGATAAGATTTCGCGTGGAGGTCGTAGGTTCGATTCCTACATGAGCCCTTTCTTTCAGTTTTCATTTTTAATACTCACAATTAATAACCTTTCTTTTTTTGCATTTTCGTATAAAATTAGTAGTACTTGCTAATTAGAATTACGTCGTCTTCTTGTGGGTTGAAATTTAATGAAAAGTAAACTCCATAGAAAAATGCGATGTTATTAAAAATAAGTTGTAAATAATGTAAAAAATATATAGAATAGCAAAAAATTAAAAGATAAAGGAAACAAATAAGTAAGTGAAAAGAAAGGGCTCGTGTGAGATTCGAACTCACGACCTCCACAATGTTAGGAAACAGCGTGGCGACTCTTACCAACTGAGCTAACGAGCCTTTCAAAATAGTAGTAAAAGAATACTATTAAAGCTGAATTTTTCTTGCATATTTTATAGATACATCCTTGAACTATAGAGAAAGTAAGACATTTTATTTTTTATTTTGTCTATGCTGTAAACTTATCGTTCCATTACTACTCCGGTGTTCTTTAACTTTGTCCGAATAGCCTAAGCAGCCAAATACTTGAGCCGAAGAAAGAAGAAGATTTTAATGACATTTATTGTTCCATGTCATTCAAATGTCAATTGTCATAAGCTCAAAATTTTAACGGATTTTTGTGTCAAGGTTCGCTTTTAATTTCAGTTCGCTATTTATTTTATAATTTCCACTGTTTTAAGTCAAGTATGTTATTTATTTTTATGATATTAGACTAATTAAAACATTAGGGCAAAAGAATTCGAAGCTCTAATTCTCACTACTAATTTTCAAGGCATTTTTCGTGGCTTTTCATCGAGTTTCTATCGCTTCTTTTAGGAAATTTTAGCAATTATGGAATATTCCACACCGATTGTAACGGATTTACGCCGAAGGACTTTAATAATGAACATGAACGTTCCGAATTTGTCCCCTTTAAGAAAATCCATGTCTGCTAACATAGACAAATCCCTAATGGAAGAATCAGACGATGGAAAAGAACGAGCAGAAAGGAGGGCGCAATTGGAAAAACAACGCCATTTAATGTCCATACAGAGCCCCATCGAAGACAGCCCTGTTTTAGGCAGAAAGTTCGCTTTATACATGAACATGTTCATCGAGAACGTATGTACTTTCGATCGTATTGTATCCAAAAATACACCAAATTCTCTATCCCCATCCAGAAAATCTCGGCAAAGAACGCCTGGTCCGTTCGCATAACGGAAATCCTGTCGCCCTTGTGCCGGAAGAACCGTCCCGATCAGCTCCAAATAGCCGGGACATCTCTGGACATCAGCGCTAAAGTCTTTTCGATCAGAGTGGACAGTACTCATTCTATGGGGTTGAATTTGGCCACCAACATGGTCCGATCGTCCGATAAATTGTCCAATGATAACGATAACGAAGGTACATAAAATTGTTTGGTAATAAATTCAAGTAGGCTTGTTTTGCTGTTAAAATCAAGTAACCTCGATTTGATACTAAAGTCAAGTTTGTTTGTTTTGGTGTTAAAATCCAGTAGGCTTTTTTTATGCATATCGAATTTTTTGTTTAAAAATGCTTGAATTTCTAGTTAATGATGACGAAGGACAAGATATGGATGAAAAACGGGCAAAGCCAGCCAAGGTAATAAGAAAGAAAAAGATCAACATGGGCCATAAAACAACGATAGTAAAGGGCAACAAATTGACGATAGATAAATTGCCTAAATTAGAACCGGTTACTTTTACTTCGAGGATTAAAACTGATAACGATAGTATCGAGGGATTCGTGAGCAGCATTATAAAACAACCGCTTGATTGTTATTTATTAAAGTAAGTTTATTTGTAATAATTCGTTAATTATACAGGGTGTCAAAGATTTTACTAGCAAAATTTCGAATGATTTGCCAAAGTATCCAGTACAATTAATCTTTTCTTTTAATTTATCTTTTAATTATTTTTAGTAACTCGCTGTCGTACTTCAAAGACAAAACCGACAAAACGTTGGAAAACATCGAAAATATCCCATCGAATTTGCTAAAAGAAATAACAATTCAACCTTGTGCTAACAAAGAACTGTACGAATTCATCGAGAAGAACCTCGACGAAGATTCCGAGTGAGTAGTTCATAAAATAGAACATTAATTGCTAATTTAACGCATTGTTGAATGGCCTCGATTCTGTCAATGCGCAGTAAAAGTTGCGCCATCGTACCGGTTAAAATTACAACCATTTAATAATTACATAAATGTTTAGTTATTTTTTTCTTTTAGTTTGACCGAAATGTTGGATTTTCATCGAGATTTGGAGAATTCGCTCGTGCCCGAATTGGACGGTTCAGTGAACACATCTCTGATGCCCGTCGAGGGTTAGTAAAAAAATTATAATCATTCTCTCTTTCTATCATTCACATTCAAATGCACGCAAGCTCTTTCTCTCTATCCCACTCTCCCGTATCTCTCTTACACCCTCTGCATTAAAAATATAACTGATTTGATGATGATGTAGATGATGCCGGAGCGGCCGATGATGTGGACGGAGAAGAAGCAGCTGAAAACGAAGATAGATTCGCCGGGAACGCGGCCGATTGGAAATCCCCGGAAAGGATAGTGGACTTTAGGGCGTTGGATCACGAAGTCAATGGCTTCGCGAACGTGATGCCTTCGGAATATTCCTTTAATGTTGTCAATGTCGAATCGAACGGGCAGTACATCGAGCGTATTTGGGCCGGTCCGAATCATTGGAAATTGAAATGTTTGAGACCGTAAGTTGGGTGTATGTTTTTTTTTTGTATAGAGTGTTAAAGGGATTAAAAGAGTAGAATGGCTTAGAAGGTAAGGGCAGGGTAAGAGATTTAAAAGATTATGTAGGAGTACATACAGGTAGATGCAAAATGGTTTGCAATATGATCCATGGTTGGATGGAAGGCAACTTCCATTTGTTTAATATAATGGATAGAAAGAGTGATATTGTTTGATTGCAAATATCTCGCTCTAACCGATGTTATTTTAATGAGCTCTTTGTTCAATTCGTAGAATGACCATATTGCAAACAATTTTGTGTTGTGCTGTATATCAGGTGAAAATTTGTATGTAATGAATCCAATCAGTTCCAGAAGCGTGGGAAAATTTTCCGGAAAGGAAAACTTGAATCCTGCGGGTAAGAAAAAGAGAAAATTAAAAAATTCGGAAATGGTGGAGTTGAAGTCGTTGGAAGAAGAATTGGCCGATTTCAAACCGATCGAGTTCAATAAAAAGGCGCATGTATCGAAGAAAACCGGTTTGGTTGACGAAGATCAGTAAGTTTATTTATTTATTTATTTTCCATTTAATTATCGCGTAATAGAGTTCTTTAAGTATTAAGAATTATTTTTTCTAGAATTACGTTACCTTTGATGTTATTCACCGATTTGGAAAAAATCAACGACGTAAATTTAATGTTGAAACCGTCTTTTTGTCCTATCTTAAGAAGGCCAACGAATTTCGAAAATGAAGCCAGAAACGGCGAAATAGATAGAGAGAACGATTGTAACATAAATCCCTATAATTACGAAAACCCCGAGGATTCGATGTATTGCTCGCAAGGAGATAATAACGATCATAATGATTATAATGATGAAGATGTAGCACAGGAAGATATCGGAAATTATGCTGAGAATATGGTAGAGGCGCCGGAAATGGTGAGTGGGAACAGTTCCGGACGGTTTAGAATCGTTTGTGAAATAGTTTTGAATTGTCCTGAATGGTTTTGGATAGTTCTGAACAGTTTATAGGAGTGCTAAATAGTTTAGAATGGTTTACAATTCTTCTGAATCGTTCTGTAAACATTCTAAATTGTTCTGACTAGTTCTAAATCCTAAAATTGTTCTAACAAAAGAAATTTTCTTGCAGGTGCAGAAAAACAACATCGGATTCGCTTTGAAAGCCAAAAAAATCAACATGGGGAGATTGAAAAAGTCCATTTGGTCATTTTTGACGGATAAATCACCAGAGGACTCTGACGTAAGCTTTCTCCATCTCTTTTTACCTCCTGTGACCCTTTTTTGCATCTATTTTTTATCTCCTTTTCCCCCTTCATTTCTTTAAAACTGAGTTAACTTTTCTTTCCAGGAACCTGTAGATAAAATGGCCGACGTGAAATCCTTCTCCGAAGTCTACCGAATAATTCCGGATCAATTACCGCTTCAGGATAGAACAAATTGCACGGCAGCAGTGGCGTTTTTGTCGCTGTTGCACTTGTGCAACGAACACAATCTACATTTGGAATCGATGCAAAATAGAAAAGATTTAAAAATTTGCCAAAATTAAGAAATTTCATTTTGTCCACAGTATGTACTTTTTATTTTCTGAATTATATTTAAGCTTTAATTTTTTCTGTTAATTTTCCAAAATAAATTAAGGTAAGTTTTGTTGTATGCGAATTGTTCTTTCTTTGTTTTTCTTACATAAAAGTCACGTGTCAATTGCCGAATAGCCAAGCATATGAGGCCTAAGAAGGAAGAGAAGAAGACTCATGTGTCAATAAAACTCAAACTAACCTCAAAATTTGCGATTCGAATTCAAGTTAATTCAACGCTTATTTGCACTCAATTTTCTACCGTTTAAGTTCATATTTTCACTATGAAGTCTTATTTTAACGAAACAACCAATTCATTTGACGGTAAGTACGTACAAATTATTTAAAATTTACAAAAATTAATGCGTTTGTTTCATTCAGATGAAATCTCAACTACTAATGTACCAAAAAATCACAATTCTGCCAAAAATAGCCAAAATTTCGCCGAAAAACTGGACGAAGAGCTGTTTTTCTTCGATTTAGAAGGGAACAAGTACAATCGAAAGGCTGTAATAATCGACATGCTTGACAGTGATCTGGAAATGATTTATTCGGATGATCAAATTCCGAATGAATCGGAAGATATTAACGATAATAAAAAGAAGAAAAAATTGCGCAAAACCAGAAATAAACACTCAGATTTCCACGATGAAATTACAGGAATCACTAATTCAGATAATGGAGAAGTTTCTCAGAATTCCCTTAAAACTCACAAAGTCCCTTCTTCTGATTGTATTTTGGATTCAATTTCGAATGAAATGGAAAAAATCGGTGTAGAAAAGGGAGAAAAATCAAAGAAGAAGAAGAGGAAGTGTGAAGAAAGGAATCAAAGCGAAAATACAGTAATAATCGATAATGGAGATATTCAGAAGAAATCAAAGAAGAGAAAACGTTTATTGGAACATAACGAGGAATTAATTTTTATTGAAGGAATCGGGGAAGAAGAAAAAGAGAAATCAATAAATGAGAATGTGAACGATAAAAATTGTAATTTAAATAACAATGAAATTATTCATATTGAATATAATGAAAACAATGTAGAAAAGAAGAAGAAGAAGCAGAAACATAAAGAACAATTTGAATCACAAGATAAAAATCGAATTGATATTATACATGATATTTCTGATGAAACTCGAAGAATTTCGAAGAAATCGAAGAAGAATAAAGAACAAAATGACTGTTTGAACGAAGAACATGAAAAGATATATAACGATACAAATAATTCAGAAACTTTCGACGAAATTCTTGATATTCAACAGGAAAATTTAATTATAAATAGTGCAGAAATATCGGAAAAGAAGAAGAAGAAGAAGAGAAAGGATAAAGAAAGTTACACGAATTCCCCTGAACTGTCTCTGAATATTTCAGAGAAATCGAAGAGGAGAGAACTTGATTTAGAAGATTCGAATTATAACGAAAAACTTGATGATAGTTCAAACTGTATTAAAAAATCGAAGAAATCCAAAAGTAAATCGAAAGAAGAATTAGTACATAAGGCGGCTGGAACGGAAAATTTTGAAGAAATTCTTCATATTCAAGAAGGAAATTCAAACATAAATTGTGCCGAAATATCGGAAAAGAAAAAGAAGAAAAAGAGGAAAGAAAATAACACGATTTCCCCTGAACTGTCTTCAGATATTCGGAATAAATCAAAAAAGAGAAAAGTTGATTTAGAAGATTCGAATTATAACGAAAAACTCGATGATAGTTCAAACTGTATTAAAAAATCGAAGAAATCCAAAAGTAAAACGAAAGAGAAAAATTTAAATAAAAAGGAAACTATTCAAATTGAATATAATGAGGTTTACAAAGAGACACCAAAGAAGAAGAAGAAGAAGAAATACGAAGAAAGCAATCAAAGCGAAAATACGACAATAAATGATTCGAATAATAATGGAGACATTTTGAAGAAACCGAAGAAGGAAAAACATCTATTAGAACATAAAGAAGAATTTACTGAAGAAAATGAAGAAGAAAAATCGATAAATGAAATTGATATAAATTATGAATATTTAATTAAAAATGAAATTCAAATTGAATATAATGAGGTTTTCAAAGAGACATTAAAGAAGAAAAAGAAGAAGGAGAAATACGAAGAAAGCAATCGAAGCGAAAGTACCATAATAAATGATTCTAATATCTCTGATAATAATGAAAAAATATCAAAGAAAAAAAAGAAATATTTATTGGAACAACAAAATATCGAGAAAACGGAAGAAATCAATCCTGTCAGAATTAAAAAAGAAGAAAATAACGATAATTCCGTTGAAAATGCCGACGTTCTAGAGGGGTCCAGAGGATTCGAAGAAACTAAAGGAAATTTGAAACAAAAGGAAAACAAAAAAATTTCGATTTTTGGCAGGAAAAAAATGAGAAGGATACGGGATCCCGTGTGGATGAGATTCCAAATTGAAAAAGAAGAATCTTCGATCGACTGTGATAAAAACCTGGAAGGCTGTGAAATTGATTTCGACGAAGATAAAATCTACATGCTCAAAAGAGGTAAATTAAAAATATATTTTTAGATGAAATTAATTACTTTAATTAAATTAGATTAAATAACTAAAATAAAATAAACAATTTAGTACCTAATTAATTTTTTTTCGCTTAATTAATTACTTTTCATAAACTAATTTAATTTCTTTAATTAGGTGACATTGCTTTAAATTATTATACATACTTTAACTTACTTTTTGCTTTATCGAATTTATTTTTGCAAGCCTTAATTACTCGATTTCTTCAATTACAGAATTAGAGTGTACTTATGACGAATCTTCTGAATTAAGTTCGCTCTACATTTCTCTGCCATTTGAAGAAATTCCGGATTTGCACGTGATAAAAAGGGCAAGTAAACCGACAAAGGAACAATCGCACTTGGCTAAATTGTTGAATGCGAAAACTGGGCCTTTTAGTAAAGAAGAAGACGAGAAAATTCGAAGAAATTGGAAGGAATTTTGTCAGGTAATTTAATTACTAGGGTAACGTGAATAATTCTAGTCCCGACAATGAAAGACCGAAATTTTCAGTTGAAAAATTACATTATTCTTCTTGTTAAGTCAAAATCATTGGTTCTAGACAGTTTCAATTGATTTTGAAGCGTTCTAAATGATTCTGGGGCGTTCAAACTGGTTCTAGACTGTTCTAAATAAACAATTCCGCAGCGTTCTAAACGATTCTAGACAGTTTTAAATGGTTCCGGGACGTTCTTAATGATTGTGAAGCGTTCTAAACGATACTAGGCAGTTTTTTCTTTTCCAGAGTCACCATTTGAATTTGGAACCTCGGGTGTTTTTCAAATTCCCCAGATGCTGGCCGATACAGGAGAAAATCAAATTCCTGCAATACCTTTCTCACGGCTTGGACAATCGAGCTCCTTACCGGGTTCACATGAGATTCAAGAAAATTTTCGAGCCTCCTGGACTCAAAAAAGGAAGGTAAATCGATAGTAAATTTACGATCAATGGTCAATTCTATGAGTCGAACGAGGAAAGGTTATTGAACTAACAGTTGTTAGAGTGAGAAAGTTTAATTTTACAATATCACTCGTTCTTTTTCCTTTATATGAGGCTAATGGAAGTTGTCTTTGTTACACCCGTAGACTATATTGCAAACAATTTTGCATCTACCTATACTATTATATGTATTATTTTTAGATATACCAAAGAAGAGGACGATATAATAATAAATTATCTGAGTCGAACGAATTCTTCGAGGCCCTTTTTCGAATTAGGTTTGTTATTAAACAGAAGCAGCAAATCGGTGGAAGAACGACATTATTTATTATCTAAAGATAATAATGATAATAACGGTGATAATAATGTTCAAACTAAGCGAATAAAATGGGATGTCAAGATGGCTGAAAGGCTAATCAAAGGTATAATAACAATTATTATTTATTGGTATATAATTGAAGTATAAGTCAATTAATTCATTTCATAGTGAATTAGAATTATAAAATTGAAGCTTAACAAGTCAATTTATTCAATCAATTCGAAAAATAATATTCTTACAATCGGTTTTTCAAAACCAACTAAAAACTTAATCGAACTGAATTGAATAGAACTCTTATCCATAATCTAGCCTTCCGTGATATTAATTTAATTTAATTTAAAGCCATAATGGAGATTACGAAAACGAGTGACGTCAGCGAATTAGAGAAACTTCGATTGACCGATGTCCAATGGAAAAAGGTATCCGGAAAAATGGCTGATATTCCAGTGAAGAAATTGCGAAGGGCTTGGGATGTAAACGTTTACCCGAAATTGTTCATGAAAGACAAGGCGAGGAAAGTTCAAAAGAGGTTGATTAAAATGTAAGTGAAAAAAGGATGGATAAATTTGGGAGTAGTAATGCCAACATATTTACTGACTTTTGTTGTCTTTTAGTAATATCACCAGATCTAGTAACTTTTCTTTATTTTAGTAATAGATATCAATAAATTTAGTAAGATTTTGTCATTTTAATAACATTTTTAAGTTTATTCTAAATAACTGTTGGGTTTTTTGTGTTTTCTTTTAGTTTAATTGAAAACAATGAAAATGATTTTCGAACGGTATCCTGGGAGAAATACGTGGATCATTTTCGAGGAGTTACTGCTACAAAATTGTACGATTTATTCAGGAGTATGATGCACAATGTGTCCGATTCGATACGAACATCATTAACAGGTAGTTAAAAATAATTCGTTAATTATTATGAATTCAGTAATTTTTTATTTATTTTATTAATTTAATATTTTTTTTTGTTTATAGATGTTTTGAAATATCTTTTGGAAAATATGGACAGCGTCAGAACGACAGCGAAACGTGTTAAATACGAATTCGAAAATGGAAAATTGAGATCCGTTTAAAATGGTAATTGTTAACTTGTTAAATTGGTCACTTGTTGTTTTTCAATTTTTTTAATTATTTATATTAAATAATTATTTTTCAAAAAGCATCCATTAATCTATTTGACGAGTTTAGGATATTTTTTCTATTTGTTATACCTATTTTAAATCTTTTTAATTTAACCTTTTAATTTTCGTTAGTTTTTTTTGACGTGTTCAATTTTTTCTCTCTGTACAAAAACAATTTGCAGATGAATAATTTTTTTCTTTTTTCCTTCATCGAGTCCTTTGTATCGAGCCCATGTAGTAAATTTCTATATTAATAATTTAAGTTTAAACATCTTAAAATTTGAAGAAAATGTTGCTAAAAACTCATCCAACAGAAAAATTGGAAAAAAAATTGAAAAATTATAAACTTTCTTATAAAGTATACACATAAATGTAAAATTGTTTGCAATATGGTCAAATCTATGAGTTGAATAAAGAGAGATTATAAAAATAACAGTGATTAGAGTGAGAAAGTTGCAATCACACTCTTTCTTTTTCCTTTATATGAGATTAAGGAAGTTGTCTTTGTTGCTCCCTTAGACAATTTTGCTTGTAATAATAAGCTTTATATAGCTCAGTCTACCGTCCGACTAGTTTTTGTATACGTAGCTCAATTTACTGTACTGTAACAGAAAATAGCGTGTCAATTTCAATTTTTTTGTAAATAATACCGCGAGATATTTGGAAATCATCGCCTACACATTAGTTATAAATACATAATATAAATTAAACGTATTTACAAGATAATTAGATTTCAAGGACGACGAGCATCGACCGAGACAACAATATCAGATAAATAACTTCATTTCATTGATAACAAAGCAAATTTCTCTCGCTTATAAAAAATATTAAATAGTCAACAAACAACGTTCAGAGTTTGACAAGGGGCAGATAGTGAAAATATTTTTTTATTAGAGAAAAAGTAACTTTTAAAAATGTGGATCGCGTTGGCTTTGGTCGCTATAGCGACGTTTTCTTGGTACTACTACCGGAAAATGAACTATTGGCGGACATTGGGCGTTCCGCAGCCTTCTTTTTTGTTCAACATTGGCCAAATTGCCAATTTGTTCGTGCAGAAAAGGAGTTTCGCCGACGCCGTGGCTTTAATGTACAACATGTTTCCGGATAAGAGGTAAGTGTTCCGTGACGTCAACATCGAATTAAATTGAATACACTATACACAAGAAACGAAATTTCATTTTAAAAAATCCCTGTACGTTTTCCAGATACGCCGGCGTGTATTCTTTCAATTCCCCGATTCTCATGATCAGAGATCCGGAATTGCTGAAAGAACTGACCGTGAAGAATTTCGATCATTTTACCGATCACACGAACGTCATATCGGAGAAGGCCGAGCCCTTGTGGGGAAAAAATCTATTCGCTTTGAAAGGTAACAAAAAAAGCACCATCAATCATTGAAGAGTAGAGTAGAGTTGAGTGGATTTCTAAAATAGTTCAAAATGATTCTGGACAATTCTAAGTGATTTTGAACAGATCTAAATAGTTCTGAAGTGTCTCAAATGGTCCTAGTTCGTTTCTAAAATGATTGAAAATGATTCTGGACAATTCTAAGGTATTTTGAACCGTTCTAAATAGTTCTAAGATAGCTCTAAACTGTTTCAAATAGTCCTAGTTCCTAATTAATTTCTAAAATGGTTCTAAAATAGATACCTGATAGATTCTAAGTAGAAATATGGTTATTAAATTAATTAATTTAACGGTTTAAATTAATGGTTATTAAAAATGGTCATTTCTTCTTATACTCTTTCCATATTTTAGGTAAAAGGTGGCGGGAAATGCGCCCAATTCTGAGCCCCTCGTTCACCAGCAGCAAGATGCGCGCCATCTTCGTTTTGATATCGGAATGCGCGGAAAATTTCGCCGAGCACTTCAAAAAATCACCCGAAAAAACCGTCGAAATCGAATTGAAAGACAGCTTCACCCGCTTCACCAACGACGTCATCGCCACGGCCGCCTTCGGCGTTAAATCCGATTCGCTGGCCGACAAGGACAATCAATTCTACCTCATGGGAAAGGAACTGACGAATTTCAGCGCGGGTTTCCTCTCCACGTTGAAGCTCCTGTTTATCATCGCTTTTCCCAAAGTAATCGAAGTGAGTTGTCCGCGTTTTTCCTGGCGGGATATTCACATTTCTCGCAATCGCAGGTGCTGAAATTGAGGATATTCAAAAAGGAAGTGGCGGATTTTTTCGTTAAGACGATAGAAGAAACGGTGGAGACGAGGAAGAAGATGGGCATCGTCAGACAGGACATGATTCATTTGTTGATCGAAGCTCAGAAAGGATTGTCTGAGAACAATAAAGAGGCTGAAGTGGAGGATGAAAGTTTCGCAGCTCAAACCGAATCTGATTTGGGCAAGTATATTCCTTTTTACCATTTATTTGGGCTCAGTTTACCGTTCGACTAATGTTATATGGATCAGTTTACCGTCCCTCTAGTTTTCAATAATTCATTTTTACCGCCTTCTGTATAATCAATTGATTAATTAGTTAAAATTTAGGGAAAGCGCAGACTGTTCAAAAGGAACTGACCAACATGGACATCGCAGCTCAGGCTTTGATATTTTTCTTCGCCGGTTTTGAATCCGTTTCGTCTTTGATGTGCTTTATGGGATACGAATTGGCGGCTAATCCGGATATCCAGGATAGATTGCGTGAGGAAATTATGGATACTTTGGACAGCCATAATGGAAAATTGACCTACGAAGCTTTGATTAAGATGAACTATTTGGATATGGTAGTATCTGGTATGATTGTATAGTACGGGCATTTATGCTAAAAAATTGCAATTATCCCGAAAAATAATTGAGATAAAAGCAGCCGGTTTGCTTTAATTTGTAAAAAATACTTTTCTCTGCAATTCTTAAAGTGTCTGATATGTTTGAAAATCGCTTAATTTTTGAGATATATTTTGAGTTTTTACTTGATTGTATCGAAATTAATAATTTTAGTGCAACTCAAAAATCGCAATTATCTCAAAAAATAATTGAGATAAAGACACCCTTGCTTGTTTTATTTTGTAGAAAAAACATTTCTCTAATATTTTTAAGGAATCGCGAATTTTCGAAAATCGCTTAATTTTCGAGATATTTTGAGTTTTGATGGATTCAAATATCTCAATATCTTAAATAGATCACCTAATAGCGAAAGAAGTATAACTAAAACAATTTACAGAGGCCTTGAGGAAATGGCCATCAGCCGGAGCAGTTGACAGGGAATGCACCAAACCGTACACCATCGAACCAAAATTACCCGGGGAAAAACCGGTACACATGCAACTAAAACAAGTCATCTGGATACCAATATACGCCATACACCGCGACCCCTTCGTCTATCCAGACCCGGAGAAATTCGATCCGGAACGGTTCAACGAGTACAACAAGGACAACATCAATCCTTACAATTACTTACCGTTCGGAGCGGGTCCTAGGAATTGCATCGGTTCCAGATTCGCCTTGCTGGAAATCAAAACCGTTTTCTTCCATTTGCTGGCCAATTTCAAAGTGGTTCCCACCGAAAAATCCCAGATACCGCTCAAGTTGGCGTTGAAAAGCTTCAATTTGACTGCGGAAGGCGGTTTTTGGTTCGGTTTAGAGAAGATTAATAATTAAAATGATGATTAATATAATATTAATATTACAGGTTGAGTCGTTTCTATTACATTATTTAGGGATTATACATGAGAATTGGATGTATATGATTCATCCTGTATAAGTCAAGGTTAATTTTATACTGTTCAGTTTACCGTCCGACTAGTTTAACTATTAGATAAAAGGTTAATAATTTGTCATAAAAATTATTCATTTCCATTATGTTGTTTAAAATAAATAGAAAGTAATGAATATCTTCTCTTTTGTTGAAAAAATAAGTTTCTACAGTTTACAAGTACATGTATAAAGAATTAAACACTTCAAAAAATCTGAATACTGAAAATTACTGAAAATTACTGAAATACTGAAAATACTGAATAACACAATAGTACAAGGCCAAATTATTTACAAAATTAGAGGGATATTTTTTTCTCCATAAATTATTACCTAAATAGAATTAATAATTTTTTAACATTCAAATTTCTTAAAAATAACTTATTTTTTAAACATCATTGAAAATATTTAATTGAAAAAGAGCAGTCGGCAACATTGTAGAATTCTTTTTTATAATTAGACACAAACTAATGGCCGAATTGACATTTGACACTCTTGACACATTGGTGGCAGCATTGTTCTGTTCTACAATAAAAAAAATGTTTTTGTGCTTGTACCGAGCGATGTACGAATTGGAGATAAATATTTTTTTTTGAATTAATGTAATTTATTAGAAGCATCCGTTGAATGCTCGACTATAGTGTTCGCAAAGTGCCGAAATCAATACCGTTTTAAATTTAACGATATCGCCCCAGTTTAATTCACTGTGATCGGCTAACCTCTGCACCGTTTGAAATGGCGCTTAAAGTGTGGATAGTAGAAGTGTTTTCGTTGAACGAAAACCACCAGACGATACCGAAATACAACAGAAAGGTGAAACTGAGAACGGAGTACGATCCCCAAGGCATCAATTTGAAAATATCGGAACTGGACGATGCCAGTCAGTTGCTGGAGTTTCTAGTATGTGCTGATACAGATTGTTGCAAAGTGGGTACGTCTGCGTATCTATTCGCCATCGAAAACGACAACGTTCTAATAAAATTCAGCAACAGAGACGAAGCCAGATATTTTACCATAGCAATAACAAAGATCAAGTCCGGCAAAGACGCCTCGATATTCTCCGTGAGGACCGAGGACTCATCTGCAGCACAGTATTTTCAATTTTATGGTTACTTATCGCAACAACAGAACATGCTTCAAGATTTCGTGAGGACTTACACGTATCAAAGAGCAATATTATGTAATTTAGAGGATTTCAAAGACAAAGTAGTTTTAGACGTCGGTGCAGGTTCAGGTATTTTATCATTTTTCGCTGCTCAAGCCGGTGCGAAGCGCATTTACGCCGTCGAGGCCTCCACGATGGCCCATTACGCACAAAAACTAGTGGAAGCCAACAATCTCTCCAACTCCATCAAAGTCATACCGGGCAAAATCGAGGAAGTCGAACTGCCGGAGAAAGTAGACGTGATCATATCCGAACCCATGGGATACATGCTCTACAACGAAAGAATGCTAGAATCCTACTTAAACGCCAAAAGGTGGCTAGCGCCCGGCGGCAAAATGTATCCATCCAGAGGAGACTTGCACATTGTTCCTTTCACCGACGATGCCCTTTACATGGAGCAATACAGCAAGGCGAATTTTTGGTTTCAAACGTGCTTTCACGGCGTTAATCTTTCAGCGTTGCAAAATTGCGCGGTGAAGGAGTATTTTAGGCAGCCCATAGTGGATACTTTTGATATTAGGTGAGTTAAATTGAATTTTTAAAACTAGGCCTTAACCAAGATAGGTTCAAGCCAAGGTTCCGGCATAGAGAGGCCTCTATGAATAATACCAATAACATTGTCTAAAAGTTCTGCATTATTTAATTAGACCACAATTTTTAGAACTTTTGAAACATCCCTCGTATATTCCACTGATCTGTTTGGCTTATTAATTTCTCTCGACCTTTATTTACAATAATAAAATATTTATGATGATAATTTACTTGTTACTGTTTTCGTTATTAATTGTAATTTACTCTGCCGGGCAATTATCTGTGTAATTTTTATTATTGAGGTTTCAAATGTTAATTACTTTCGACTTCCTTGAATTATGTTACTTAACCATTGGAAGAAAACGTTTCAATTTAGTTTGTTTGTACTTGATTAGGGTAATTAATACATTTTTTTAAATACTATTACAATTTTAATTGCAGAATCTGTATGAGCAAATCCATACGACACGTAGTAGATTTCTTAGAAAGAGACGAGACTGAGCTTCATACAATCGATATACCTCTAGAATTTCACATATTAGAATCGGGCACTTGCCACGGTTTGGCCTTTTGGTTCGACGTGGCTTTCGCGGGATCGCAGCAAACCATTTGGTTGAGCACAGCTCCGACAGAACCCCTTACTCATTGGTATCAAGTCAGGTGAATATACCGCATTCACGTTAATCAATATTATACTAATAATCGAATTATTTAGATGCTTATTGGAACAACCTCTCATGCTCAAACAAGGCCAGGTGTTGACGGGTAGAGTGCTACTGGTGGCGAACAAACGTCAAAGCTACGATGTGACCATCGAATTGACGGTGGAAGGTACTTCGCAAACGTCGCAGAACACGTTGGATTTGAAGAACCCTTACTTCAGGTACACTGGAGCGCCAGTCCAACCGCCGCCAGGTAAGAGAACAATCAGTCGAAGGCACTATACCGGTTGTCCCATCGATAATAAGAGAAGAGCGCTCGAGAGAAACTCGTTTCGTAGAAGACTCGCACCTTCTCACAACAGAGTCGTTGTTAGGAGAAGCCTGAAGCGACTCGAAGATTAGTTAATTTAATGTTACTCGTTACGAAAATATATTCAGCACGTTCTCGAATATCTATAGTTTTTTTCGAAAGATATCGCGAAGCTCGACGACGATACTAACTGGTTTTCCGGTGGTGTGATTTTAGGAGTATCCAACGTGTCGCCGAGCGAGAGCTACTGGAGCCAGTTGGACGCCCAGGGAGTCCGAAACGCCGTCAACATGGTCAACGGAATGTCTGTTAACGGCCTAGGCGAGGTGTCCATGGACACCACGCAAACCCTGCTTAATAATAATCTCATGGCCGCTAATAATCTGATAGCTTTGGTGGATTCGCAACACATGGCTGCCGGTAAGTAGCGCTTTGTATTTACAACGTTTGATTCTATAGAAGGGCAAACTAAACAAAAAAAAAGGTCTACTAGAATCACTTTGATTTTTTTTTTATGCGTTAGGAGTTTAATTGGCCGAGTAATGGGAACGTTCGTAACCCCGAAATTCGTAGTACTTTTTGATTTTTCTTTTCTTTTTTATAGATGTTATCAATGCGTTTGCTATTCCGTACAACAATCGATATCTATTTATTGAGTAAATTTTTCGTAGATCAATCTACAATCATCTTTCAATTTTAAACAGCAGACGGTACGCAGCCGAACATCCATCCGGGCTGCATATCGAGCACGGGCAGGGGCCGCGTCGCGGCCAGTCCGACGTCGACGCACACCGCCCAATTGATAGGCGGCGCGATATCGCCGTCGTTGTTCACGTCGCCCACGCACGCCCAGCCGCCGCAGCAGCAGCAGCCCCTCGTCGTGGGCAGCTATCCGGTCAGTCCGAATTTGATGATCGGTGATTACGTGAAACCGGCCATCGGGGTGGCCATGCCCGCCGTTTATCGCCAGTAGGACTCGGTAGATTTTAATTTATTTGGTTTTTTTTTTTTCGTTTCGTTTTATTTTCGTAGTAATCGCAAGTATTTTGACGGTGTGAATGATGAACCGGTAGATGAGGTCTGGGTTTTGATTGGCTGTTAGGCTCATCTAGTCGAGGACGATTGGCGCGTTCGTTTCGATTGCTTTTAGGGAAACAAATCTAGTAGTATTAGAAGAGGAAATTCAGACGAACATCGTGACGGGATTGTAATTGTCGCGAATAAACCGAGTAATGGGCGTTTTTTTTTTAAATAATTATTCGCTTTTAGAGTCGATCATAAACAGGTAGAGGCCGAAATTCTGTGGTAATTATAAGATACGTTTAAATTGGCGGTGATTAAAGTTTTTCAACTTTTACTGTTGTCGGGAGTGAATTATTCACGCTCCGGCAAACTGTGAAATTGATGCTATTAAAATTAAGAAACGGAAACTTTTCACGATTTTTCATTAATAGCTCGTACGTCTAGGAAAAATAAATTAATTCGTCATTGAGTACAGACTTTAATCACTTCGATAACTCTACATTTATGAATATATCGCAATTACAATCCATGTGAATGGAATTCATCCGGTTCGAATTTTAGAGATAATACGGGTGGTTCTCGTTCCCTATTAGTCGACTTTTTTTGTATACAACTATTAAATTGCTCATGTAGAACATTAAGTAGGTATCTAATTCATTTGAGAATATCGACAATCTATCGGTGTAAATGTTTTTTGGGACGTATACCCTGTAGGTTTCGTTGATTTGAATTCGCCTATATTTTTGTAGAGCTATAAAAATACTTTTTTTTTTCGTATGTAAGTATACTTTAAATTGTGTGTTTTTTCGAATTCGTTTTTTCTAAACGATCCAAAGATTGCGGTTTTACTTACATAAGAGAATCTCTGGAATAGCTAATTTTTTTGAGTCGGTTTTTTTGTAAACACTCGCGCATTGTTTTTTTGGTTTTTGTCAAGCTCGAAAGTTTTTTGTACATATCGATTTTTAAACGATTTAATTTTAAGACTTATTTTTTAGTTAAGCCTCAAACGAGCGATTTATTTAATTATTGTTTTAAATTTATCAAATGAACAAACGAAATATAAATGTTACAGAATGTGTAAACAGCGCATGCGTATTTTTTGAATGACAGTTTTAGTTCAAATGCCTCTTATATCGATTCTTTTTTATCGAAACATCACCGTTTAAAAAAATTGCCTGCGGGGTTATACAAGTATTAAGTAAGAGTAAGTTATAAATTCGTTTTTATTTCTCATCATCGCTTTATTATGATTGTATTGTGAGATTATTGTGGTTTTCCGATGAAAAAATTGTAGAACAGTCTTATTAATAATTAGTATATTCAAAATAACGTTATTTTTTTGTACCTTGTCCTTTCACTCCTAAATATTCACGAAGGTTCAATGAAAACAACGAGAATCATTAAGACATTTATTTAACAACCAAATATATCATCTGTAGCTTATAAAAAATATTCAATCGTCAAGAAATATAAAATGTATGGGAACCAAAACGATATATTTCACATATATTCGTTTTAACAAAATAGTTCTGTAGAAACAAATTCGTTAAACATTTCTGTGTAGAATTAGCCAACAAGCGTAGGTAAGATATACTTTTTTTCAGGAAAGAACATTAACTTCAATATACTCTACGTTTAGGTAAATTGTAAATACGATAACTGATTGATTAAGTGCCCGAATCACATAGTTATTTCTACTCGCAGGCCAATTTAAGTTTAAAAGTATATGAAAAGTCCATAACGAACTCGCAATCAGCTTTTCTAAGTAGAGAATTTCATTCGCACTAAAAGCTCGTGTAATAGATAAACATGCTTGAAATTTAGAGTGCACATGTGGTAGCTTAAGTTCAACAATCTAGCGTTTAAAGTGTGAAATTTTTAATTTAGAAAATCACGGCTATTATCTATAGTAATGATTATTCGAATCATTTTCTTCTAACAAATGCTGAAGAAAAGTTTCCTGGTTTTAAAGGAAGAAATAACCATGACCACTACTCAACATTCAAATATTAAGCAAATATAAATACAGGAAATAACATACTGGGTGATTTTTTTAAATAGTTTCCACTTCCCTGCACATTTTTTTTCTGTAAAGGAGCCAAAACTCGTCAATTTTGTTTTTAAAGGGGATATTTAACTAGGGTATTTTCAATCTTACTGGTTCAATCCTCTAGACAGGGTTGCTAAAGTCCTATTTAAGGTTTTGAAAAGGTTGTGAAACAGCAAGATTTAAACTACCCTGGATGGAAACCTTCAAAAAATCACCACGTGCCTATAGGAAATTAAATAGAAAAGCACTGATTGAATAAACAATCAATTCTGTGAAAAGCGAGAAGAAAACTTTATCGATGATTTAATTTTTGGTAGAATCAGAATTCACAGAAAACATCACAAAGCGCTGATACATCACAGGAAGGATATGTAAATAGTTTTAACAAAAAAAGACGAGTATTACACTCGGATATAAAAAGTCCAATAGCAGCGTAATAATTTTAAAGTTAATAAAAATCCGCTATTCGCATAATTTCTTTTAAATTACAAGGTTTCGTGAAGTAATACTGATTAATTCGTTTTATTTTCACATATGATTGGCGTTTGGCATAATTACGTAAAAGTTTATATCAAAAAATAATAATTATAATTTATTTTACTTTAACTTTTAACTAGGCAAAGGCCTGTTTGTATTAAATTTGCGAACAGGAATTAATAAACGCTTTTATTCCACATGCATATTTCAACTTTGTGCAATTTATTTGGCATAAATAGATAAATTACCGTCGAAAAATGAGCGGTTTTTTTATATTAGAAGAAATTCGTTGATAAATTCACTTATTCTAATTAACGTCTTATTTATGATATGTAAAATGTTAGAATGAAAAACATCAGGTAGCGATTACAACACATTTCCGCTAACTAGACAAGAGCTTTTTGTGAGCTTTGACTTCATTAAAATAGATTTCTCACTTCACGGGTCATTCTAACAATTTTTAACATTTTAAATCCATTTAAAAGTGGTAATGTTTAATAGGTTATATACTTTACGTTTTATGTAGAACTTTTTTAAGTGTAAATATTTATATTACTGATATGCCAAGCAGACTAATTGATTCAGAAATACAAATGCAGCAACATTATAAATTTAGTCTTGAAATTGGTGTCACACGTATATATTTATCCTATTTACTATATTATAGGTAGTCGATTTTGAATGATTAGTTTAACGCCTATAGCACGGTTTCATTACAACGGTAATGAAACCACCGAAGAATAACACGTAAGTAACGCTATGGCTAAAAAAAGTAGAATTTCGCCTCGCCTATAAAAACTCCATTCGATTATTTTAGCTTTTGTAAAAGGACTCGATCGTTGGCAACAAGTTTTACATAAGAAACGGAATAATAAGAGTAAACAACCGTTTGCAGTTAATTACAATCGGCATTTTATGTAGACGATGTCGATGTGGCTTCCTCCTCTTGATTGTATTTTGCGATTGTTAACAATATCATCGTGAGCTCCTTCTTGTTCACCTTGCCGTTCTGGCTGTAATCCACTCCTCGCAGTATGGTTTCCTCGAAGTCTTGAAGGTCTTGAGCGTCGTAATCCTAAATAAAATTTGGAATTTTTCGAATCCCGTCGAAATTGTCCTACTTACTTTCTTGACTAACTCCAGCAGGTCTTTCAGAAATCCTCGCAACTCCTCGTTTTCGATGGTTCCGTTGTTATCCTGAAATATTCCCGATGTGAATGGAGGAAGAAACGAAAAATTTATTGCTTACCCTGTCGTAAAGGGCGAATACTTTTTCGATATCGGCCCTAGTGAGCTTCGTGGCGCCCTAAACAAATCAAGTAGTCAGTACAGGAAAAATACAATAATTTTTTATTAACTTTTTATACGATTCAAAGTGTTTACAGCCTTATAAGAAGTCGATTAATCAAATAATGGATGTAATGAAGTTGTTATTTGTAAACATTTACGTACAACAAAAGTAATTCGTATCACGAAATTGATCAATTCAATATTGTCGAAGGTCAAGAGATACAAACAAAGGCTTATTATACTTTATTTGTTGTCTAGGTAATTTGGGATATTAGTTATAAAAAATGGTGTATTGTGAGTGATGAGTGAACATTTTTTTAATGCGGGTTAATTATCGCTAACGTGCAGTGCATAATCAACTAACTACACAGTAGGAAATGAATTTTATAGGCTCCAGAAAGCTAAAAGTAAAGTTACTTACTTCGATACCACCCTCCTTTCGGTGTGTCAAGCAAAAGAAGACAGACGAACAAAAGCCGTGCAAAGTGTTAGTTTTTTTATTAATTTTTAATTTTTTTAAAAATAATTAATTTGTAACTTTTAGCTTTTCCACTCTGAAAAATTTTCAATTGTTCTCCAACAGCAATTTCTCTTTAAATGCAATCTTTTCATAACACATTGAACATAAATCGATAAATAATTGCCGGGAAAAGTTGCTGTTACGAAACTATAAATGATTTAATTAAAACTGATACTTTGTCGTTTTAAAGTTCAGTTCGATTTTTATTCGCAGTTTTAGCTCTATGTCGTGGTGCAATAAATATTTTTCTAGCGATAGATTTAGAGACGTACAAGTGAGAGAAGACTTCACATACTACTTGGTGTTGTGTTTCATACTACTCCTTCGTATTTATTTAAGGCTAATAATTAGTTTTTTATTAATTAGATAAATTTTCAAATTAATTAGATGGTCATTACACTTGATTTAACGTCTGATTGACCTTAAATCATAGATAAAAACCAACGTTATTTTTTGTAATCTGAAATCGATTGTATAACCAATAACTTGGCATTAATTTTCATTCATGCAATTACCGAAATGGGAGAATAAATTAACTGTAGCTTACCTTAAATACTTGTCTGCATAGGAAATTTTCTTTAACCGGCAGTAATCTGGAATAAGACATTTATATAAAAAGTAAGTGCTCGATTTAAAGCAGAACAATCGCTGAATATAATCGCTCCCACAGTGAGAGAGTCACTTAAAACCGTAATAAAATATGTATTTACTTTGCCATTTCGGATAATTGCAGTCGACCGTCTTTATTGAAGTCGAAAACTTGGAGCTGAAAAAAAGATATTTACAATGAAAACTCTTTCATAACTCCGACCCCGGGATAAAAAAAAATCTCTCCGTAAGGAGCGAGATCGTTTTATTTACCATTGTGTCCGTATATTCGATAAGTTTGTCTTCTGAGACGTCGTTCATCCTTTTCGCTTCTTTCAAAAGGTCGCGCAGGAAGTTCTGTTAAACATTTAAGAACGTAAAAATGGAGAAAAAAAATCTTTTAAAGATCGTCGGGTATTCCTTTAAGACTTACTTTCAGTTCGTCGGCTTCGATGTACCCGCTTCCGTCTGTATCGTATTCCCTCCATATCTGGAATTGAATTTTTATTGAAACGTTTAGAAAAGATAATTGTTTTTTTTTTCACCTTCATGAATTCCACGCTGGATTCTAAAGGATTATCGAATCGAAACAACAGCAGAAAATTCTCCTCCATAGGCAAGAGTTGAGCGAGCTGTAAAAATACACTGTTAGCATTTATATAGGGTTAAATGGAATAACATGCTTCTCTTATATCGATCTTTCCGTCTTGATTGTCGTCGTACGCCTCCATGAAGCAGGATTTCAATTCTATTAACATTTCGTCAGACACCACCTACAGGGTACGAATTGGGTTAATAACATATTAAATAAAATGATTAAATAAGTTCACCTCAGGGCCGACATCCGACACATTAGCACTAGACACGAACTCTCTTAAAAACCCATCTAATTCCACTCCTTCGATGTACCCGTTTCCTGCAAAGAATTCGATCTGTTCAGCCCAGCAGGAGGAGTTTTCCTCTCGAATTTAATGTTTTGAAATTGTAAATTTCACTCACCATCTTTGTCATAATGGCTCCAAACCTCCATGAATTGATTAGCCGACAGTTTTTTCAGTTCCCTCGACTGTGGATCTCGGAATTGCCGCATAAAGTTCGTCGCCTTTTCCAAATTCAAACGCTTGGCCGCCACCTGATCCTGCGAAGCCATTTTTCCTGCAAACGAGTTTTGCAATTCAGAAGGGTCTTAGGGCGAGCGAGCGAAATTTCTCATAATATCTAATAGTACAGTAAATGTGTTTACTTATGCTAAAATTCCATTATTACTTTCTGCATCTATAAATACACCGGATTCTAGTAAATTTGTATCGGTTTCACAATTTACCGGAGCGGTTATTTACACTACTTGTAATCACAACATCGGAAATTTATAAATAAATGATTCGAGTGAAATTATTAGGTATAAACAGTAGTAACAACGAACAACCTACCTGGCTTTAAACGTTTGACCAAAACAATTTTGACATCGAATATATTACTGTTTTGAAAATTATTCGCTCGAAACTATACGGTATATCCGAGATAACGCCTAAACATAATAAATTTGTCTGTTTATTATCACATTTAAATATAACTTTAATAGAAATTCAAATTGCTTTGCATAAATAATTTTCAGACGTCCGCAGGAATGATATAATAAATATTATGCATATCTGTGATTTAACACAAAACTTCATTCAATATTTAGAGTACGTGTATCTATTATTAGGAATTACCTATGCACTGTGCAGGTGAAAGCAGGAATAATTCCTGTTATAAATTATAACAGATTTCGTACGGAATATTTTAAATTTCTGAGTGCTTCACTAACTCACCTCTTTTTAGCATTGATATTAATTTCCTTTTTCTACACATCGTTCCCACCTACATTTCAGATAATTTATATTAAACTGGGCAACAGAATATAAAATTTAAGTACCTACATAGAGTTATGATAGTGATGTTATCTACGAGAAAATTTTATGTATCCGTAGGTAACTGGTAAAATTTTTACGATCGACTAGCGTATTCGAGAGCGTATTTACTCCAACATTAAATTTAATAATTAATATCTTCGAAGCAAAAGTTTTAAACGAATATGTCATCGAAGCCACCAGCGTATTTAATACATTTTTAAACGTTTAAAGTCTAATTAATCATTCAGCATCATAATTTATTAACGAAGGATTTTGATTAAAGATCTAGGCTGTACGAATATGAATGTATTTAGATATTTTACAGTGGATTGATCCTCGGTTCTAGTTTAGTATTGACTACTTATTCATAGAAATTATTAATGAAGGGTTTCTCGTAAACGAATACACATGGATTTTTTTTCTTACGTTCATGCTACCTTTATCTTATCAATGTGAATTTAACGATTCAAATCGATTGCATGATGCTAATAGGCTGTTACATTGAACGAATTAAATTCGATTTTTTAATGTTATAGATAAATGCTTTCAACATGACAAAGCATTTATTATAGGTGTAAAATAATAATTAATAATGGCAATTCACGAATCCATTTCTATCGTTCATAGATCGCTTTTTCTTAAAGACTTAAATGAAACAACGAATTAAATATAAAATGATTTAATTGAAAATGCCTAGTTATTCTACCACACCTTGTGGGTGTACTAAACCTATTCGGGCAATTCTTTCTAGAAATTCCTATCTCCTACAAAAGTTGTGTTCCTTAAATAGATACTGTGAAATATTAAATACGTAAAAATTATAAAAATTTAATAGCTAGATTAATCATTTAAAAATTTTTGAGCATTTAAAAAAAATCCTCTTTTACTTGTAATATACCTAATTATTTCTATTATTTTATTACTGTAAAATGAACCAAAATCTTTTTTTGCACAAACACACATCAATATGTGAACTGATCGTTAAAAATAAATAAGGCGTGTTTTTAACAAAGAAACTCATAGTTTATTCATCAGCAAGCAACAATATCGAGTACCTACTAATAATTTATTGAAAACATAATGCACATACACATGATGGATAAAATTAATGAGATTAAACATCGTACGATAGGTAAAACATAAATCAAGCCTGATCTAAATAAATCGTGCTCATTCAATGCGCCTTTAAGTCATCTCAACAGCAAACTTACTTGAATGAACGGCCGATTCGTGTTTATATCAAACGGGTAGGTTTCGAAGAACGTGCGTGTTTTACTGTAGTTACTTCACTGCGCGGCCAGAAATGGAATTCTGGGTTTACTGAAAAGCTCCTAAAAGCGAAAAAAGCTGCGTTGTAAATCCTGAAGAGGTCAAGCATGCGCCCTATCAATAAAGCGTCGCGTATCCCAACGGGAAGTGTTCGATTTTAGTTCGTCGGAATCGGAGGAAACGCGTGCTCTAGGATCAATTTCTATGCTCTTACGAATTGTATTACAAATATTATGTTCAATTGTTCAATATTAGTTTTCTTGTAAAGCCCTCTCATTAACCTTACCCTATCATTAAAAATACTATCTAGTATTTATACTAGATAAAGAAATCAAAGTACACACTTTACATGTAATGCTTTGAAGGTGATAATAGTACAATCAACATACTAATTGGTACTTAATTGTATGCCCTTAAAAGTTATGAAATGTCTTAGCACTCTCATAGTCAAACATTAGAAGCTAATAGTTATGCTTGAAAGTTAATTATAGGCGTGAAAAATTTAAACTAATTGAAAAAAACTATGACAGTATTGTCTTTATTGTTATAATCGTAAAAAGTGTCGTTCGAGGCACTGCAGTTCGATTAGAAAGTGAGGAGAGAGTTGGAAAGGAAGCCAATGCGTGAAACGTTGGGTAAATTGCATTCATACCGTGAGAGTATTCGAATAAAAATAGTGCTAAAAATCGCCAGAAAAATTTCTGTGATAAAAGATGAACGGGGATGATGAGAAGATACGTATATTGAGAGAATGGATAGCCAAACAGCCGCATCTTCCTCAAAAAAGCGGTAAGTAATTTTATAATTTTAATGATTAATTTTTTACTTGTTATTACCGTTAGATGAAAATCTTGTAAGGCGATTTTTAAAATGCTGCAACGACAGTATAGAACGCTCGAAACAATTAATAGATTTGTATTACACGCTTCGGTCCCACGTACCGGAGGTTTACTCCAACAGAGATCCCACCGCTCCGGAGATACAAAGAATATTCGAAAATATGTAAGGCAATTTTCGCGGAACCCGCGCAAATTATCTCTTCATGTGTCTCCTCGTTCTAGACAATTTCTTCCTTTGCCGAAATTCACCAAAGACAACCACCAGCTCTTCGTGTACAGGATCCTAACCAGCGACATCGAGCATTACGATTTCGTTAACAGCGTGAAGGCTTTTTCCATGGTGGCCGATGTGCGAATGGTGGAGGAAACGGCCATCGCGGACGGGGAAGTACCGATTTTCGATATGAAAAATTTTACCGCCAAGCATATCACCAAAGTAGTTTTTCCCGTGATGAAAAAATTACTCATTTACTCCCAAGTTAGTAGTTATTTTACGATAACAAGCGGTTATATTTATAGTGCAATAAATCGACCTGAATTTGGAATTTACAACTGCATAGATACTAAACCGACTTTCTAGATGATAAATTTAGGAAGTTGTAATATTTTTATTTGAGATATACGTGCATTTATTCCGTATTTTTTTTAAATTCAAGGAAGCTCACCCAATGAAATTAAAGGAAGTCCACTACGTCAACGCCCCGCCGTTTTTGAACAAATTCCTTTCAATTCTAAAGCCCATAATAAAAAGCGACGTATTACAAATGGTAAGCACGAAACAAACTCAATATATTCCTTTACCTTTAGCTTTTTAAGATACATTTTCATCCTCCCAATTCCGAAACCCTCTTCGAGCACGTTCCAAAGGAATTGCTTCCAGAAGAGTACGGGGGCACGATTGGAAAATGCGACGACATAGCGAACAGGTGGCAACGTCTCGTCTTGCAAAGGAAAGACTATTTGACTGATGATGGTTATTGGAAGGTAGAGGAAATTAAAAGGTCCGCCAACGAAGGTAACCCGGATTATTTAGGCATTCAAGGCTCGTTCAAAACCATCAGTATTGATTGAATTGCACTTGCTTAATATTCAAATAAATTATTTTATGCTATATCGGAATTTTAATGAAATTACCCGCAAGTGAAAGTTAAGTATGAAGAGTCAATGTACGATGTTGGAAGAGGTGCATGTTTCTTATAGAATCTAGGAAATAAAATCAATAAAAAACAATCACTTTTAATATAATAATAATCACAACAAATAACACATATTGATTACATTAAGTACAGTAATTAGGCAAGATAATAGAGATATTCCTAAGCGTTTGGTAAAAAATGTTTAGTCCAAAATATGTTCATGAGTACCATAATGCTAAGAAGTATAATGAACACAGCCAAAGCGCTCCACCAGATGTACATTTCTTTTTTGGTGGGTGTGAAATTTTTCAAAATCCATATGCCCACTAATAATCCAGCTACAGCGCCGCCTATGTGCGCTGAGTGTGCTACATTTTCGTAGGTATCCAGTGTATATTTATTGTAAATCGTCATGCCGATATTCAGTGCTATGATAATAACAAATACCAGTAGATTACACAATGGAAAATCCATATCTCTCCAATTCTAAAATTACAATACGCTTAGGTAATTATCGAAGTTATTTGAAGTACTTGTACCATTATTATGGTGCCTACATGGGCAGTTAATAAAGCGTATACACCAGCACTAGCACCGACTAGGGATATCCTGGGATTCACTATTGACGAGGTGAGAGATCCGGCTATAACCCCAGAGAAATACACCACCAATATTCTCTTACTTCTGTGCACTATTTCTAAAGGCACTCCTAAAAATAGTTGCAAAACCAAATTCGGAACCAAATGTTGATATCTACAACCCACGATTCATTTATTACCTACCCAAATAATTCAAATAAATTTCTCGTAAATACTTAAGTTGTTACAAAATCGTTTATTACCCGGCGTGTACGAACATGTACGTTAGAAACCTCCAAGCTTCGTATCGTCTGTGCGGATTGTATGTGAAAATTTTGCTCATAGGTCCTTGGTTATTGGAGTTTACTGCAACCATTTCGTCTATAATAAAAAATGTAAATTCTAATAATGACAACGTCAGCATAGCTAAAGCTGGCGGGCAACATTTGAATAAATTTTCTTCGTATATTCCATCAGGTACACTCGAAGGAGATTGATATTTTTTTCTTGGTAGCAGGTAGCGCATGTATCTAAAACGCGATTCGATAAGTTTTGATGTTCCTTGAACCAGAAACCCTCAAGGCCAGTCAATTTTAAATTACTCTGCATACGTACGTGTTAACGTAACCGGAAAAAACTTCGCTAAAGTCTTTATTTTGGACCATTTCTTCGAATTCTTCTTTATTCAAAACGCCGTCCGCGTTTTTATCTGCCTCTTGGAAGACAATCCTGCTGATATGCTCCGGTACATTATCATTCTTTTTTAAGGTTTCTACAAGCTCAGTTAATTCTATATCCCCCGAATTATCACGATCGAACTAAAATAAGAATTAATAGTAAATTTTCAGATCAATTGCCTTGTGTAGATAATGTAAGAAATCTTAAAGAAAAAATCTGAAAAAAACTAGGTAACATAATAATTAATATTACAAAGTACAATAAATGAATAATAATAGCAATAACAATAGTAAGCTATTATGAATCATTATTTTTTGATAATTACGATAAAGGAGACCTTGAGTTGATCAGTATCGTATTCCCGTAATTAGATGCGAATATTTTTAAACGTTTCCAACAATTTTTAAAAATAACTATACCCCTTAGGAAATGCACATCGAAACACGGAAATTATAGGCATTTCATCCGGACTAGCATTAAAAATCGATGTTTAAATTTAAATTTTTGATAAGCAAGATACAATTAAATTCAATTTCAATTTATTTATGTTGGTAAAATATTGTGATTCACACTAAACAAACATATTATTCATGATTTTTAACAGTACTTACCTTGTTAAATACACTTTTGTAATACTTGTGTTTATTTTCAACATCTAGACATGAAAATTTACCATCATCCTGCTCCGGCATTTTCAATGCCATGCTGCTTGAATTACACGCACTTTCGTTTCGTTTAAAAATAAACAACCGTTTTCACTCATAGAATAACTTCGATTGCGAAATGTTTTTAGAAGCGAGACAAAAAGGTGTATAAGATAAGATATAATAGAATTGAGCACTATCAATCGCAGGAAATAAGTCCATATGTGGTGGTTAGAGTTAGAAAACCCACATACTGTAAATGTAGGAAAAAAACTCGTTTAAAATCATCAAGGAAGTTGCGGATGACATTTACTCTCTGTTTAGGAGTATCCACGGATTCTAATTTTAATCTTGAATTATGTGCATATATTAAGAGAGATTCAAGAGACGATTAGAAAAATGCACTATAATAAGTTTTATCTAGATACTTTTTATTATAACTTCGCTATTACTTAGCGATTCATAGAAATATGCGTCTTTAAATAAATAACTGCTATTTTTTGAACGTAACAATGAGATAATTTTAGACCTTGTTCCTAATTTCACTTTTCTTTGATGATTGAAATTAAACAATTCGATCGTTAAACTCGCGTTAAGTTTCATTTGGACTCATTGATGATAAGGGACCCTTATCAGAGCTAGTCGAAGGTGTGTAGAGCATATTTGCTCAGCGAACTAACGTGAAACATTAATAGGTGATTGATTGCGAACGCGAGTTAGTCGGCTATTTGCAGTAAAAATGTCGAACAAGGATGGTGGTGAAGAAGTCATACCTTTGGATAATATACAATTCTCAAATTACGCGGATTCCAGGCATTGGTACATGTTCAACAGAGTATGTTTGTTCGTGTAAATAAAGGTTGTAAAGGTTTTTGATGAGGCTTTTGCGATTTAGTGCGACGCGAATCAAGATGGACGCATCTCCTTCGACGAACTGGCCGCCTACGTGGAAAACAACACCCGTGACTGCGGCTTCCTGCCGGAGCGCGTCCTGCAGAAGATCTACAAAAAGGCGGACGCCAGCGGCGACGAGCAGCTGAACTTCGAGGAGTTCGAGCAGTTCTTGCAGACCAAGGACTTCCAGTATCTCTTCCACAGCGGCGTTTCGACGTAAGTTCCACCGCGACGCCTCCGACCCCATTAGAAATCGGGTTTTTCGCAGGTACCTCCGCCATTTGGTGCCGCACCGGAAGGCGGCGGTGGAGCGGTACTCGGCGCGTTCGCTGACCGCCGCCCCGGACGAGCCGAATTTGTGCGACCAGTACTCCTGTTGCCCGCCCCCGGTGTTCATGTTCCTCATTTCCATGCTGGAGCTCGCGTTGTTCCTCACCGACGAACTAACGCAGAAGGACTCCACTTTGAGCGCCACCGGCGTTACAGCGAGGTATCTGATTTACGATCCGGATCGTAAGCAGGAGGTTTGGAGGTTCCTGACTTACATGTTCGTGCATATCGGGTAAATATCAACACTCGGGTAACTCACATTTTTCCTCAGTAGGTGTATCTTATTTGATAGGTATATGCACATAATTACAAACTTAATCGTCCAATTGCTACTCGGAGTTCCTTTGGAGATGGTTAATAGATGGTGGAGAGTGTTGTTGATTTATTTCCTGGGAGGGATCGCAGGGTGTTTGGCTCATGCAGTGATCGATGGTAGAGTCCGGTTAGGAGGAGCTAGTGGTGGTGTATACGCGATTCTCGCGGCCCATTTAGCGCAAGTTATTATAGTAAGGATTTAGTCGCCATCATTGATACACTTTAAAGCATTCTGCGCGTATTATTTTTCAGAATTGGAACGATTTACCCTACGCGTATTTGCAATTTATCGTCTTCGGATTGCTGATATTCGTCGATTTGGGCACCGCGTCGTATTATCGGTACTACGAAGGTGTAGTGAACGAAATCGGTGTCACCTGCCACTTGGGTGGAGCCCTAGCCGGGATGTTGGCAGGGATATACATATTGAGAAACGTGCACGTTACTACAGGGGAAAAGGTAATATGGTGGGTCGCTTTGGTTATCTATGTATTGCTGATGATAGCCGGAATAATCGCCGTAATTTTAACATAAGAGCCTGGAGAGTCGAGTTAAAGGTTGGTTAATGATTGGCTGTGTATACGTACTTATTTAGTTTACTAACTGTACAGGTAGGTGGAAAATTGTTTTGCAATATAGGCTATAAGTGCAACAAAGACAACTGCTCTCATTAGTTTCGTATGAATGAAAAAGAAAGAGTGATATGGTGGGATTGCAACTTTCTCACTCTAACCACTGGTATTTTATTAATCTTTATTTGTTCAACTCATGCAATTGACTATAATGCAAACAAATTTGCACTTACCCATATAACTTTTAGATAAAGTTCCTATATAGATAAGAAATTCGGTGAGATAATATGTAATGTCATGAAAAATATGAACATAAAAAGAAAAAGATAAAATGATAAAGAAAACGATAAAAAAATACTAAAGAGACTGATAAACGTACAGAAACCGCACAAAAACAAACTAAAACGGATGAAAAACACAAAAACTACTCGTAAACTTAAAAAAAAAGAACAGGACAAAGGCGAAAGTCGCTGGGAATCATTTAGAACTGTCCAGAATCATTTAGAACACTCCAGTGCCATTTAGAACTGTCTAAAACCGTTTAAAACGCTCCAGAATTATTTAGATTTGCTTATAACTATTTAGAATGCTCCAGAATCATTTAGAATTGTCTAGAATCATTTAGAATGCTCCAGAACCATTTAGATATGCTTAAAACCATTTAGAACATCCCAGAATCATTTAGAACTGTTTAGAATCGTATAGAACGCTCCAGTAAAAGTCAGAAATCGCTGGGAAAGTCACAGAAACAACAAATTGTAGTCAAAACGTGCTAGGTAAAATTCCACTATTCAAATGGCAGAATTATCATTGGCACTAGGGAAATTTTGAACTGCGTGGAAATTACTAAAAATGACGACATTGGACATTGTCATTTTAAAACGAACAAAACAAAATCTTACCGAATTCTTTGTCGAATGTATTTTTTTATAACTTAAGTAAATGTTTTTATATTTTTATGAGCTGCGTATTAAGACCATTAAATATCGTATCTAAGGTATGAATAGAAAAAATAAATAAATTTTTGAAGTTTTATTAAAAAGTCTATTATAGTCGATGCGCATTTCTACATAAGAAAATTTAATTGCTACGAATAAAGTAAGGTAAATGATTTTATGTCCTAATTTGAGCAACCGAGGTTTATTCAAAACCTAATCAATTCAAAATAAAATCGAACACCTTCCTCGCAACAACATTATCGATAAAATAAATCGGAAAATTTTACACGGTATTCGATTTTATTTTAACAAAAACTCATCCCGCGTCTCTCCAACAATCCAAATTAACGAACATATTGCGGGCAATTTAGCAACTAAACCGAGCGCAAGAAAACCCGTTCTCGTTACATTTACATATGCTTCAATCGATCACTTATCGCACCAATTACACCGACGATTTCACGCGCAAAAAACGACCGCAAATTGTTCCAATTAATTAAAAAGCGCTCTTGCACACGCCACCGGCATCATTCGCTCTCGTTCAACTTGGCCAATAGCAGGGCCCGCTGCTTCTCTAACTCCGTTTCGCTCATATCGCCCCTTCCTTCCTCGCGGTACTTGGATTGAGCCGGCGGAGGAGTGTTCTGTCAAATGCAAAAACAAGTTTCATTAGGGCAACGCCACCTGGTCTCCGCAACGTATCGCTTTTGAAATAACTCATGCATGACAAACTTACTTCGTTAGAAACATATTTAAAAAAATCGATAAATAATTTATTAGGAAATAATTACACTCGAAAATAAACCAGCAAAAACAAAAGAAAAAAACCCGAATCGTTTGCTGTGTTCGAATTAGTAATCAACCAAACTCACAGGAGATGCTTTCCGTTTGTGCTTCTTCTTCGACTTCTTCTTCCTGTACTCTTCGCCGCTCTCTTCCGAGTAGGGCGTGGGGCTCTTCGACTTCTGGTGCTTCGATTTCTTGTGCTTGTCGCTGTCGGAATCGCTGGATGAAGTCCTGTACGTTTTCTTCTTCTTCTTCTTGGATTTCTTCGATCGCGAGTGGTGATGGCTGCACGACTCTTCCATTTCATGTTGATATTCCTAAAGTATAATTAATGAGATGAGAAATTAGTAGGTCATATAGCACGGGATAATCCAGAAACATGGACTATTAGATTAACGAACTGGAGACCAAGAGAAGATTATAAAAGTGAATAAATACAGGCTGAGGAAGAAGAAGAAAGAATCTATGAGAATCAATAGAGGATAGGAATAGAAAATGCAGGAGAAAACAAGGAATGAGAACTGCAAAAGAAAGAACAAAATACGGTGAAAAACAATGAATGATAACTGCAATAGAAAGAACGAAATGGAAGCAACTGGAAGAGGTCTACTTCCAGCAGGAGATAAATACAGGCTGATGAAGAAGAGAAATGAAGAATCAATTAGACTTAGAGGGTAGGAACAGAATACTACTAACCTTATACACTTTTAGCCTCTCACTGTCTGCTTCGAACGCCAGAAATTCCTCTTCGTTCTCCAATTTACTCTTCACTTCGTCCCACGACAGCTCGAAATCGATGTTCATCTCTTTCAACAGCGACTTGAAATTCGTTTCCAACTTTTTTATACGCTTGTTCTCCTCTTTCAAGCGTTCCTTCTCCTTCGCCTCGGCCTGAAAATTCAACTCCATCAACAACCGATTCTCTACGCCGCACTATATTAACCTTTTCCAAGAAAGAATTGTACGTGAGCTTGACGTTTCCGGCGTCCAGCGACGCGGATCGCTTGTCCTCGCAAATGACGGTGGCGAATTGATCGAAGGTCGTGTCGATTTGCACCTCGAAGTTCTTCTCCTTCAGGATCTCCTTGATGATTTTCTTCTCGTCGTGGAAGCGCGACTTGAGATCTTCGACGTAGAACTTGAAGAGGTCCAGGGGCGTCGAGCCGCTTTGGCCTGCAAACAGGTTTGCTAAATTTTCAATGCAAATCGATCTTGACAGGAGTTTACCCAACATGGCGGAGAACCGAATGTCGGCGGAGATGATGGGGTACAGTTCGACCCACAGGGACATCGACGTGAGTTTGCCTTCTTCGTGCAGGTGATCGAGCAGGGCGAGAAATTGGTCTCGGTTTTTCCGGCACTGTCGCTTCAGTCTTCGCTTTTCCCGTTCCTTTTCTTCGATGTATTCTTTCTCTAGTTCTCTGATGTGCTCTTCGAATACTATCAGGGCGTCTTCTTTGTCCATTGCCAGTAGATTAACGTCGTTTTTGAATGTACTGTTTTCTAATAATAATACCTAAAAAATGGAATGTTTAATGTAATTCTTATGATAATAAATTGTTTTTATTACCTGTGCTTCACTCCAAGTGGTGTCGTAATTAATTTTCGTCATGCATTCTAGCACTTCGGCTAATTTTTTCATGTTTCTTTTTTTCAAGTTTTTTGCCTCTTCTTTTTCTCTTTTAGCCAAAGAGAACATCACGTCATCGTAAATGTCCCGACGGTCCGATTCGTTGACGTTTTGCCAAACCTTTGCGTAAAAATCGTCAGAATTAACTTACAATTAATTAACCAATAAATTAACATTACCTCCATTGTACTGAATAATTCGTCACATCTGTAATATTTGGTAGCAGACGTGATCAAATCGGTCTTCAGCAGAAATTCTTCGAGTTGTTCTTTATACTTCTTCGATTTCAAACGCTGCTCCTCTTTCTCGTCCTTTTGCTTTTGAGTTTTGTAAGCATTAAAAACCTAAAAATTTACAAATTAGATACAATTTCACAGGAACATTCAGGTAGTCTAGTACTTGTTTCTTTTCGTTTAGCCTTTTAAACGATTCGTATCTCGGATCATTAGAAATTATTTTAACGCACTGCTCCCAACTAGCATTAGACGGTACGTTTTTATCTTTCAGCAAATCCTTAAATGCCTCCATCGCTTCTTTTTTATCTTTAAAAACCTTCGGTTCAGGTGTTGAATTGTGAGTTTCCTTTAGAGCATCGCCTGGTATTGAATGGTTCGAATCTTCATCTATAAAAACCAATTACAATCAACTTATGCACATTTACTAAAGGTTCAATGAAGAAGTAAACTTACGTAAGATTAAATCCTCTAGTAGCAAAAATATTAAAACAAAATTATGAAGGTTACTACTTTATTTTAGTATATTTACCTTGTTTTGTTGGTGGATTGGGCAAAGAAATAGCAGCTAGAGTAGCCGCCATTGCAGCTTCGAGGGCACTTTTCCCACCCGGACTGGCAGCTATAACAAAATTCTTACTACCAAATACTTTTAAATGGTAAGTTAATACTTACATGAAACTAAAGGGGAACTGGGACCTGTAGAATTACTTACAGCTACAGCCAGAGGTTGCGATATTGGCACTGGACTGGTCACTTCTCGTGGAGTTGTTGTACCCGAACTAGGTTTTAACCTATAAATGCTAGATTAGTTTATCTGATTCGAATATATTGGATAAAGCACTTACTCCTCGGCGGCGATTTTTTTCTTAATTTCTTCCAATTCCGGTGGAATAACCCAACGAGACTCTTTCGTAGTAACATTGTGATAGTAAACCTTACCGCTATCCGCTGTATACTCTTTCCACGGACACTGGGACAACAATAACTGCAAAACAATAACAAAACACAATAGTATACATCCACATTATATCGGGAATATAATCTATTTACCTCAGCTGGGGTTTTTAATTGATCGGGTTTCTGCCAAGAGCTCTGCTTCGTAACCTGATTATAATAGTAAGTCCTTCCATCGGGCGCTTTGTGTTCGCTCCATTCGCTTCCGGGAATAGAGGACGTGGCCCCGCCCGGGGGACCAAAATTACCGAACCCAGGTGGTGGTACACTGAAAGAGGGAACCATCGGCGGGAAAGCCCCCATACCCGGCAGGGGTATTTGGGGCATCAACGGAGGCGTTCCCAAACCTGGCGGTGGAACGAAAGCTTGCGGAGGAAGGTTGGGATCCTAAAAATAGACGATCAAAATATAACGAGCATAACCTCTAAATCGTATGTTTACGTACCATTGCGATTAAAGCGGAAAATTATAAATAAAAATGTATAAGCAGCCTAGAGCTACAACATTCTAGGTAAACTAGTTCTTACTTAATTAAGGAAATCAGAATTAATCAAGATCTTTAGTTAAGATTATTGAACTTTTAAAATTAATTAATAGATTGGTTTCATGTTTATCACCAACCTGTCAAAATTCTTTTATCTGTCAACTTCAATCTTCTTTTTTTATTTATAGACGGTCTTTTGCCAATACTGTATTAAGACATTTTTTTGTATGGCTGTATACTTCAAATCGAAAATAATCACCAGACAATAAAATCTTTCTTTCTCTATGGTAATCACGTTTTACAATTTTATCCAATATTTCCAGAGTATGAACTAAATGTATACTTACTTAAATAAATGTAGATTATCTGATGAATATATATAAATAAATAAAACCACTCGCATCAAAAAGAAGTCATTACCTTTAATAAAAAATGATACATTTTTTAAGCCTAACGTAATTACAATCAATACAAACACTAAATGCTAATACTCCAATACAAACGAAATGATAATGACGGTAACGTCGCTTTTCGAATCGTCCTTTAGTTATCTACACTAGCACAAAAAAAAACCTACATCATTCGTCCGCATCTTCGGTACCCTGCACCTTAATAAATCGCACACGCACTCATACCAGTCACTTCGAGTGACAAGTACGCTGTCGGGACTAATGTTTCCCGGTGCTCGTTTGTCTCCTTCTGCCCCAAAAACCGTCCAAATCGAACGGTCGAAAGTCCTTTAACTGAGTAGACGTGTCCTCTTCGTAATAGGACGCGCCGTTGGCACTCCTCTCCATCTCGATCTTCGACCACGAATCGGATATATATTTAATCAAGTCGTCGTGCTGGCCGTGAACCATGGATCGTTCGGTGGAATTTATACGTGTGAAATTCGGTGGTCTACGACCGTTGTTGTTGTTGCCGTTTAGTTGCGAGGTACTCGATCGAGGACCGCTGAAAATGCAATACAAATCGTTAATGAGATGCAATTTTTCTCAAAATTTCAACACCTATGTCACTAGATGTGTAGAGCTGTTATTAGTTTTTTAAAGGGAAATGTTTCTGATATGGATGATTCACTACTAATTATTATTTAAAGTAATTAAAGGAGGACCAAATCAAGGAATAAACCCCAACAAATGATATATCGTATATAAAATATTAGACTTACTTATGATACATCATAGCAGACATTTAATTCTGGCGAAAATAAATCGACAAAAAGGTCATAAACAGCTCTTGAATATTTAATTATATCTAATATTCCTGAAGTAATACTGATGTTTTGAGTAATATAGAATTTACCTCATATTCACAGTGTAATTTTTAGTTTGGAAACAAATTGCAGAGAAGAAAACACAAAAAAAACGCTTTGATTATAAACTTAAGTGTTGTTTAGAATGCGTCAGTGTAGACAATTGACATTTGACAATTAACAGTAAATGTCAAAGTCAAATAACTTGCGTTTCTTTGTTTGTTCGCATAACTACGTTTTGTTGTTTTTTGCCTTTGACCTTTGCTTTTTCCATCCACATTATTCAACTTCCAACTGCCAAAGGTGCCAAATCAATTGTCAAAAGTCAAAACAAAACTGACGTAGCTCAATTTGTACTTAGGTTATGTGTTTGTGCCAAGTTTTTCTTTATTTGTAGTATAATTAAATATAAAAGAAATGTTCGAGTTAACGGATACACAAAGTGAGTACTTAAACGAGTGATTTTTCAGTTTGACTAAAATTTTGTTTTTTAGAAATTGGCGTAGGACTATCCACGTTTGGAATAGTTTTCATATTTTTAGGTGTTCTGCTGTTGTTAGATAGGAGTCTCTTAGCTTTAGGAAACGTATGAATTATTATTTCAACATTAATATCACGTAGTTTTGTTAAAATGCAATGTTTTAGTTATTGTTTATATCTGGTTTGGTTGCGATAATTGGAAGACAACGGACCTTCTTGTTTTTTTTCCAAAGGCACAAAGCAAAGAGATCTCTGGCGTTTTTCGGTGGAATTTTATTAGTATTACTTAAATGGCCGCTTATTGGAATGTTATTAGAACTTTACGGGTTCTTTTTGTTGTTTAGGTAATGTAGAATTTTTTAAAACATTCGACGGAACTAATGTTTATATGTTTTAGTGATTTCTTTCCTGTTGCTGTAAATTTTTTAAGACGTATACCACTTTTGGGGACCATTCTTAACTTTCCAGGCATTAGTATGGTATGTAATATTCATAAATAAAAATGCTGAATTCTCTTTTTTCGAAAGTTCTTTTATGAAACTTAGTTTATATAAGAAATAGGGGTTTAAATATTTAGGTTTAATCATAGATTCATGAATACTGGATATGGAATTTTATTTAATGCTTAGAATTCAATAATCTATAGTTTCAATTTGCTTAGTAAGGTTCTTTTATAAGTGCAGGGTTTTCTCGAATATCTATTTATAAAGACTTCGAAAATGCATTCAAATTAGGTTAAATTACATTATTTTATTTTTAGTTAATTGATAAGATAACTGGAGATGCAAACAGGACGAGAGTGTAACCAAATTGGAAGCTATTTATTTTTTAAATCAAATATTCATTTTGTAAATAATAGGTGTTCGATCGGATTCAATTAAAATATTTTTAATAATTTCAATGTACGATTATTTAGATTCTTTTCTCTGGAGAAATCAAATCTTATGCCAAATATTGTGAGTACTTGTTTTAGTGTTTTTACTAAAAAAATCATTAAAGTGATTAAATGACACTGTAACAAAAGGCCAAATACTCAAAAAAAAAGAAGAAAAAACTAACCTATCCAGCATGTTTATGTTTTGCATGCGTTTGAATTTGAGGTTAGGTTAGATGTCACCTCACCTTCCAAACATTACATTTGCGCTTTAATTCCAAGTAAAGCTAGTTTGTTCTAATATAAAAGCATGTCTGCTTGTAAAATTCATAACATCAGGTTCTATAATCCTGAGCCAGTGGCGATAAGATGTATGGCAGTACACGAATCTTCGAAAACCCTAGCCATATCCAGGGCGGATGCCACTATAGAATTATGGAATTTGAAACACACATGGTTCATCGAGAAAACAATACCACCAACAACAGAAAACTGCACGATAGAAGCCATTCGTTGGTGCTCAAACCGATTATTTAGTGTGGGTTTGCACGGTTTATTGGTCGAGTATAATCTGAAGAAACTCTGCGAGGAGAACCGCTGGTTTGTAACAGGCGAAGCTGCGTTTTCCTTAGACGTGACTAAAGACAATCAAAAATTAGCCGTAGGCACCGAACAAGGCTATTTGAACCTATTTTCCGTAGAAGCAGATGGTATTAACTTCAATAAACTCTTCGATAAACAAGAAGGAAGGATACTGTGCTTGAAATTCGACTCTTCGGGCGAGTTTATAGCAACAGGAAGCTTAGACGTAATAAGAATATGGAACGTTCAATCAGGACACGCTATACACAAACTATCCACCGGTCGTAACGAAGCCAACAAACCGACTATCGTATGGAGCATCGACATCACGGACGATTTCACCATTGTATCTGGAGACTCCAGAGGCAGGTTGACCTTTTGGGACGGAAAACTCGGCTCGCAAATCGAAAGCTACCAAACCCACAAAGCCGATATACTTACAGTTCGTTTATCCGAGAACCAGAAATCGCTATACTGCGCAGGCGTCGATCCACTTATCATAAGCTACGAGAAAATAACGATGAAAAACGGTACGAACAAGTGGGTGAAAAGCATTCAACGGAAAATCCACGAACACGATGTCAACGCGTTGATTCTTGTCGACGATAAACTGTACTCGGGAGGCGCGGATTCTTATTTAGTTTGCAGTTTTTACCCGCCTAAGACTCTGCTGAAAGCGCCTCCTTTGTTGCAAAGTCCTTGCGTTCACGTGGCGCGAAATGCTCGATTGTTCTTACTAAGATACACCAATTATTTGGAGCTTTGGAGTTTCGGGCAAACGGAAACCATCGATACAAATTACAGGGGATTCGTACCCGTTAAAAACCTACCGAGGAAGCTTCTGCGGCTTCAAAGAGTGCCCAAAGGAGAGGAACGCGGCGAAGGAATATATTGCACTTCGATATCTAATGACGGGAAATGGCTGATTTACAGTACTTGCTTGGGCGTGAGTTTGTTTCGATTGGTACACGATTCCGGTTACGAATCACTCGAGTTAGTTAAAATCGATTGTTTAGATAACGATGATGTTCCGTGTTTGAGAAGCACCTTCACGACAGATAGTTCACAGTTGATAACTTGCTCTAATAACGGTGAATTACGCGTGTACAAACTGTTTGAAAACACAATCGATACCCAACAAATTATACCTACTTCAGATAAATTGGATACTGTAACATTTTTACTGAATTCTTCTTGTAGTAAATACCTAATAGTCGGCGACGTTCGCGGTAATATAATAGTATTCAAATGGAATAACGGAAACAAAAAATGGCTCAACCATTGCACTTTGCCTTGCTACAAGAACCCGCCGGTTTGTATGAACATCCATCCGAAAACATTGAATTTAGTTGTTGTTTATTCGGATATGAAGCTGATCGAGTACAATGTGCTCCGGAAAGAGTTCACTCCATTTTCCAGGCGATTTGGACAGAACGATTTAAAATCCAGGCTTTATCCAATTCGCAATATAACATTTGACGAGAGGTCGGAGAACGTGATTATTCTCCATGATGATAGTAACATAATCGTAGTGAATAAAGGAGTAGAAAAATCGAGGAGCAAGATACCGGGGAGCAAACTGGCTAGGATGGAAAACGGCTTGAAAGAAGATTGTGGGAAGTTCAAATTGAGTTTGGTGAAGAAATACAAACATTTGGTGCATATGGAGTGGTTGGATGGAAATGAATTGATGGTGGTCGAGATGAATCCGTTGAATATTTTGGAGCAATTGCCTCCTGTATTTGTACAAAATGTTTTTGGAAAAAAATAAATGTTTTTTATGATACGAAGTTCTTATAATTTCTAGATTTATTATCACAATTATATCATTATTTAGTTGGCAATACTTAATTAATATATTGGGTAAGTGCAAATTGTACGAGTTGAACAGAGAAAGATTATTAAAAACAGTGGTTAGAGTGAGAAAGTTGCAATTCTACACTATCACTCTCATAACTTATAACAATTTTGCACTTATCTGTATAATTTTCAACCCTCATCTGAAAGTCCTTGATTGTGTCAATGCCAATCAAAGTAATAGTCAAATTTTGCATTAACAACAATGTATTAATGTCGGATCTGTACGTTTAGATGTTTTTAGCTAATTAAATTAAATTATGTCCGTGTAGCAAAATATGAAAGTGCCATTTTATACAGTCATCGGGCCATTACTGAAGAAAAACCATAGGCATATAAAATTTTTCTGTGAAAAACCGATTTTTTCGTTTTCCCCTTTTTACGTTCTTGTTTTAGGTATTTTAGGTGCGGTAAGTAGCCATTTAAATAGAGTAATTTCGATTTTATTTTGATATTTTCGTGTAGTTTTTAAGTATATACGACATACTGAGGATCATAAAATGCGGACCGACGTTACCGGGCTTCCTTTGGAGGGAAAGACTCAAAAATTGCTCGTTGGTTGCTCCAGAAGTCGAAAGAGATTTCAAATTAATTTGTCTCGTTCTATCAGCGGAGTATTACATGTTTCTTTTGACCGGTTTAGCCACAGTAAGTACCCGGAAAATTGAAATAAAACGCAAAATTCCTAATTAATTAACCTTGTCACAGGGTATGTAAATTTTAAATCGTTATAATTATATATTGTAACAATTTTTAGGGTAATCCCATATTTTTTCTGCCTTTCTTGTGCTTGTACGCCGGCATAATTCTAATGGAATCATCGATATTTCTCATGCGAGCGTTCTTGGAAGGTTTGGATTTCAATAAATCATCGTTGGTAATGTCTATGTTTATGGTGTATAATTGGCTATCGGTATTTTGTACATTTTGTCGTCACATGACAGGATGCGATGTTTAAGTTGCAAATTGTATCTAATTGTAGTGATTATTCTAATTGATATAGTAAAATTTTCGTTTTTAATTTACAATGGTTTCATATAATTTTTACATGCGCAAGAATTTCTTTAGGAAACATTTTTAATGCAAGAAGTCAAACTCTACAAAAATAATTTAACAAGACAATAAAGAAAGGTCCAGTGTACCTGACTATATAAGTTAATTAACATCCTATTACTAATTCGTACACAATTGTTCTAAAACTAGGATCACAATTTCATGAAACATTTTACTTTTCTCTATTGTTTTAAGTTTCTATTTCATTTTTAATCCAATTAACAAATTTAGCGACATCGCAAAATACGATGTATTGGTTGGATAGATCGCACGTGCCATTTTCGCTCGAAATTATCGATGCTATACCTCTCAAATAATATACACCTCCCAATTTCACGAAGAACCCGGCTCCACTGTCGCCTATGCAAGGACCAGTGGCAGTCTCACCGCTTTCTGTAAAATTCAAACCCCATTAATAGAGCAATCAATTCACTTGTAAATCACTTACTTGTACAAAACGTCATGTCGGACACAACGCTGTCGAATCCCACGGGACTGTTGTAACATTCCCTTTGGGATATAATGGGCATGTTGGCTCTCTTCAATCTCACCGCGTGGAGCTGCCCGTTTCTTCGAGCATCTTCGTCTTGCCCGTAACCCGCCACTACACCCGTTTCTTTGGTGTATTCGTCGATGTTCGTGCTGGAGCTCCACAGGCATATCGGAGACAAGGCGTTCGTAAAGCGCACCGTACGATCTAAAATATGAATGGAATAGAATGGAAATGTGAATGGAAGTAAATTAGCATATTTACCCATGGTTAAAACGGCGATATCACCGTGTGCAGAGTCTGGATAATCTTGGAAAGAAGGATGAGCCACGGAGTTAACTACTTTTCTGTGTACTGCTTTGCTGCTCCTCCAGTTCAGTAGGTTGTTGGTGCCCATCACCAACATTATGTCCTCGTTTTTAACGATTTGAACCCCGTAGAACATTATGCAACGGGCAGCTAATGACAAGAAGTGAAATCTTATGATAAACAGAAGAATTTGCTAGAGCTCTAATTTAAAAATAATTGTTTACTTAAAGTGAGAATAATGTTCACGATAAAATACCGGTTTCGTAACGAAAGATATTGATATAAATACAAAAATATTACCTGTAATTACATGCTTTTCGGTGATCAAATTACCCGAGCAAGTGTACTCGAATGTCGAATTTCTTTTCTCCATGAAAGCCACCAACCAAGGGAAATCGCCTATTTCGGCGAATTCACCATTGTATATCAACGGTACGATAGAATTGCCAGTTGGTTGATTCATAGTCATTCCGCATTTTTTGGCTGACGTGGTAGGAGGAGAAGGCGTAAATAGGCTTTGAATAAAGCTAGCAAAAACAAAATCAATGCTGGTTTCAGAAATAAATTGACCAAATGTAAAACTTACTCGATATCTATAGGAACCTTTTCTGGTCCGGTCTGTGGAGTAGGACTCACGGGAGTCTGTTGCAGGGGAGTCTGTGGAGTTGGCTGTCGAATCGGAGGTTCCGGCGTATAATAAGTATCATTTCTAGGTGGAACCAAATGCTGGTTGTGGAATTGGAACGGACTTTCCGTTGTAGTTGTTGTAGAGGAAGTAGTAGGCTCCCGCCAGGGTACGAAATCGGGCACTCCGGGTTCTTTGGAAGCCAATCCATCATCCGTCCGCTCCGGATTTGTGTCCTGCCTGTTGAACACCCTAGTGAACTCGAAGTATAGCTGATGCCAAACACTTGTTACTCCAGGCGTACCGGCTATCACTGTATAAACGATAGATTACTGCTTTACTGTATTGAAATGTAATGGTTTGAACTTACAGGGTTCAGGCGGGCCGCTGCAATAGGACCTTCTGTTGTAAGTAATACCGGTAATTTTTGGTATCGTGTCTTGAAATGGGAAAAATATGTTGTAAACTACGAAAGGAGCAAAATCGTTCAACTGCTTAACTGTCGTAACCAGTTTCAATTTCAAATCCTGAAATAGTACCGTTTGATTAATGCAACGAATTTTTTATTCATGTGTGCTGTAGGTAAGCAATAACAATCAATTTTATTTAATTAGTTTCATGTAAAAGTGCAAAGTAAATAATGTTTCCTAACGGTTTTTAGTTTGCATTAAATGAGGTGGTTAGGGACAAACGTATTGGAAAAAACACATCTTCTGCATCCCATTATTAAATGCGAATTTTCACAATAGGTAATTGTAGACTAATCAGGATATGGCAAATGTAGATTAATTATTTATTATTTCTGAAACAACATAATTGGAATTGTATGAGTATTTTAATGTAACCTGTAACTTAGCAAAATTCAAGGTGAGAATAAATGGAACTTTTATAAGGCAAGAAACTACGTTGTAATGAAATGAGGACTCCTACAGTAAATATCACAGATAAAAATTTAATTACAATTCCATAATAAATGATTTTTGTTGATACTTACAGCTTTATTGAAACGACCAGCCAACGAGGCGTTTACGCCGAAAGTCATGGAGGTTGCATTGTCATAGGGAATGGTGGCTTCACCATATATCCTCCCGTTTTTGTCTTTGTAATACCTAAATATGTGTTCGCAAGGATTAGGTGGAATTCGGACGCCATCACAAAGATAAACTAGGAAGCAGGCGAGAAATGTTACTGATGCAATTTTATATCGCATGTTGATTGTTATTTAATAAATCTATAAAAAAAAGAAAATATTCAAATGAGGAATTAGGAGATAATTATGAATTTGCGGCGTTCTTGTTTTACGTACAACATTTTGCATTTACGAAAATACTAGTTTATTTATAACTTTTATTTCATCGTAATACGTGTTTGGAGGAAATGCAAAATAAACAGATACATTAATATATTTAAAAATATTCCTCTAATATTAGACGGTATTTAAATTTCAAATCGTCTTTTTTATCAATTTAACAATTTATTAAAAATAAAATACAGTTTCCATCAATTTATGACTAACCATTTCACAGGTGTTTAAATTCTTGTATATTTTTTCTGCGTTATTAATGATCAACCATTTCACAAGAAAAACCAAATACTTGTGTATACTCTGGATTTACCCTTGTGAAAAATAACCGTTTCAAAAATTATGAATCAGATTCGAGTCGAATTAAATTTAATTGAATTATACCTACCAATTACTCAAAAAGGTAGGTCTGAAAATTATGTAAAACATTCATATTTATGCTAAATACAAGCAATTATGAAAATTGTAATAATTGTGGTAATAAATATCTCCTTCGTTCGTGTATTTAAATTAGGTTTTTAGAATAAATAATTGAATGTAGATACAGTGTGAAGTGTGTATGATTAAATGTACTTCACATCTTCTGTTCTTGCTTGAATTTTTTTCAAAAGATTGTGGGTATATGGGTTTAACGACTTGTATTTACAAAACGGTGCATTTTCTTGGGAAAATACACAATTTTTGTATCAATATGCAAGGAAGATACCACATCAATGCGTACAAAAGAAATTTAAATACATATGCATATTTTAATGTGTAGGTGCCTACTTTCTCTGTAGTAGGAATAACACTCTGTAATTTATCTGTGTTAAATTTTCACTCAAAGTATAATAGAGTAATTAATAATTAATTAATCTTTTATGTTAGAACGTAGATAGAAATTTATTATTTTAATTGTGTTATTGCTTTAAATTAGGCAACTATAATAATTTAACATAAACTAGTCGGTTTACAAATTATTTGAAAAATAGTTAAATAAGAATGTTTAAAATTAAATTGTCCTCACCTAAATTCACGTGAACGTAAATATACGCGGTATTTAATTGCACAGCACAACTGTTAAATCAATTCCAAAAAAGCCCAAAGCGTTTTACAATAATCTGAGACGCCACGATCTAATTAAAATTTGCAGGATGGGCCTTACGAAAAAATAAACAAAATTCAACTCAAAGCCGCTTCGCGATAATCATTCTGGTTTACGACTTAACGTCGACGCGATGACCGCAGTTGCTTTTGTATCAAACATCAAACTGAGAGCAGCATCGAGTTGGGTTTCTGTTTTTATTGAAACAATTAGACGTCTGGTTTTCCCATTGGACGATTATTACCAGGTCTGGTTCATTAAATTATTTTGCTCTGTACACAAGCTCGAAATCGGCGATGCTTGCGCAAAATTTAACTTATTTTCGCAATGTGACTTAAGGATTAAAAGTGAAAGGGGTGTTTGGATAAATTATTGCTACGAATTTTTGTACGAACCTGCAAAATGTGGATTTCTTGTAATGTAGAATATAATGCAGAGTAGTGTAGAATAAAATGTGGATTCGTAAGTTTATAGGCAAACAGTTAATGGGAAGTTAACGATGATGTTATTTAATTGCACGAAGGAATTTTTCACAAAAGCCGAATTTAAAATTAGGTAAATTGTTTGAAACCACATCTGTCTTACATTAAATTTGTAATTTGAAGAAGGTAATAAAGATAGGCAAGTATCCTATCTATGTCTAGTAGCCGTTGGTCAACCGCAACTCTTATTTTATTATAATCGTTATAAATTTTATCGCTATACTAAATTTCAACGATTTTTTTAATTTGTAATAATCATTACAGTACCTACAACTTCTATTAATACCTACATTTTTTCCAAAAATTTCTGGGAAATTGTAACTTACGTATCGAATATTCCATATTTTTTATGATATGAAGTAATTAATAGAGACTAGCAAATAGATTAGCATAAAACTAGTATAGATATTCAAAACGCATTAATCATTTAGTTTGATTTATTTGCTATTAATAGAAAAAATCGTTGCATGCAATCTTAAGGTCAAGGAAACAATTTTGTGTTGTAGGTAATACCAAATCGCAGAAGTTAGGCTTGAGGTTAAAAATGTTAGATAAATAATTGGAGATAAGTCGGTTAAACCCAATGATAATGATAACATTTAGTGATTTCCTATAGTAATCGAAGTGGAAAATACTATTGCATAAAAGGAAAAAGGAAACGATACTGTAGTAGGTATCTACTTACATTTTAAACACAAACAACAAATCACGAAAAACCTAAAATTAAAAACCAGTCGATGACGTATTTTGGTTAATTATGGTAAATAATTATTTGTTTTGATGATTTCTTTTAATATACAAGGAGTGATTGTTAATTCACTTCACTAGTTTCACAATGTTATTAATTATTGTATAATATTAAGAACCTGAGACCTATAAACTCTAAGGTTAGAAATTTGCATTACCCCAGTTTAATTATCTAGTACATTGCCCTAAAGAAATAAGATTATAGTAGGCATATCAACTTTTTATTTAAGAAAGGACAACAACCAGTTGGTGAATTTGCTGACATCGCAGAAAATCACGTAATTGGACAGATCGCAGATTTCCGACGTGGTTTCTTGCGATGGAATCGATAGCGAAACGATACCCCTTAACATCCATTTACCATCTTTTTTCATAATAAATCCACCGCCGCTGTCTCCATTGCACGGTCCCGTACCGTCGCGTTGACCTAAAACAAATTGCGTTAATTATCACAGAAATGTAGTCAAAAATAGATAACTCTCGTACCAGCACAGAAGGTCCTGTTGGAAGTTGAGTAGTGGAATTTGGGATTGCTAGCAAGACAAGTCTCTTGACTGACTATAGGCACATTGAGTTGCTTGGGTTCCTCGGTGCGTATTTCACCGTTCTCGTCTCTGCCCCATCCTACCACAGTACCAGAGTTCCCTGGAAATTAGAATGAAATTAAGATGAAATTTATATTATAAGCGATTTATTACCAACTATTTTAGTAAGACTCGTATCGCCTTTCCACAGACAAATCGGCTTTATCACGAGTGAGAACTTCAACGGCTCGCTTAGCACCAGAAGCGCTATATCCGCATCGCTGGAGGAAATTTTATAATCAGGATGCACGTATATTCCCATCGGTTCCACTATCTTCTCACCGCTCGTCGGAATCCACTTCTGAATATTCAATTTCCCCAACACCAGCAGCAACTCCTTGGGCCGCACTCTTCTTGTAGAAGTCTGAACGCAATGCGCAGCTGGAAGAATTTTACATGAAGTCGATGCAATTGTAGTAGAAAACATGAACTACCTGTAACTACATGTCTGTTGGATATTAATGACCCGGCGCACTTGTAGTTCAATCCGTTGGGCTTGACGGCGAAGATGGCGACGAGCCAGGGATAGGCCCCCTTGGGGACCTCGTGTCCGTTGAATATCAATGGGATGGTTTTGGGCGTGCTGCGGCCGCAAACGTCATCGTACGGCCTCGTGCTTTGTTCGCTGCCTTTTGACACCAATTCGAAATCATCGCCGAACGACAAATCCGGCGAACCCACGCCAACGCCCGGCGGTGGAGGCGTCGTTTGTTGGGGAACCGGTTGCACTGTCGGTGGATGAGAAAGATGAGCTATAGAAATAATAAAATTATCAGTATACTACATTACATATCCAATAATTGATTCTCGCCACTTACTATTTTCTTTGTTGTTGTTGTTGTTGTTGAAAAAGGGGTTACCGGCGTACACTTCCGATGGTTTCAGCCGATTCGTTGTGGGATTGAAATTGAATCGGTTGGGCGGGAGCGTCGGGTTGAAGTTGAACTTATTGTTCGGATCGAATTCCAACGGTTTCGACGCCGGTATGTGGTAGTATTCGAAGTCGATGTTGGGCTTTTCGTCCTTTATCGTAGAGAAATCCTGCCTCGGAGGGACCAAGATGTGGTTGTTGTTGGTCGATGGGAAATTCGATGCGGATATGTCGATCTTCAACGAGTGCTGGAGGTTGACTGTCGATAGTATCGAAACTATATTCACTGAAAAATTAACAATTATGAGTTTAGATGCGGAGAAAAAGTGTTGATTAATCATGCATGAAGGCAGATACAGGTATTTTTACTTATTTTACCTCCTTCATACTCATTTTAAAACCCTTTTGTAGAATGAAAACACGAAGGAACAAATTACCATAATAGACAAAAACTAATACAACGATTACTTATACTCCTAAATAATATTAAATATCGGAACAATACATACGTATAAACAAATATAACCTGGACATTATTACAACTAAACAGCTTTCAAAAGTCCATCACGCTACACATCACTACTCGCCAGCTACACATCACAACTCAATAATCACCTACATTATAAAATTAAAAATTACAAACTGGTACGTAATTGCTTCGCGATAGAAAAAAAAACTTGATTGTCGCTTTGAAGGTGATCTTTATTGAAATGGAAGAGTTATGGATGGTAGTTGAACGGTTACTGCACTCATCAATACACATTTACCTGCCTAGACGGTCGCAAAGCTATTACCCAAATATCCGGCTTTCAAAACCATTATAGGGATTACGTTAGAGCTTTGAATGATTTCCAATGAAATTCAAGTATTTACAATGTTTGGAAAAATGCAATGGTGGTATAGGAAATTTACTGGTAGTTATTTTGTTATAAAATATGCAATATAAAATATTTCCTCAATTAAAATAAATTTAAATGTAGTGCATAAAAACATCTAACTTGCTGAGTAGGGAGATTAAAAGAATCAAATATATTTGTGCAGATGATCCGAGTCCGGCGGATATTGGAATTTACCAGCAATTAATTTGAATAATATCTAAGGCATTGTTATAGAGATCTCTTACTTGGAATTTTGGGTCCGCTGCAAATGAGGTGATCGTTAACAAGGATCTGCGTAATTTTCGGCGGTATGTCTCTCCAAGCCGGAAAATACAAATAATACTGGAGTGGTCGATGATTGCTCAATAGGTAAATGGTTTCTTTCGGTGTGGCCAATACCAATTTGCCATTTTCCTGAAAATGATTTACGAAATAAATCAAAAACTAAAAGAAACGTACGTATATGGTGCATATTATGGTAATTACTATTTACTTATATTAAATTATTTCCATTTAGTCACGGCTAGTTACTTGTTTTATCTTAATAAACAATCAAAAATGTTTCATAAAGCATTATTCATTCTATTGTCGAACAAACTATTCAATGGAACTACAATCGGAATACGTTCGAAAAGAAATAAATTCAAACCGCAATAATGGAAACGATTAATGAATCGGTAGGATTTTCTTGGTATCAATTTTGATCTTATACATACAGACATCATGAAACTACAATTAATTAAAATATCCCATGTTTTAATTTAAACGAATAGGAAGTTAAACTGTTGGAGATTTCAAGGCAACTGCCTAAAATTTATGAAAGAATTTCAAAGTTTTCAGTCGTGATACAAAGAAAGATCAAATACGGAACTGTTGTACCTACATGATATTTTTTATATTATTATAACATTTATGTACCCGCCCGCATAAAAAACAACAAACAACAACAAAACGTTTACGTAGAATAATAGATAATATTCAATTGAATGATTCTTGATGAAATTACAAAACTGTTAGATATTTGTCTATGGTTATTTAAATATTTCTTTAATTTACTTACATGAACTTCATTTCCAATAGACATTTGCACGTCTACCTTCAAATAGCTGGTTGGATCGACGGTGAAGCTAATTTCCCCATATAATCCATGTTGGTTATCGTACCTGTACTGGAATATAGATGGACAGGGGCTATCTAGGTTTTGAGACCACGATGATGGTGTTAATATTGTTACTAATATTAAAAATACACGCTCCATAGCGTAGCTCATTTTGTACAATAATAATATTTATCACAAATCAACAATAAGTAAAAAACTAATAATAAATAAATATTTTTCGCGCTACAACCTTTTTTTAGGTTGCGGTTTACATAGGTATTTGCTTGATTGTTTGAGAGGTAGCAGAGAACTAAATTATCCTGAAAGAAAAACAGTAAACAGTAATAAAAGTTAAGTGAGTACATCAGCCGATATATTGTGTCATAAAATTCGAATTTGGTTATCGAAAAATACGAGTGTAATTGCGGCTAAAGTTGATTAACTCGAAATTTCCAAGCCTCGCAGACATACCACAAATTGCCGCTAGAAAATATGTATGGGTCATAACAAAAAAAATTGTGTGTGAAATAGCGGTGGTAATCTAAGTACATTTTGTATACAGATTTGTTTAAATCACCCTGTATATTTATGATCCAATAAAGAATGTAAAAAGTAGCACAAAAATTAAATACCTATAAACTCATCAATATTTATGAAAATAAGAAGAATCATGCTGGCAAACAGCTTCTGGGTTGCTTTTTTATAACGGGCAAGCCGGTAAAAAAGACCAAGTTAATTAAAATCTGTCTTATATGTAGCTTGTAATGCAGGATACCAACGAGAGTTGATTGGTTAATAAGAGAAATAAGAAAAATCATTAAAACTTTATGAATGAATACAAAGAATACGAAGTGTTGACAAAAAATTTACAGTTCATTTTTGAATATGTGCAGAGAAGATTCAATACAAAAATTGAAAAATTGAAAAATTACATAATTTATGCTTATTCAGTGTTCAGGATGTTTGATTGATCTGCATGGTATATCTTTTTTTAATTTATTTGTAGATAGAATAATGGATTTATTAACTATACTAACCTAATTAGAATGAACCGTAAAAGTAATAAAATAGGCTTAAAAATCCAAAAACTCCATCACTGAAATGAATCACGAAATCACAAAATAGTTTTACTTTCTAATAAAAGTGCAAACATTACCAATCAACTATGTGCACAAGCTATTATCACTTGCCTATATTTACACTTATGCATATTAGAACTCAAAATTGCGTTTCTTCAACGCAATGTCGTTGTTTAAAAGCTTCTTTACTCCGCGATTAAAATTAAAGCTCACTTTCGAAAACTGCCTAAGCTTCATGCAGAATATTCGCAACTTCAGTACATCAGAAAATACTGCCTGATGCCTGATTTTGCACGCTGGAACTTTGGGAAACCCTGAAGGAAACGCCTACTTTAACCGTCAGTGGGGGCAACGTGAAAATGAAGTTGGTAATTTACCAGTGGCGTAGGCTTCACGAAAGTCATTAATTTTATTTTTTACAATTATTTATGCTTCTTAAAGTGAACACATTTGGGTTATGAGTAACGATTAAGTGTTTGTAAATGTTGCTTAAGTTTACTTGTAGTGTTCGTGATGTCTTCATTAAGTTCTAATCTCGTAAATTAATTTTGTATTGGGCGATACCTCCACCACTAATAATACCTGCATTATACTACACTGGTGCAGTTCCCGTACCGGTTCGAGGCCTGGCAAAAAAAAACTTTCAAAAAACGGATGAGATTTATAATAATTGGATATTCTGGTAACACCTTCACAATTTTTGAACCTATAATAATGATAGTGAATAGATAACTACTTATTATAATTGATTGCTTTTAAAAATGGTGCTCTTTATTTTTATTTAATTATTTATTAATGCATTTGTTTATGCGAAAATAAATAAAATAGATATCTACACCACTGGTATTTTATTTACCTACCTCAAATGAAGCAAATGATATACAAATATTTCTTACTATTGTAATTTGCAATAAATAAAACATCACGGATGGTTGAACGGGGACCTACACTTGTATTTCACCAGATTGATTTAAATGAAGCGCACGCAAAACACGTTCGTTTTACTTAATTTAAGTTTAAGTTAATTTTTAGATGGTAGGTATGGATTTAATTTTATTAACATTTGACATTATAGCAATAAAAACAAGTTACTAATAAAACGTGAGAAGTTTTGGATAATACTGGTTTTGGAATGTCTAAAAAATTCAATTTTTTTAAAAACTATATGATATTATTATTTAATATAACTAATAATAATTGGTTTAAAAAAATACTAATAAACCTCTAGAAGTAGTTTAAAGCAACTGCGAAATATAGAAAAAACCAATCAAAAAAAAAATAAATTTATTACTACCTACCAACATATATAATTTACATTTTATTGATTAAAACAAAATTTTTAATCAATATAATTTTTACTTATTTTAATATTTTTTATGTTTAAATTTTATACGTATTAATTCTTCGAAAATATTTTTTAGGCAACCTTGAAATGTTTCCAAATACCTATTTCTTTATCCTAAAACAACTTAGGTGTGCAATTTGTTTATTAATTAAATTTAAATTCAATTTCACATACTATTATGATAAATTGACAACTGTAAAATATTTACCTATTTTTTTCACAGATTATGTGAAATAATCTTCTCAAATATAATAATTTATGCAGGCTAATACAAAGAAATAATTGTTTCTTTGTTAATTTGTTTCAATTTGGTTACATTATAACATGAAATGGGGTTTTCTGATTACACTGATTTTTACACAAAAAATAACATTTCTTGGATTTGTTGTGTTTTTTATGTTAAGTTGTAGTTGTAGCTTTAGCATAGTTTTTGGTTTAATATAATACTCTTTGAAATATTCAATCAAGTATTCAGATAATAAAAGAATACAATATTTTTCTATAATGATTTATTTATTAAACTACTTATAACAATAAAAAGGTACAATACAGTATTATCAAATCTAAGTTATTTATTGTTTCTGATTAAATATTATACAAAAAATTCGAAATGTATCTACTCGTACAAACTAAAATTATGATTTTTTTACCTTAAAATATGTAGGTATACCTATTTTAACATATAATTTGTTTTTAACGTATTAAGAGAAAAATGACACAACATATTTATTGCATATTTAGGAAGGTAGGTAAATTATACAAATTTACAATTTCTAGGTACAAATCAAATTTCATTTTCAATTTAGTTCACTTCACTTACTTTCAATGAATTAATTATTACTTCACCCTATTCACACTTTTATTTTATTTGTACTCCAAAAATCTGAAGATTTTAGTTTAAAAAAATTAATGAATTGTAAGTTAAGAAATAATTTGTCCATCAATAATGGTGTGAATAGAAAATGTTGAGATATAATATTGCTTGAGTTTCAAAATATACGGGTAACTAAATCTTTCAACGATTTTTGGTAACCTCAACTTTCTCATCTATGATATCCACAAACTCCAGATCGTTCTTAAGAATTTTCTGCACGAATTCATTGACCGTATCGTTCGTAATTTCCACGCCATATTCCATAACAGCTACTTTCTTCTTGGGCAAATCGACTGCGACCAAAAGCGGCAATACGTCGTCCAAACCCACTATATCTCTAAGAATATCGGAAGTTTCACCATCGACTGCGATTAAAAACTGAAGGCAGGGATCCTCATCTAAGCTGAGGAAGAAATCCTCCTGGGCGGCACTGAAGTTGATATTGTTCGTTTTGTAGTAATTTTCAGCCGCTGGATGGAGGACGGATTCGGCGAATTGCACTTCTGTTTCTTCGCCATCTGAAATCACCAATAATTAAAAATTAAATAACTGTAAATTCTGCTTGGTTTTCTCTTTTGCGGATTCCTTAACTGGTTAAACATTGCATTATAAAGAATCCTCCACTCGTAAAAAACGAGTGTTTATTTAGCTTTTATGTGGGTAAGGAGTTGAAATTTCGATGTAAAATTTTACGGAAAAACACACTTCACCTTAATGATGCAATAAAATAAAAAGACATTTTAGCCTTCATAATTCCGTTCGTACAACGTGCAATAATTTCGCTCCCGAGTCTGCAAGAGTCTGTTAACCTCATAATAAAGTAAAAAAAGGGCATAGAAACAGGTGTTCAGATTTATTAAAATTTAATACAGATTAATGTGATGATACAAACGCGAACGCTAGAGTCCTCTAACAAAACGCGAATTCGTTAAAATTAAATTCGACACGATTGCTCTGATGCTATAAAGTAAAAGTTCTACAAAGCGTTTTCAGGAGTGTCAAAAGATCTTACTGTTTGCGGAAAGTCTCGCTTTGATGTTTCGAATCTTTGAATTTTTTATTGAATTACTTCTCCCGTGAATAATTACAAGAGTGCAAACATTATGAGAAATTCAAGTAAACTAAGTACATGGGAATACAAAGGAATGGAATACAAAAGAAAATAAACCACAGAAAAAACACCAACCTCTGTAGTAGAGATGAAAAGATAAATAAATCTGTTCACTTTATTTCAATGTATTATTCATGGACTTACCAACAAAAAGAACCACAGCAGGAAAATCATAAAGTCTGGTCAGGTATCGTTCAGTCAAAACATTCACAGGTCTGGGTTTCCAAGGAAAATACTACAAAAATACAGTTGTTATAATTGCATAATCAATCGAATTGCATTGAATTGAATTACCTGTGCTGAAGGATCTTCAATTAACTCGGTCCTAGCGTCCATTGTGATAACGTGCCCGTTACTATCCAGAAGCAGCAGCGTGGGAATCCCTCTGATGCCGTACAATTGGGCCAGTTCAGCTCGCACGGCCGTTTGTTGGAATGGAACCGCCACCCAAGGCATCGTTTCGACGTAAATTCGAAAGGATTCCGCGCTCCTGAAAGAATTCAAGCCGAAAGTCAATCAGGAAATTCAATTCGATCCGCTTTGTTTACACGCAGACCAATATTTGAATAAGAAATTGTCTGGAACAAGAGCAATCTCGTCCCACCGGCGCCGTTTAATAAATTATTCAAATTCATAATCCGATCAGCCCTATTGTCGGGGGTGCAGGAACGCGTGGAGATTCCACACCAGAGGACGTCAAAAGTTGCAGTATTAATGTACACTTTTTAACATTCAAACAGCCAGTTTAAATATTTCTACGCGGGTGTAAATTTCATCCCCGTGCGTTGTTTACAGGACTCGTCACGACATGTGTCGCGCGGCGAGAGCGATAAATCACGGCGAGGAAATTTTAAACATTTGTTCGCGTGATGAACATTCATAAAGAATTCGATTAAAATACGCATTTGAATACTGCTCCTATCGTAATTGTTGCGGGGTAAGGCTGCAAGTCGCCAGGAAAATAATTAATTCGAGATAACGCCGGTTCGATGGAAGTTGTGAGTCACGGTGAGTTACTTAATTTGCACCTGATTGCATCGTTTCGGTGGTGATAATTCGATAATTACTGGTTTTCCGAATGAAACAAACAATATATACGAATTGTGATGATGAATGTTTCGTACACGTTTTTACTGAAGTTCAGTAAAAGTCGGACCACCGGTTAGAATCCTTTTATCCAAGAAACTTTGTAGCGTTTGTATGCATTTGTTTAAACCCTCCACAACAAAGTGCCTTTTCCGCTTTAATTTCCCATTCTTTCTCCCTTCCGTTCGCCCGAGAAAAAGCAAGTCGTTTCCGCGTTTCTTGCAGGAAGAAGTGAACTTTTGTTTCCTGCTTTACGCGGCAGAGCGCGTCTACTGCGTGGCGAAACTAATCTCACACAATCGCTTAATTAAATGAGTGTTTGTGAAAAAAACAGTTGAATACCAACATCCCCGACGCCTGTACGACCCCCTAACTCCAATGGTCGCCATGGCAACTCGTTTCCCTGCGGCGTTTCGTCACCGTTCATAAGCTAAAGGGGTTCTCAAAAGTTCCCAAAGAACGGAGATAACAGTTTTTTGGTATCAATATTTTGATGCTGTAACATGTTCGAGACTTTCTAGGAAATATCTCAAGGGAAATTAGTTATTATCCTTGCTATAATTTATTCTAATTATGCATTAATATTGTAAAGATAATATTTTGCTCTCCTGCATCCTGTTCTAAAGTTAAACAGGAGCTTTACTAATAACTTTCTATTGGAGCAAAAACAGAACTCGCTGCACCTATTTGGAAGGAACAAATAAATCCAATTAGATAGGATGAGGTATATAAAGTGCAGTAATTAACTAAGTGCCTGAAGGGGCCCTTTAACTATCCCTTTATTGAACAGGATAAAATACCATTAATTTTCGGTATAAACATGTGTAAGAGGGTCCTAATGGATATAATGGACTTGATGTTTTATTGTTCCACATACGTTGCTTCTAGTTTGGCTTCAAGTTTTAATATATCGAGCAAACAAGATGAATTGAACTGTAGCTTTTTGGAACCACAGTTTATGAGAAGTTCCTACAGAGCGAATTTCATCAAGTTGATGCACAATTTTTAAAGTTTCAAGTTTGTTTAATATACTTGAAGTATTTTGAAAATCGTTATAAATACATCAAGTATTAAAGTTAATTTTGCAATAATTCTAGGTTTAATTTCAATGATTGCTATATATCAGGGGTTTTTAAATTTTCTGTATTAAATTTGAAACATATTGTATGATAGAACGAATGGAAAGTCCGCCGGAACATTCGCCTTTAATTGGATTCATTGGAAATTGTGGGTAACGACCCCTAGTTACGAATTCCGTTCGTGTTTGAATTGTAATAGTAATAGTCATGCGAAGGTTAATTAAGGGTTTATTCATGGGGTAGGTATCTGTGATATGTTATTGGTTCAGTAAATTAAGCTTTGTCCACATTCAAGTCCCCGGATGTGCCAGAATTATATTACAAAATTATATTTCAAATGTAAACTTTAAAATCCTTTTCACGACTGGTACTCATACTAATAGAAACGCTAAATAGAGGTATAAAACTGTGTTAATAGCACGTGTATAAACAAAATTTCAAAATAAACCCAAACAACAATAATTTACATTATCACAAACCACCCAAACTGTTAAACCGTAAAATTGCGCCTCGCTCGAACTACTCAATCAACGTAATCTCATCTATCCGAATATATTCCTCCCCGTTTCCTTAACTTTCCCTCTTTATAGAGCCCCCCAGGCCATTCCGGTCAGCTTTATTCCGGAACCCGGAGCGGCACCCGAGTTTAATTATTTAAGCGAATGGTTATACAGACCGGCACTTAGCGCATTGGCGAATGGCGAAATACCAAGGGGGGCAGTATAATCGCGAGGTGGTCGGCGCTATAACTCGAGGGCTAGAGGATAAGAGCTAAATTTATATCCGAAATTAATAAGGGAGTTGGATATTAATAGTAAAAGGAACTTTGTGTTTATTGCAGAAAGAAGTTCGGTATAAGAATTTTGTATAAATACAAAATGCAATATGAAATATGCAACTGTAGGGATATTAGTTTTTTTGTCAACTGTATGTAGTCATGTGTATGTATTTAATTTGCTTGCAGTAATCAGAAATGTAAAGTGGGTTAAGGTTAGAGGAAGATCCGCAATTGCAATTAAACGCAATGATTGAAAAGCAGTAATTTTAGTTGCAAAATCTACAAACATTACTAAAAAATCTACAATGTTTCTAATGTAATCACATTAATCTTTTCATCACTTACCTCAAAACCGAGTAAAACTTTTTTTGCTCCAATTATAAATACCCTAATAATAACAATCCAATAATCAATCCAATTGCTCTTTATCATTTTCAAACAGATAGCAATATTACTAATGAGAAGTAATTAGGCGATAAACGCACAGACCGCACGCAAAAGATAAAATTTCTACAACTCGACTGAACGTGCATTGTTGCAGAAAAATTTTTATTAGCAACAATTATCGGCCAATCGATTTAACCTTTCGTGCATTGTGCGGAGGAAAAAGGATGGTCAATGCCGATGGTACGGCGGCGGCGGTGGCGGCATCTTAACTGCGCGTCCGCCCCTTCCTGTCCCCCAGCTCGGCCGCGGACACGCGTTGTTTATTTGAATAGGCCATTCGAAAATATTTGTTAATTGACCGCCGTTGTTATTCGATCAATTTGTAAGTACTAGAGACATGAAGTGGCTGCCGGTGGTTCTGTTTTTCGTCACGAACATCTACGTGAGTATATTAGACGATTTTCCTCTGGTGAATACCAAATTTAGTTTTCGAGCTAACTGGTTTTTTTTAATTTAATTTAAATACATACTTATTGCGCGAAAAGTATATTTTCTGCGTTACATTTAGAAATTTGATCTGGTCGAATCGAAATTCTATGTTTAATTACTCCGTATTGAAATGGTATATCCTATTGAAAAACCGGTTATAACAATGGTGTTTTTCTTTTATGTAACTAATTCTTATTCAACTGAAACACAATAATTGTTTAACTGCTATTTTTTTATGAAAATGCTTTGTGTAATAGTTGTGCATTATACAAATTAAATTAAATTTATTCAAAATGGAGCGGACGTTTAAATAATTCCACGCATTTTACTATCTTTTCATAATAATAAGGACATTCCCTATAGTCTTTTAAACTCGTACAATTGTTAGTATAAACTACTTACATTTTTTTCTAAACTTTCAGGCAAATAACCTCAAGGTTACAATTTTATACGAGTCCTTATGTCCAGACAGTGTAAACTTTTTGAAAAATCAATTTTACCCAACATACAACATCCTAAAGGAAAAACTTGATGTCGAATTAGTACCCTTCGGAAAAGCGAATGTAAGTATCCACCCTACAGCGTATCTATTGTAATTAACAATTTTTAATCATCACCTAAAGGCTACTAAAATAAACAACACTTGGTACTTCCATTGCCAACACAAAGAGGCCGAATGTTATGGTAATAAAGTCCAATCCTGCGCCATAGATTTAACGCCTAAAAATGTTAGCGTGGAATTCGTAATGTGCGCTATGAAGTCAGGAGATGCCAGCGACGACACCATTTTGAAACAGGTAAATATAATTATACAAAATTTAGTCACACTGTAATAAAATAAAACACCATCAAGATAAGCTTACTGAAAATCGATTTTGCTACTAATTAAACGTTCTGCTGTATGATATTCCATACCCACCTTTCAGTAAACTGATGTGTAAACCATTAATCAAATATAATTAGGTAAAAGGGGTCGATGACTTTGTTGTTTGATTCAGTGTGCAGGTGATAGCAATGTAACATGGTCAGATATCGAAAATTGCTTAAATTCCGGCAAAGGAGATGCCCTGTTAGCCAAAAACGGGGAAAAAACTAATGAATTGAGACCAAACATACCGATGGTACCAACGATTATTCTCAACGGCGTTTATAGTGAGGCAGTGCAGAATTTGGCTTTGAAAAATTTTCAGGATCTCGCCGCGCTAATACTAGAAGAACAAAAAAGCGGAGGCGATAGTTCAATCGATTTTTCGAAAAAAATAGTATTCTTTGCTATGGGGCTCTACATATTACTTGTAGTATAGTTGTACTACATTTCATTAGAACAATAAATATGTAAGCACATTTCGTTGGTAATAAAGCAATGTATTCGAAAAAATATTTTAAATTTTCAACCTAAAACCTTGCAACAGAAAACACGCGATGTAGTTAGCACAAGAATGGAGCTGGGAAAGAGACTGAACACATCAAGGGTATTGAGCTGGAAAAACCCTTTCGGGCCTTTAGATGAATTCGAACCCTTTGTAAAGATGTGTACAATGCATGCTCGCGCCCTAAACCGTATAAGCGAGAGCGTTTTTTCACTTCTTTTTCACACTCGACGTGTTAATAATTATTACCGACGTTATACACGTTTTTAATAGGTTTCACATTTCCTCATCTATGCACTTTTCTATATGAATTTACTGAGATATTCCCCATACATTTTACGCTGACACTTCCAATTTTTCACTACTTGAAAATGCTAAAGTAATAACTTACCTATCGCTACTGACGAATATGATTTCAAAATTAGGTTCCTTCTTCCTTATTATCCTGTAGATGTCAGCTAGTTGGGGAGTAAACGCTCTACAGGGAGGGCACTTAAAACAATTTATTTTTTAGTGCAAATTTTTACAAATTTTCGTGATATAACTCACCCAATTTGCCGAGAAGTAGAACCCTTTAATGCCTTCGGGTAAATTCTCGTATCGAATATCCTCTTTGGTGAAGTTCTTGTGCTCGGAGTAAAAACTGCCTCCCGGCTGTAACACGATGTCTTTCAGAACCTGAAATATAATCGATGATAATGATAGGTCTCAACTAAAAAAATTGTTAATTTTACGTGTTCGACTGGACGAGGTCTCCAAGGAAAATTCGACCCGCTTGGATCCTCCAGGAGCTTTTCCTGAGCTGATACAGTTACAGTAGAACCATCCCGATTGAGTAAAACTAACGTTGGCACTCCTGATTTTATTCTGTATCTTCTAGACAATCGTGTCTGCAACAAATTAATTATAAAATTATTATCTATACATCCCTGTAGATACATAAAAAATTACTATACGATGTTCAAAAAAATTTACTCTTTCCCTTTGAATTAAACTCGACCTCGTGTTTGTTTAGGAAGTCGAAAAGCATTCGACCAAACTGTAAACATTCGGAGTGCACCTACCAGATGATATCTCGGTAAATAAACATTTCTTTACTCCCATGAAAGCGTCCGAGTCGGTTTAAAAAGGTTGTTTTTCGCTGCGATCGTCAACGAAAACTTTTTCATTTTGGAATTCTGCGGCCGTAATTATCCGCGAAGTGAGTGGCTGCTATTAGCATATACTAAGAGAGAAATGGAAATGAGGATATAATATCTGCGAAAAAAAAAAACAACTAAAGAATGCGGTGGTTCATTTTAATCTGTTTAATTTTACATCCAGTTATGGCTGGTGAATTTCTCCGGTCGAATGAAAGTTTCCGAACGAGCTTACAGGAAAAATGCAACCGACAACAAAAATATAAAAAGTTTCCTAGCTTCCGATCAAAGCGACAAAAAATCCTCCCTTTTCCATTCTTCCGTTCGACGCATCAGCGATATTTCAGATTATTCCCATAAATTCCCTGCCGACCGTCCTGAAAGTTCGAAACGAGTTCTGAAATTCCTATGAAACGCGAAAGTAATCCGACACATTCATTTTTACGGCCGCAATTATCCTTAATTTCGTTTTCGTTTATGCTCCCTATCGAGCCCTCTGGACGTCCTAAGCGCGCGGGATTTCGGGTTTTGATCAAATTTAAAATCAATAGAACCAATTCAGTCGATTCGGAGAGTACCATAAAAAATCTGTTTCAAGCAATAATAATTTAGGTAAACCTAAATAAAACCACTTAAACTACACTTGTTTCTATTATTTCAAAGACATCTCAACAATTTGTAATCACCTAAAGTATCAGTATCGCCAATTTTAATTCAACGTTTCTATTCGCTAAGTGCAATTTTAATCAAATCCTCCTATCGGTATTTATGAAACGGGCTCAATTCATGGCGAACGCTGCGCCTCCGCAATGCATATACATTTCGAAATTAATTCGCATTCGTAATAGCCGACAACAATGCTCATGATTCCTGAATAGCCGCTCGTTGAAAATTTAATCAACCTCGTTACACAACGTCTAATCCCGGCTGCGACTGGATTTCTAAAATTTTATTAATCCGCTTCCATTTACGCCCGAGCGATATGCTAATTTATGTGCGAGTTGCACCGGGAGTTCCTGCGGGAGTGAACGATATAGATGATTTAATAGAGTATTTTTACGGCTCCTTAGGTATACGGTAAATAATTAATGAATGTTTATGATTTTAAAGTATTAAACTGCTTTCTAACTTTTGCTATGAAACGTTTTAAAAAGGAAGGATCGATTCGGAAGGATCGTTATTTATTCATTATTCACCCGTCGACGAACGAACGAGGACTATAAGTACCAACGAATTCACGTTGTAGGATCCTTGAAGAGATTTTTTTTCGAGAGGCGTTTCAACACACGATTCAATGCCATTGTTTGCAAATTGCTATTCAGTGATGTAATGAAGCCACCGAACTCGTACAATTATATATTTCGTATAAAAGTTTTACGTCTTCGGAAGCTTATTAATCGTTAATTTTCTACGTCATTTCATTTCTCGATTCATTCGAGCTGCCCCATCAATCTAACCGCAGGGCAATTTATTTCAACAAGTAGAAAAGTCGAAAGGGACTCGGCAAAAGGGCAGGGACCAACCTTCAAATCAATCTCACTAAAAGGAACAGCGAACCACGATAATCCCATCAGGCTTTCGCGATGGCTGCTTTCGATATCTCCATAATTGTCGTTGTGGGCCCACATCACTACCTGAAAGAAATCCAATTTCGTTTAGAAAACCGGAAAATTGTTGGCAAATTAATCGTGTAAGTAGTAGTACCTGCACGACTTCGAATTTCTTCTCTTCATTGCCGCCTTCATTTCTGAATCGTTCATACAGATCCCGCAATTTGTTGATGAACTCGTCGCTGTGCAGGTTGATGTTGGCGAAGGAAAAATAAACCCCCGTCACATTCGCGGCGTCGAGAACGTCGCACGTGGATATCGTGTCGAAATTATTGGAATTGCTCAACGTTTCGCATTTGATGAGCTTCTTGCCGAACAGCCTCTCGTACCACTTCAGCTTCTCCATGTCGCTTGTGCCCTTTTGACGGCTCAACGAGACGCGTTAACGGCGTTTAAACGATGCATTTCTGTAAAAAATACGAACAATACGAGTGTTAATTTTAATCTTTTATTCGAAATAGGACGGGGATGTAATGGTGAAGATGTGGTTGATAACATCAGAATGGTATCTCAACAGAAATTTAACAATGTAAGGTTTTATTTAGCGGAGTTTATGTTGTATGGTTTAAACATTTATTCCTGATTTCGTAGGAAATAAACTGAACATTTGGAATATGCCTTAATTTCCTTCTACCAATACCAATACCGCCTACGCCTGTGTTTGTTAAAACAGTACATCCTCGCTTTAACTGTACTCCTTTGAACTTAAAACATAACATTATTTTTCCTTTAACTGTTTATTTTGTTTTATTTATATCGCGCATTTTTGAGAATTCGATGGCAATAAAATGCCATTTTAGGATAATTTAATTACCGTTTAATTTACTACTAAATAAAGCGAGAACCATTTCCCAAACAATATATTAAATTACAGTGTTACTAAATTCCACATTTTTAACACGAAACAATAATTGTTAAAACTTACCAAAAAGTTGGCGATTTCCACTACAAAAAAAATCTGGGAAACTTTCCCCGAAGTGAGACGCGAGAGATCGATCGCATACGGCGGACGAACGGGCGAGAAAGGGACGACACTACTCGCGCCGAGGTACAATGACTTTGTGTTAAAAACCGGACTACGGATAAAATGTTGGCGGAAAGCGTCGGAACGTTCGGCGCGAGCGACGCCGGGTCAATAACTACAGAGCGTCGCGACGGCAGCGATTGAACTGAATTCGAATGTAGCCGTTTCGAATGCACAAAGAGCCCGAAGATTCCGAGAAGCGCTCCTGGGGTATCACATGCGCCGGTTGCCCATAGTCGCGCCATACGGGAATTTCTACGGGAAACCGAATGTACAAATCTTTTAAGGGAAATTATATTTAAAGAGTAAATTTACTTGGAAAAGGTTGTTACTGAATGAGTACAATCTAGTGAATAAATCTTAGTAACTAATAGCAAATAAATCCTAATATATAACTATGGCTACGGATTGAAACAACATATTTATCAAAATTTTTTTGACAATAAAATCAAATTACTAATTCTGATATTTTCGATTCAAAATTATGTTCTAAATTTCGAAATAATTCATTTGCTCACTATCAAAATTACATAACGTGTTTAACATAATGGCACCTTGCCCGGACGCGCAGGCCAGAAGGAAGACGTTATTGTCGAATTTGAAAAATTTAGTATGCCAAATCGAAGGAAGTTACTGCCCGAAACCGCCGCCGCCGCCTGGAGTGCCGTGCGTGTCGCCCGTTGGTCCGGTAATAGAAATTTACGATCCGCTGCCTAAGGCTTGCGTTCCCATCTGCAGCCCGTTTATCCCGCCGCCGGGCCCGCAGGCTCCTTGTGGGGTAGCCACAAGCCCCTGCGGACCTGTACCGTGCGGCCCCGGCCCCTGCGCGCCTTGTGGGCCCTGCGGACCTGGCCCATGTGGACCCTGCGGACCTGGTCCTTGTGGACCTTGCGGACCATGTGGCCCTTGTGGTCCTTGTGGTAAGTCTATAATTCTATCATTACGATGTACGTCATATCTAACCATCGGTTTTGTACAAGGTTATCCTAATCCATGTGTCATACCAACCGGGCCGGTAATGGTACCGCCTGCTATGCCAATTTGTACGCCAACTGTACCTCCATGTGTGCCCCTTTGTAATCCCTGTCCTGAAGAACAACCGTGTGTTCCTTGTAATCCACCTAGAATGATGGTGTGCTATAGAAGACCGAAGGTGCAAGCGATCTGCGGCAAGAGACCGAAATCGAGGGAATTGAGAGGAAGTATTCTTATGTACGGTTGTTTGTGCGAAAGAAATAATGGACTACAGGTAAAAAAAATTAAATCATTACAAACTATTACGAATACTTTTTTTATATTTTTGCAGGATCGTTGTCCACGTTACGAATGTAAAGGAGCGCCGGAATGTGGTGCTCAAGGTGGTCCAATTTGTCATCCTTCCATTGGTGCTCACAAGGGACATCTTCCGAGGAGAATGTGGGATGTTGAAGAATATCAATGTTATCCAGCGTATATAAGACTACCGAATTGTCCACCATGTGGACCGTTTCCTTGTTTCCCGTTTGGTCCTGGTTGTTCGCCGAAATATGGAGCGTGTGGACCGTGCGGTCCGTGCAGTCCGTGCGGTCCATGCGCCGGTCCTTATGGACCGAGTTGTGGACCAGGCAGTTGTGTCAATCCATGCTCTCCCTGTCCCCCGTGCGGTCCGACTTGTCCGCCTGGTTTACCCGGCGGACCAGGCTGTGGTGCTTGTGGTCCGTGCTCACCAGGTCCTTGTCCTAGTCCGGTATGTCCTCCACCGTGTGTACCTCTAGTAGCCAAACCGCCCTGCCCACCTGTGGTTTGTCCTTCACCTCCGACTATAGTACCGGTCGCTCAAATAGTACCGGTCGTACCTCAACCACCGATGCCCGTACCTTGTCCGCCTCCAATTCCATGCATTCCTGTCCAACCGCCGCCTGTCTGTCCGCCTCCTTGTCCTAAACCTTGCGCGCCCACTTGTTCCCTTCCGGGTTGTCCGATGACGGCTCCTCTTCCTTCCTGTGCGAGGCCGCCCGTTTGCAGCGGCCCGCTCACGCCGGCCATTCCGGATTGTCCATTCTCGCCCCTGATGAATCCGCTTCCGCGTCCTCCGCCGGGCTGCACCGGCCCCAAACCCAAGCCGCCGCCCATTTGCGGCCCCTGTCCGCCGGAGAGGCGGTCGCCCTGCCAACCGTGCGGGCCGTGCGTTACAGATGCCCCCTGTGGGACCTCTTGCAGACCGCCGCCCTACCGTTGCCCGCCTATTCCCCATCAGCCCGCCGTGTCACCTTGGTGTCCGCCTTGCGGGCCCGTTCCTAAATGTTTCAGCCCGCCTGGACCTTGTTACCCTGTTCCCCCTCCAGGACCTTGTGTTTGTTAATTTATATTGTCTTTGTCTGTTAGAGGAGGGTGACTTAAAGGAATCGATTCCAATTAAAAATTGTATAAGATACAATAAATATTTTTTTATAAACGGCGAGCTTTTTATTGTTTGATAGTAGTGAATGACTGTTTTTTTTATTTTCAGGAAGAAGTGTCCAATTATTGCCAGTAAAAATACTTTGTGCTTAGCATGAAATGTATGGTATACCTAAGGTAACTTGAAACTTATATTTTTGAGGAAAATAAAAAACTTGTTAATATGGTTTCGTTTATTTGCAGAACATTAAAAAAATATGAAACAGTGTTTATAGTAGTTCTGTAACTACTTTTAAGTACAGCATCACAAGTAAAATGTGTATGATTGTTAGAATTCTAATTGTAATCATCTCAAAGTTCCTCATTCTACTTCTCCCATACTGAGAAAGATACCTAGCAAGGACCGCAAGGACCGCAAGGGCCACATGGACCACATGGACCACATGGACCACAAGGACCACATGGACCACAAGGACCACAAGGACCGCATGGACCACAAGGACCTGGACCGCAGGGACCTGGACAAGACGAAGCTGCAGGACAGGGCGAGCACAAAGGACAAGCTCCAGGCGGTGAGGGACCGCAAGGGGCCACACAAGGCATAGTTTGTGGTACGGCGCTGGGGAATTGGCCGCACGGAGCGGCGCTGCAAGGTGGAATGGAACCGCAGGGAATCGGTCCACAAGGAACACCGCAAGGAGGACTGCTGGGACCGCAAGGAGGACAAATGGGAGGCAACATGGGGGGACTGCACGGAGGCGGAGTGGGCGAACAGACCGGCAGACAAGGCCCGTACGGACCGTAGTTACTTTTAGGTCCGCACCCACGAGGCGGAGTTTGCCTAATAAATGCCGGATACGTGGGGCATTCTTCTATACCCGGATCTTTGTAGCGCAGCGGTAGATGTTGCCCGTTCGCGTACATACTAGGACCGCAAGACGCGTAGGGTTTCGTCATACACTCAGGAGCCCCCAAGCATGCCTGTCGTTGGCACCTGTCCTAAAAAACCATATACAAAACTATTAAATTGAACAAGCATCATTAACAGATGTTACCTGTAATCCATTACGTTTCTCGCAATGGCACCCAAACATCATGACACCGCCTTTGATTTCCCTGGATCTCGGCCGTTTGCCGCAGATGATTTTCACTTTGGGCCGTCGGTAGCACACCATCATTTTCGGGGGTCGGCACGGGATGCAAGGCTTGCACGAGGGGCCGCACAGGGGCAGGCAGGGCGGCGGCGCGGGGCCGCACATGGGATTCGTGGGCCCCATGCACGTCGGGCCGTAGGCGGGCGAGCAGCACAGGCCGGGCGGCGCGCCGCAGGGGCCGCACGGGCCGGAGGGACCGCACGGGCTGCCGCAGGGAACGCACGGGGGAGACATGTCGTCGAACGGGCGATTTGGATCGGTAAAAAAGCGCGCTGATTTACTTTAAATTTTGATCATAATTTCGATCGCGAATTTGGAATTTTGATGCTCTCGCATCGGGGAAATTTTGACAAGATAGTTCGATTTTTTTTTCTCGGAATTAAGGGGTGTTCTAATTTTATGCAAGCTTTTAATTGGAAAAATTACTTACAACGCCCTTAAGGGGTTTACTTGGTAACTAAAGAATCAACACAACGTCAGTATATTCAAAATTTTTATGTTAATCGGTACACATTTACCCGCTAAATTTTAAATGAAATTTTCCCCATTATAAATCTAAAATTCGAAGTCCATTCCAAATTATAGTAATTGATATTTTCGCGTAAGAAAATGGCAGCAGGATCTCTAATAGACACGTTGAGAAACGTCTTGTGCCAAATAGACGGCACGTGCTGCCCGCCCCCGAGTTGCGGCTCGCCGTGCTGCGGGCCGATGGTATCGGGCGTTGGGCCCGTCATCGAGATTTACGACCCCCTGCCGAAGCCCATGATACCCATCTGCACGCCTTACATAGCGCCCTGCGGTGGTGTAGCGCCTTGTAAAGGTAAGTAGATACTAATTATACTAGAATAAATTGTACATGAATTTTTGTTGCAAGGCGGTCCATGTCCACCGTGCTGTCCCCAGCCCTGTTGTCCCGGCATGGTGCCGTCCCCGGTGACCCCGCCGCCCTGTGTGCCGCTCATCGCGAAGCCCCCGTGCCCGCCAGCGATCATCCCCACACCGCCTACTATAGTGCCGGTATCGCAGATTGTGCCGGTGGTTCCCAGGCCGCCGATGCCGGTGCCGTGTCCGCCGCCCGTGCCGTGCGTCAGACCGTGCCCGCCGCCTGTTTGCCCTCTACCGTGTCCGCCGCCTTGCGCTCCTTGTTGCGGACCGCCGTGCGGCCCCGTTACGGCCCCCCTGCCTGTTTGCCCGCCTCCTACTTGTCCGCCAGCTTGTTGTCCACCTTTCTACGGTCCCTGCGGACCTTGCGGTCCTTGTTGATAGTCGCGTAGGTGTTTAGTAGGAGTTTCTAAGAAAATTCTACTCTAAAAGTGCTTTTTTATTGTACCAAACTTATTTTTTGTAACAAGAAAATTTTTCTATAAAATCGAGGTTTTATTGTTTGTATTTTTGACAGGTAGTCATGAATCTGGCCAATTAGAGTGTTTCATTTTCACTTGATCTTATCACCAGCCAATAAGAAGCTGTTTGGTTAGGGGGTAACTAAATAACTTTGATATCAAAGGCCTAGGTGACTGACACTATTGACAGTTTTGGTCAAAAAAGTAGCAGAAGATAGCCTACAAATTCAATAGGAAGAAATTTGATGTTATTTGAATTGAAATTTAAGTTTGTATTAGGTTTGTGTGCTTTAAATTTAAAATGTTGGCGCACCGGATTGATGATACTAAAACTAAAGATGTACAAGTAATGGAGAATGTTACGTTCGATTCGTTATTGTTGTCAGAAAAAGTATTGAAAGGTTTGCAAAAGAATGGGTTTAAGAAGCCCTCCCCGGTTCAATTAAAATCTATTCCTATAGGCCGTTGTGGTTTAGGTATATAATTAATTGTGTATATTGGGCGATTTTATAATTTTATCTTTTAGATTTGATAGTAAAATCGAAGTCGGGCACTGGAAAAACGTTAGTTTTCTCCATAATCGCATTGGAATCCCTGAAATCGAAAAAGAACAAACTCGAAGTTCTTATTCTATCTCCAACTAGAGAAATTGCTGTCCAGTCTCACGATGTTATTAAACTTATTGGCTGTTATTTTGAAGGTAAACTGTTACAATTCTCTTCTATTTATATTTTTATTAAATTTATTTTTTAGGTTTAAAAATAGAGACATTTATAGGGGGCTTGTCTATTACCGACGACAAAGAGAAATGCCAACAATGTCACATAGCTGTGGGAACCCCAGGCCGCATAAAACAACTCATTAAATTAAAATCATTAATAACAGATTCAGTCCGTTTGTTTGTGTTAGACGAAGCCGATAAACTAATGGAGCAAAGTTTCCGCAGTGACATTAACGAAATATACAACAGCTTACCATCTAAGAAACAAATCATAACCACTAGCGCAACTTACCCCAACGATCTAGAGGAATTCTTATCGAAATATATGCTATCACCTACAATAATTAATGCGGAAATCGATAACCCTTTACTTCTCGGTTAGTAAGCACAAACTACCCTGTACTTGTTATCCTTACAACTATTTTTTAATTGTAGGTTTAAAACAATTTGTTGCATTAACGAAGTTCTCACCGTCTGTACCGCAACAAATGAAAATCAAAACCGAGGAACTGGTAAAAATTATATCAAACGTATCGTTCACCCAGTGCCTCATATTCTCCAATTACCAAACCAGAGCTGAGAGTTTAAGTAACAGTTTAAACCAGAAAGGCTGGGCCTGTACTTACGTCTCTGGGGCGCAAACTCAAACGGATCGGTTAAAAGCCGTAAATGAACTTAAAGAGTTCAAATGCAGGATCATGTTATCTACTGATCTCACGGCTAGAGGTAATTTAATCTCTATATATCACACAGTTTTTTTTAATCTGAATTAATTGCAGGTATCGATGCAGCGAATGTAGATTTAGTGATAAACTACGATATTCCTGTGGACGCCATGACTTATCTTCATCGTATGGGAAGAGCCGGGCGGTACGGCTCTACAGGGGTGTGTGTAAGTATAGCATCTGAAGGTGTAGATGTTACGAATCTCCAAAAAATTTTGGGTTTTATCGGAGGAGACTCATTATCTATGCCCGTCTTTCCTGCTTTTATTGGCAGTATAACGGATTTATTGAATCTTAAAATACCTACTGATCAACACATTTTCGGCGTGACTGATAAAACCGAACGCAAAGTGAATCCACTAACGAAAAATCAAGATGAAACTATAGAAAATAAATCTTCAGTTGAAGTAGATTGTGATAAAATAAACGAAGAAATCGATCCCTCTTTGAAATATAACATGGATGTAAATGATGTATTAAAATTCGTGAGTGATACTCCTGCAAAGAAAACTGGTACTAAAGAAGAAACATCTGTTAATACTGTATTAACTGATGTTGAAATTAAAGAGAAAAACCTCATTAAAAACAAAGCATTGTTTGGAGTTTCTAAAATATTACACGGTTCGTGTACTAACGACGATAAGCAATTGATAGAAGGTTACTTCAAAGCGCAGGATCAAGAAGAAATTGATGATGAACTGTCCCAAAAAGATGCTAATGATTTATTAAATATTCTCTCCCAACGTGATGGGTATAAGGGACCTACTAAATCGAAGATTAACGAAGAGTGCGCGGTAGATTCCCCAAAAGACTGCGGTTTTGATGTTCAAAATTTGTTTAAATTTGGCTACGAGAATATAGTAAAATCGAGTAACAAAAACTGGCGTGAATGCCTACCCGACCAATTTACTATACCTCTAGAAAATATCGAAGATGAATTTGATTGTGATAATGCTAGCGAATATTCAGAGGATGAAGATAATACGAGTATAAATAAAACCACTGAGAATATAGAAACTGAGCATAACTGTTTAGATGAAGAACAATACGGAGCAAAGAAAAAAGCCCTGCAAGATTCAAACGAATTCGAAAACACCAATACAACAAAAAAGAAACCTCGAAAAACCAGAAAATCTACCAAAACCTCCTCAGGAAACGCGTCTTCGGAAGACAACGACAACAAAAAGAAGAAATCCACCGCGCAATTCGACCAGTATCCAGAAAGAGACATCATGAAATGGATCCCAGTGGAAAGCCCCTCTGTCGCTCCCTCCGAACCTTACCCCGCTCAAAGGGAGAACGAAAGTCCCATTAACAACTACGAACAGTTCGGTTCGTATTTCGAAGAATGTAGTAACAATTTGTGGCAAAATGGGCTGAGCTTCGACAGCGCTGAAAGCTTCGATGATTGGTATTATTACGAATGGGAGGCCCAGTTGTATTCCATACGGAATTATGTGCAGCAAAACGTGTACGTCAGCGAAATGGCCAAGTTTCAAAACTGCCGTAACCAAAATAATTAGGTTTTTGTCCTTATATTATAAAATTACGGTTAGTGTGTAAGTAGTAGTTTTATTATGAAAGGTACCAATGAACGTTGTTTAATAAATATATTTTTTTTTAATTTGTCACTCATCTTTTTTTAATAATTAAGGGTGGGAATTTAGGCTCCTAAATTACCTACCTTCCTCCACCCTTTTCCTACCTCTACCTACCCCATTCTCTTCTCAACTTGGGGAACTTTATAAGGAGTACCTAGTTCTTTTTAGAAATACAACGAAGATAAATTATTCAGTTATGGTTCGATTAAAAATAACAGTTCGTATTTATTTATTTTCAAGGTATCTACATCAGATTGTAGATAATAAGTTAAGAGTAGCTATACAGAATGTAACAAAAGAGAAACAATTTTATTATTTTATACCTAAAAAGAAAACTTATTGCTGTACTCATTGACTTCTCATTTAATTTCTAATTTTTTAAAAGACAGTCCAGCAGATTAGATGAAATTTTAAAATAAGCATGTTTGTGTATATTCGTGCTTGGAATTTCATAGATATTTTTCTTTACATTCGATAAAAAACATTAAATTTATTTTTATTTTCGCATTAAAAAATTTAAAATATTTAAGTATTAGAATATTTTTTTATGATCGATCATGATCTAAATTGGCTTGCGAAAAGCAATATTTTCATTGAACAGTGCATGGTGCATATTTTATTAATGAAATACAATAAAATTTCATCTAATCTATTTAAATTACGTTTACAACTTTTCGATATAACAATATTTTCTTTCTAAACACGATTTATATATAAACTTTGCAAAAATCACTATAAAATAATGTCTAAAAATTCCTCACGCACCTATCACCGTATATTATCGCAAAAAATAATTTCTTGCACTAAAGCTTCTTTAGACGAATCAATTTCTCCATCAAAAATACGATTTAATAATTGCGTTTAAATTTAGTAAATTAATTTTCTCCCTAAACATTACAATTATTGTTTACAAGCCTGAAACCATGCTCCAAGCGCAACAGATTCGTCTAAAAGAACATCTTCAATTCCTCTCATTAAAATGTGTCGTAGCTTTTAGAATATAACATTGTTGCAAAAACTAACTACATAATTTTAATTAGGTACATTATTTTTTATTTTTTTTTTCTTATTTATCTTCAACGAACGAACGCTCAAAAATATTTTCAAAACAACAAAGCACTTAAATTGCACCAATTTTTCACGTCCTTCTGTATCCAACAACACCTTCATAATTTATTCCAGCATTTCCGCAAATATTTGATGTGTAATTTTTTCAATGCGTGATATTCTACGTGGTTGCTGATTGTTGATCCAAGTTTCTGGAACAAAATTTATAACTAACCGTCACTATTAGACACCAATTTGTCCAGGCCTAAGTCAGGATTAAGATTTTCCTTCCAGAGGAAGAATATGTATGAACTCTGCACATTAAAGGTATCAATGAACTGGGGAACTGGTAATTAGGAAATGGAGTAGTAAACAGATAAAATTTGTTTTTGGTTTAACTCTAAGATCCTTGGATCTTATGATTACTTGGATCCTGGGATTATGAGGTTGAAGATTTGCTCGCAAACAGCAACAACAACATACCTCTAACTGCTACGAGGACGGATTGTGAGCCTTAGATATGGAATGGTTAGATTGCCGCGTCAACGGCTGATGCGACTGCGAAGGCGCTGTCATCGTAGAAGAGCTCAAGAGCAACCTGGTCTCCTCCGTCGGTGAATTATCCAACGGCGGCGGCGGAGGGCAAATGTACAGGGGCATTTCGCCCATGTGATCGGCGCACATCTTCAACTTGTTCGAGTCCATTACGGGCATGTCGTTGCACGATTGCTTCTCCTTCAGTATATCGTCCAGTAGAAACAGCTGCGATTTCAGCAGACGCGTCCTTTCGAGTTCCTGATGATGAAATCTGCTTTTAGCATACGTGGTAAAGAGATGTTGCCATAGGTATACCTGTTGGTAAGTGGACATGTTTTTCGAGGTCGATTTCTGGCTGGCCGATCTTCTGGCTGCTGGAGGCGAGGACATTCTCTTATTGGGCGAGTAATCGCTGCAAAATCCAACATCTGATCCCGACATACTGTCGGAGATGAGTCGCTCGCTTTCCGGATCCGCGTGCCTGTTGCTGCTGCTCTCCGATTTCTTCAGAATCGACTTCGATCGCCTGTGTAACTCCAATTGGGGACTCGTTCGGCTATCGATCGATTCCACCGATAACGAGGATTTGCTGCCCCCATTTTTACCTAAAAACCCTTCATTAATTGTTTGTTATGGTTGCCACGTACATCCCTTCATTATACTATCAATCTAATTAATTGTTTAGTATATTTCGAGGTACAGAATAATCGATAATTATAGCAAAATAAATATGTGTAAGAAGTTTTTGAATTCGAGCAATTTGCACGTTACTGTATAAGTATATTTTAAAATTAGCTACCTGGTTTTGACGCCAAGTTTTGCAATCCGAACAAATGCTGATTAATTATGCGAGTAGCCGACGCCAGGCCTCTCGACGACATAAATGACGTCCTTTTCCTTTTCTCCAAACTTTTTTCCAAACTTTCCTGAGAATCGTTGACACACACATCTCCTCTGGATTCGCCGAAGCGCGTGCGCGGCCGTCCCTGTTCCGAACAGATTTACAATTTCGCTTGGCCAATTTGCGCGGGTACCCACCTGAAACCTGGTTTTCCGGCTCTTCGTTTGCGGCGAATCGTTCAAGCTGACCCTGCTGCCGCGCTCGAGCATCCCGAACTCCTTGTAGCCCTCTTCCATGGGCGACGTCCCCAAGCTCCGGAGCGCCGTGTCGCCCGAAGCGGATTTCTTCACTCCCACGGTTCTCACGACGCCCGCGGACATGACGGGGCTGTTGTCGCCGCTCTTGTCGAGCGGGTTCACGTACAGATTGCTGTCGATGATGGTCGAGTCGATTATATCTGAAGCGAGATCGCCTTAACAACGAACGCGGGTTTTTTAAACTCCAACCACCCGAAAAATGGAATGTTTTTACCTTGGGAGTTGAACGGGTGGGTGGTGCAGCTTGCGAATGTGTCCGAACTGTCCATGCTGTTCAAATCCGTGCCGTTGATGTTGTTCTTCTGCTCGACGTCGAGTTCCGGAAAACCGAAGTGGTTCATGTACTGCTCGGCGGATTCCTTGAGGAGCCTCATTTCGAGGCAGATGGGATTTTTGAAATCGCTGGTGGTTAGTGGCATGAGGTTTTCGGCGTCCACGAATTCTTTAAAGTCCTGTCGAATTAAAGCATATCACTCATAAAGTTTCCGTTTTGGTGCATTCAATTTGTTACACCAATATGCTCAAAAGTAAAGAACAATCTCTATTATCACTAGTTTCAAATACCTAAGTGATATAATAGTATCTACATAATTCTACTACAAAATTTGGCGATGTAAAAAGTTGTTCAAAGAGAGATTTTGAAAATTTACTCCTTATACATATTTTATTTGTAACTCTCTCCAAATTTTTGCAGTAGGTCGACAGACAGATCGGATTAATCGAATAACCCTTGAGATATTTTCAGACATTTTGCAATTATTTGCTCGACAGAATCTGATTGTATTCTAAAAATAGCACTGGTGTTTCTACGATCTAAAATGCATCCATGCCTTCATGTGTGTTACTACAGATAAGAACTCGGGAAAATGGTGTTGGAATTTCAAGACAGATTACCCTATTGGAATACATTATTTTAGCGTTCGCTGCATGTAATAAATTTAAAGCGAATATTACCCATACGAATCGATAATTTAACCAGCGATAATAATAAAATAGAGGATAAGATGAAAGACGAATTGTAATCACGCTAATCATCGAGATAATTGAGTTGTATGTCCACAATTCCAAATACCATTTTTCAAAAATTTCGTGCAAAAATTTCTAATAATAACAAACATGCTATTGAATTTTAAGAGGTATAAGAAACAAACCTTCTCGCTAAGTAAATATTTCAATCAATTGGGTGAATTATTTACGTTATGTAGAAAGTGCTGGTTGAATGGATTTGTTTATAGGTATTTATAACGTCCATTTCGGATAATATGATTTGGAAATATCGATAAATTTATTATCGATATTTTTAGTAACATTTTCCGTTATTATTATATGAATCAACAGAAGAGAGTAGAAAATATTTTGAAAAGTAGATCGGACATTGAGGTTTTTTTGTGTGGAATTGAAATAAGTTTTCAATCAATGAAACAATTTAATCGAATTGTTATAGTGTTAGTGAATGATTGACTCACCTGCATTAAATAAAAGTAAAGAAGTTCTAAGTTAATCGCTAAATGATATTGGTACGTAGTGGAATGCATTCTCCTTGACACCTCCCATTACAATCCTGTAACGTAGCATTAGCTTTCGTTACTTAAGCAAATCATTTTATTAGACCAGGTTTTCACACCACAAAAAACAAACCAAAACGAAATATAAATGAATTAACGCCGAAAAGACATTCACAAAAAAGCAAATGAATCCATAAAAATCAGAAAAAATAATTCACTAATTATGGAGATTGTATTCAAATTTATTGTCGTCTCAAAATGATAAATCGAAAATGGCTAGTTAAGTTCAAGTGAAAAGTGGAAAATTCTAATCTGGTAATTATTTAACCAACCTTTTTAAAAGCTACAATCTAATACACGTTAAAGAACTTAAAATATCCTAAAAAAATGCTACTTCAAATGACAACAACATGAACATTTTCTGGTCTAATAAAACATAAATTGAATTCATCGATTTATAATAATTATAAACCAGTGTTATTAGAAACAGGAGAAAAGTGAATTGTTACGAATCGATTTATGTAGTTTGTACGAACACACATAGAACGTGTAAGATCGCAGGTATCGAGAGTTTAGTAGATTGTCGAATGAAAGATTGAAAATATTAATCTAAGCGTGAACAATGCAAGCCTACCCTACATCCAGGCAAAATTGATTCTCAAACAAAGCGGGTTTATTATTGAATGAACATCAGTTTCATGCACATAAAAATAGATTTGAATCTAGTTGATTTTCATCGAGTATAAACATTGTTTAAAACGATATTCGTATTTTCGAAATACGGCAGTTGAATTTTGTTTAAATTTTTTCCACCGATAGATATGTAGATATAACTTTTTTTTTAACTCGTATGTTCGAAAAATAGAATAATACTGACCACAGTAATTTTACGAATGGAAATTATAATAGGCAACGTTGAATAAACAAGAAATATTTTGTTAATACCAAAAGCTCTTTTAACTCTTTTGTAACGAACTTCATTCATACATTTAAATAAATGCTATTTGAAATAATAAAATAAAAATTCCTAGTAAGAAACATAAGAAATAATTAATAATTTTGGGAAAATTTTATGTAGGACCTGCTTCAGGGATGTTTCTGTAAGTTGTATTTACAAGTAAAGGCAATAAGTGCATGCAAATAAGGCGGAATAATTCGAACAATAATTAAACATATAGATACCGTTGTCAGCTGTGCAAACGCCAAAAAAAAGCTTCTTCAACAATGTATCAGTAAAACAACATAAAAATTTAATAGGTACCTTATTCCAGATCCGGCTTATTTCTATGTTTTGTGTAAGATGTGAATGTGTGGAAAGTGCTTGATAGGGTGCTTGTTGTCACATTATAGTCTTTACTGTGACCTAACAACACAAAATAATCAGACAAATACTCTCAACTTAGAAATAGAGTAGCAAAATATGCATATTGCTTCAAAATAGAACTAAATGGAGTAAACATTTAACATTCGAAATTTAGTAGAAATTTAATGTTCGCGTTAGCAAAAGAGTCAAGGAGATACAAATCCACTGTAAACGGAATTTTGTAATAATAATTTCTTCAATGTTGCCTAATTAGTAATTAACACCGAATCCCAATTTAAAACTTAATATAAATACAGAGTGTCCTTTCATTTATTCATACATAAACTTATTGGTACATGGGAGAAATTTACTTTGTCTCTCAAAGACAATATTTCTTTTCTAATTACCTAAGTAATTAATTTATTAAATGTTCAATAAACAACTTATAATTTAGAAAAGCTTCCTCTACTTATTTATTATAAGTCTGACTGAATCTCAATGAAATGGTTGAACATAGACAGTCTGTATAAATAATTTGTATATTTCGATTTCCGTTTCATTAACCCGAAGTTCTCCTAGCCAAATGTTTATTCGCGATCTTTGCATATTATTAATATAATCCATAAATAAAAACCTTATGATTCGAAATGCAATCGCGCGATTATGCAGGCGTAAATTTAAATAGCCCGGTTTAATAACGGTCGAATAAGTGGAAGATGCACTTTACGCATTTAGCAATAAAGTGAACTAAATTTAAATATTTTTTTTAATTTATGTTATTTTTCCGCTTTTGAATTGTTTGTTTGGATATTTTTTGTAACTTTGTTGCACTTGCATTTGCAATAGTTTACATAGAAAAATATGTGCCAAAAAAGTTGTGCTTATATTTATAAGAAAATGATATGTAAAGCGATGATTTGAAAAGTTCAGAATATTTTAAATTTCGGTGAATTTTGTAAGTTAAATATACAACAAATTGCTATATTTATTTAAATTATTCCAAACTATATTATATTATGTACAAGAATATTATTAAATGGTAGATGTTTCGAAAAAAGCCAAAGCAGTAACAGTAACACAAACTTTGAAATTAATTGTACTACAAAGGATTTCCATACTACCTTTGATGTACAGAAACAACATTCAAATTCACTAGGAATTTCTTCAATTTTTTCAGTCTTCTTCAGCGTATCTGATTTTTTACTGTCAGCCTATAATAGATACAAATAAAATAAATTCACAGAAACCTTAATATTTCGGCCTTTATTAAGATTTTTATTCAATAAGAAATTGTCCTGCATTTCCTGACATTGAAACAATTCTTTGCGTAACTACAGGTATTTTTACACAGCAAAGAAAGAAACACGCAGCTTTTTTTATCCCGTTCCGTGTCTATTTCTTTCAAAATTGATTACATATCAACCGTAGAATTCGAGTTGACTTGTTGAGGGATCTTTAACACTCTTCGGTAAAAAAAATTAATGGTAGTTTCAACATGTTGCGTAAAAAAGCCCGAGAAACGAAGATCAAACAGTGATTACTTCGAATCCGGCTAAAAATACGACGTACAACTCGAAAAATATGCATTAGGTAATTTTGATTGATTAACACGAAATTTATTTAATTTAAATCCAAACTTAATTTTGAACGATACGCAAAATTAAGGTTAATGCTTATTTAGTTTCATGCAGATTATAAATTTAACACTTAATACAACACAATGCTATATACATTATACATCGAATTAGGTTTTTTTATCACACCTTTATGAGAGAACAACCATTGTTCAATCAGTCAATAGTTGTCACAAAGAGATATGTAGTAAGATAAAGTAGAGATGATGGTTGAAGAAAACAAAAGTGTGGAAGTAGAACTAATAAAATAACCTGTGTAATGTAAAGATGAGAAAAATGGGTTGGGAGTTTTATAATAAAGCGCAACTTACCGATGGTGAAACGCATCCCTTGGGCGAGCTGGGAATCAGCTGCGTCTCGTCCTGCGCCAGCGGCGCCAAAGCCGGCGCGTTCTGGTAGGGCTCGTCGATGAATCCGAATTTTCGTTGCGAAGAAGGCGAAGCGGGCTGCGGAGGACCTTCGTTCGTTGGAAGACTAGGCAATGTGGAAGAATTGCTTCTTCGATGGCGGTTGGGGAAATGGTCGAAGTTTCTGTAGCATCCGGTGCCGGTGTGGCCCTGATTGCGGCCGCCGGCTATCGATTCCCCTTCGGTGCTGTTGCCGTCCGCGTGCGACATATTGTGGCCTAACGACATATTATCTGGCGTGTCAGAGATTTTTCGGGTTCGAAACGAACCGGGACGGGCCATGCGTGCACTCAGCAACGAACAGGTGTCGGGGTTTTACACTGGTTCTTGGCAGAATTTTTCGAAAAATTCGACCTTTCCTTTCAACAATTTATGAATAGAGCTTATATGCCCTTCCTTATGCTTTATGATCACTTACAAACAAATCCTTCTTGCAGGATTCCTTCCCCAGGATACAGGATAAAATTTCTGGGATACGAGATGATAGATTGAAAAAATACAATTACATTTTTTTATTACGCAATATAATTAAAAAACGACATTTTTTACAAGATAAATAATTTCTACATTTTTTTTATCATTAACTTTAAAACTTAACATTGATTTATCTATTTAAAAATTCTGCCAACGAGGTGTACTCAACCCCGATCTAGCGAATTGAACGACTGGCAAAGAGTCGGAAAAGCTGGTAATTAGAAGGAAAACAAAACGTTCGAGAAACATACTGAACATTGTGTCGAAACGAGAGTGCATCGTTATGCTTTTACAAAATGGAACACAAGCGAGAAACATGCTTTTCTTCGATAGATACGAACTTAAGGGTGTTTATGAATGTCTGCGAGTGTCTTCGTTTTCACCAATAAGGGCGCACTTTTCACCTGTTGAGAAGACAGCAGAGTCTTAGCACAGGTGCCTAACGAATACGTGCACGACAAAAGCAAAATATTTATAGTTCTCCTCAAATTTTTGATTAATGTTTTGTACAGAATTATTCGAATATCTAATTCCCTTTTTTATGATATGGAGTTTTCACTTAAGAGAAATATTATTGTTTGTTGTAGGCGAGTAAAGTTTACCAAGTGTGACAGTAAAAGATGAAATATTTCTAACCAATATAAAAGTAAGATAAATATTTTGTGATAAATGGAAGTAATTGTTCAAATAGAAGAACTATAAATGCATAAACAATATCTATACAATTGACAAAAAAAGTAGCATTTTTTTGTAACATTTGTCTAAACGAATATAGGTACCCATCATAATTACACGCTCGAAGTTTGAAATGGATAAGAGAGTGCGTAATTATAATAGTAGAAAAACAATAATATATAATAATATCATGCTGTCTTACCTGTATCTACAATAACGTCGATAAGATCCATGCTTTTGGCGAAAGCATCCCTAAGATTGATATGATGGAACGATACAATACTTCCTTCCCTCTTGGCTCTCTCGAGGGCCTCCCGCCTCTTCAAGGCTTTCTCTCTTCTCATTTGGTTCTTATAGAACTCAGCAAAATTATTAACTATGATAGGAATGGGCAACGCAATTACCAATACGCCACAAATACAACATACGCTTCCTATAACTTTTCCCAAAGGAGTAGTTGGGTAAATGTCACCGTAACCTACGGTAGTCATTGTTATACCCGCCCACCAGAATGTTTCTGGAATGCTTATGAATTTAGTACCGGGCTCTTCCTTTTCAGCGAAGTAGCAAAGGCTGGAGAATATTAGCACCCCCATCGCTAGGAATAGCATTAGCAACCCTAGCTCTTTGTAGGAGTTCCTCAAGGTGAATCCCAAGGATTGGAGGCCGGTGGAATGTCGGGCGAGTTTTAGGATACGCAAAATTCGCATGATTCGAAACACTTGGACCACTCTCCGGACATCTTGGAACTGATCGGTAGCGTTTTTGTTTGTTTCTAGCAAGAACAACGAAACGAAATACGGAAGAATGGCTAGCAAATCGATTATATTGAGTCCGCCTTTGAAAAATTTCCACTTGTTCGGAGAAGCACTGAAACGAAGGATGTACTCGAGGGAGAACCACGTGATGCACACGGCTTCCACCATTGCTAACTGGGGGTTGTCTTGGAAATTGCCCTTCTCATCATTCACTTGCATGCTGGGAATGGTGTTCAAGGTCAATGCGATTGTAGACAGTACTATGAATAAGATTGATACGATGGCTATCACCTGGAAGACAGTCCAAATTGAAACGATCGGTTTTTAAAACCATTTACATTAAAGCATTGTTGATCTTCAAAGCGCCGCTTTCACCTCGGCTATTTTATAGCAAACATCGATACAAATAACACCAAATTCACATATTTTTTTACAAACAACAATCGATCCAAATGGCATGTAAACATAAATCTCAAATGTCCCGAAAGATATTTATATATTTGCCTGTAATTAATCGTTATTAAAAGCAGAAAAAGCCGCATATAGGAAAGTTGGAGGTGCAAAAGCGTGATTGTATTTTCGAATATAGAAACTGGTGTACAGGTATACGAGTAAAGTATTTTTCAAGTCAAACAAAAATACATTTAAATTAAATATTAACTTATAAGAACTGTAATTTCCCGATTTGTTTTTGTAGTTTGATTGAGTTCTGTGAGTGATGTAGACATAAATGTAGGTGTATTATTCAATTCTTTTTGTACTTAAATTACGTGAATGGAATTGACACCTCAGTGGAATTGTTGTTGTACAAAACGATAGTAAATACGAAAATTTCATTTAATTAGCAATTTTTAGAGATTGTATATTTGCTTATTTATTATCCAATTATTCGAAAAAGCGCAACAGAAAATCACTTCTTAAAATTTAGTTAGTTCGACCTAATTGCTTCCTGGAAAATTTTGGGGACGAATAAAGTTTTAATTGCACTAATTAGTTTAACAATATCAATGAAAAAGGTAAAGAAGCAAACAATTTAGCAACGAAATACAGGTGGAAAAGAAGTAGCTAAATGAAAATTAGTCCATTACAAAAGTGAGTTATAGACAATTGTGAAGAAGCAGTAGATTAGAGAAGATAGGAAGCTTATGTACAGAGAACTCGAACCCTATATCCATCAAAACCCATGTAGTTGTTGGATTATTCGACGTTTCTTTATTAGCACCACATTCTAATAGATTAGGTTAGTAACTACATATGATTAATTTTATTGCTGTTAACACAAAGATTGCCGATATTACAAAAATTAATGTACGCTATATTAACTACATTTATCTGTGTATTTGATAAACCAAAAGTAATCCATTAGGTATAAAATTGAATTGGTGTTCAATGAATGACACCTTTATAGATCTCCAGATCTCCCACCTTGTTGCCACAGTAAATTAATTGAATTGTACTAAAAAACCTCCACCTGGATCATCGAACCGGGCGGGCCGATGAAAAAACTATTAAAACGTCGAACAACCTTCCAAAAACACTAATTATGATGGACATGACAATAAAAAATAGGATCGAAATTGCGCTGTAGTTGGTCATCGCGTATGCCCATCACCATCAATCGAACGATTAAAAAAAGAGAAAAAAAAGGTAAAAAGCCAAAACACTTAAGTATTTGACAAAAATAGCCGATCCATCTTCGAATTTATGTGACACTCTGAAAAACTGCATGAAAAAATATCAAAAACATTACATTAAAAAACTCAGTAAATACCTTCCTTTCTATTCGTGACTTAATAGAATTTTTTATGTTACAGTAATTTATTTACGTCATTGATAAAAAAATAGTTGCGAAAACTTTAAAGTAAAGTGAGGTGATAACAAAATATAGAAAGCGATAAAAGACCTTCAACACTCTCAAAGAATTTTTCTAATGAATAAAAATGTATACAAAAATGAACGAATCGTAATAAAACTACCATTTTTATAGAGTTCAGTTCAGTATTTGAATCGAATGGCAGGCAATCTACCACTGTTAGTAAAATACCTTCTGGGTTAGAATATTTACTGAGTTATGCATAAAACACGTTGATTGATTTATCTATACGGGTGAACATCAAATGTTATTACCTTAAGCCCGGCATTCTGTACATCGAATTGTCGCCGAAGCCTATTTATGAAATGCAGTAGAAAAGATACGAGCCATAATAGTTGTCCAAATAAGCCGTAAAAATGTTTTACGTCCAACAGTCAACGTGTTTTCGAAGCAGTACGACGATATTTACGATACGACATTGGTATTTAAGCTCTCGTAAAAATATTTATAACGTTCTTACCTAATTGAAACCGCTAAGTTTCTAATAATTGACGTGGGGGATGCCGAAAGGTGACGAATGCGTGGTTTAAATACCAATTCGTTTGTTGCATTTCAATCAACAATAGTAAATTGCAAAGGTCCTCGAACCTGTCAGAGACAGTAAAATTTACCAATTCAAAGCTAACAAAATCTACCTAGTCTGGAATTGAATTTATCGACAAAATTAATAAAGATCTTGTAAAATGTAACGCCTCGAATGAATTAAACGATTATATTTTAATTTAACAATAACTGTATTAAAATTTCTCTTCCTGAAAATAAATGAAAAACCTGGACTGGTTGAAGGATTACTATTGTATGTAACAGCTTCATAATCTATGAAAACGTAAAATTTAATTAAAACTTTTAGTGAAAATGTTCATCTGATTAAAATTTAAATGAGTAGGTACAAGGTACGAGAATTTCAATTATTATTATTTTGCACTTAACAAGTTTTACTATTGTTGATTTCAAGCCAACATGACATATTTAATAAGTAGTCCCATATTTTACACAACATTAAGTTTTATACATGTCCCTCTGGTTCTCGTGGATAAGGAACTCAAACAAATTAAGCAGTCCTTAAATAAACGCGATCGATATGCCATAAATTATCATAAAAACCATTTTAAAACGCTCGTTTGAATTACTAATTCCACCGAACTTGCTAAATACGAAATTACATGGAGAAAGCTGCGGTTGGCAATTTTTGTTAAGCAGGGATTATTTTAGATTGAAATTAAGCTCATTTTTTATTCAAACACATCAGTCATAAAATAACAGTTTTGTTTACTAAAGGGTCGGTTTAAAGAACATTGATTAAATTGGAAAATATTGATGTAACTAGAAATAAAATTAGACTTGAAATTGTCTTTAAAACTAGGAATAGAGAATGTTCTCTTGTATCATTTATTATTTGTATTTAAGTTACTTTTGTGGTTCCATTAAAAATAGTATTAAAAATTATATCATTACGAAGTAAAATAGAAATATTTAACCATCATAACAGAAGATATTAAAAATTGAATATGCAGATAGTGCAGTTTGGTACTAAGAATATAAAATGTTACATGGAATTTTCTTACCCTCCTTGAGGTAAGGATCTCCTTGAATTTATTTTCAAATTAACCTTACCTAATTGCTGAAGAACTACTTTTGCAAGATTAATATTATCCAAACATCCAGACACAATTCTTTCAATAAATTTTGAATAAAAAGCAAAACAACACTTTCCCTCCACCTCCATCAACAAGGCATTTACACCAATTACCCAAACAAGCACGCCTATGCTTACCCTTGCTGCAATTGACGTAGTAGGCTTCTCTAGCATATCCCACAGCCACTTCTGATACTGCGAACACTTGTCTTCCCCGAACTCCTCCTCGTCCCTCTGCCGCAGGGACTCGGCCTCCTTGCGCATCTCCTCGTGCACGTGCTCCTTCCTCTGGTGGTATTTGTGCTGGCAGCAGGACTCCAAGTAGAGCTCGTCCACTCCCCAGTAGTCCAAATCGTCGCTGAACGCCAGCACGCACATCTCGTCCACCAGATGCAGCTTGCCGGTGCGGTAGAAGTTCAGTATGGACGAGAAGGATTTGGGATGGCGGTCGAAGAAGTACTCGTTGTCGATGAGGGAGTAATCGTCGCAGAGTTCGCTCAAGGCTTCGTGGGTGTTGCAGTCTCTCAGACGACCGAGTCTGGAAATTTCGAGCAAGATATATCATAGTGTTGCATCGAAGAGATAATTCGTTAACTAACCTCGTGTGCGGTAGACGATCTAATGTGCTCCAGAGCACTTCATGTTTGACTCCACCTACATTTATCACAACGCGTTTATTCAGTGCTTTTGATCTCATTATCATGAAGGGTTCAGGAGGCAGTGAAGACATAGATCTGTAAAATTGAGATAGTACGGAGGTAGTTCAGTTGAGGTTAGTAAGTTCTAGTACCTAGAATAAGGCCGTTGCAGTTGCAACGGAAGAGGCGGCGGCGGTGGCGGGGGCGGAATGTGTGGCGGCGGCATCTGCTGCGGAAGCGACATCGAAATTTGAGGAATGGAAGAGTATCGCAACTGATCATTGTCCATTGCCGTTGTGAGGTCTGCGAGGGGAGCGCCGGGATCCCAGCGCCGGACGATTACAGCCTCATTGCCGCCGGTCGTGGTGTTGTTTCCGCCCCCACCGCCCGCCTCCCGGTCGCCCGCCGTCTGCATGGGCGATTGACTGGGGGTCGTGGCGGTGTTAGCCGTGCTGGTAACCCACTGCTCTGGTCGCCCTCACCCGCCACTGTCGTCTGCACACCGACCAAGGGTTATCCGAATCTGCAAGAAACGGAAATTTACTACCAAACGGTCGATTCCTGTGCCATAGGGATCTCAAAAATAACCGTAAGATGATTTATTATCGGGCGAAGAAAAATAAAAAGTTAACAGGGTGATTGAATAAGAAGAGGAGTCGGAATGTAATTTAATTTCAAGCGTGAAAGGCGGCAATGTATATAAAGTATTCCGTGCGCGGAATTGCGTGGATCAATCAGCTGCTTTATTTATTTCTCTCCAGACTAATAAACATTTCCAGTCTTAATCTGAAGCAATGTAACGCTGCGCTCCTTCTGTTTTATTTTCCTTCGATATCGATAAGAGCCGTAATGGAAATTCCACGGCTAACAATTTAGATTCGAACAATAAAACGCTTCTCGTGTTCGAAGAATTCAATTTACTTTTAAAATAAGCGACTGGCATTAACAAATTCATCGGCAAATGTACTTTTGTTATTTGTCCTTTCTACGAATCAATTTATCGATGAATAATTACCAACAAACTGAAGTGTATTTCAAGTTATTAGTTTCATATTTACCTACTCCATTTCTAATATTATCGCGACGAATTATTCGAGTATTCATTCACTCGATTCCTTTCAGGATTCCAACCAAAACATCGGAATTGTTAGTAAAACAAACGGGGGAAAAGCGAACAGCGGCAATCCTCGTGATACACAAAAAGCATCCCTCAAATGTTACTCCATTTATATATGTCCAAATCAGATTTAGAGAGTGCTTTGCCAGATTAACAAAGGATTTCTCCATTAAGTTTTCGTCTTTAATGTCGCCCCCATCGTATAAATCAGATACTACACTTAAGCGTCTTCCTAAAATTTGTGCGAGGAAATGTTGAGCTTTGGAATTTTTTTTAAATCGAATTTATTATTAAAACGATACAAAATTTAGTTATTTAATACCACGTGAATTCCAATATGCAGTTATTTATGAACCTCCTGCGTCTACTTCTGCTAATCAAAAGCGGAGTAATTACGCAAATGACTCGGAAAACTCATTTTCGCAATAACATTTAATATCAGTAATAACATAATAAACACCCCGCATCAGGCTATAGGGGAGACTTAATGGAATGGAGAATACCGTTAGGGTGCTACTGTCGCCATTAATGTCCCTAATTGGAGGAGCAGAGCGAAATTGTCCCGTGTAATTGACCTAATTCATCCATTATCATTCACTCCGTTGGCGGGACCAGTTTTTCAAAAATGCAGACACCACCTTGACATCACTATTTTCAAATCTAAACGCGTTTAATTGTGGAAAATTGTTAGAAAATAATTTAACACTGCGCTAATGGTCGAGCGTTTGCGGCGGTGAAACTCGAGTAAAATTGTGCATTTAATGCGCGGCGACCGAACCGTGAAGTGGAAAGGAAAACTTGCCGAAAAGCCGGAAAATTTATCATCGTTACGCGGTACTTCTGAAACCGATGAACCGTATATCTACCACGGTGAGAAACAATATAATTACGAATCCACTTTTAACGAGATAACGTTTAATTACATCGAATGAAGGAGGCCATCCGCTGTCGCCGGAATCGTTGGCAAAATTCCAAAGAAACCGAGTTCGGGCTTCGAATAATTACAACAAAACGGCGATTGCGATGATAAGAGAGTGTGATTTGTGTCCTAAAAGATTGGAATAAATCAGCAACAACTATTGATAGAGAAAAATGAGGGTTCCAGATGCATTAATCATCCCTATTGAGACTATTAATTTCAGCTTGACCAAATCGGGCTATTTCACTAAAGTTCCAGTTTAATAATTGAGCTCAATTTGGAGCTGCTGTCGAATACATCAAGCGCTATGATGTATCGTCCACGCCGGCGTGATGAAGGAGGTTCGAGTACCTGCCTTTCGAGCAGCCTAATTATGTAAAGTGGAGGAAAGTCGATTTTCGCTGAGAGAATATGATAATTATATGCTGTTTGAATGAAGCGTGCGTCTCTCGGATCGTTGTCGCATCCAATTTAGAAAAGTTTCTGACGAATGAAAGCACTGGTGTGCTCACTAATAAAATTATTAATCAGGTTTTCGATCAATGCGCTCCGAAAATTCTATTAAGGAAGTTGTACGAATTCTCTTGATGGAAAACTACCTCTCTATTATGGAAAATAGATAATAAACTGCTTTAGCGAATAAATCGATTCGAAAATAATCGGACGAAATGAACTTTTGCCAGAAGTTTCGTACGAAATAGCGGGAATTCTTAGCGGGCTACCAACGCAATAAATTTCAACCTTTATGGCTCCGGGACGCCACGCATTGGATCCGCAACGGAGTTTCCATCTCGTTGGATTTTTTTCATAGAGCGTCGGGTTTCACTTAATGCTCCAACGGGAAGGTTGTTGTATGTGTGTGTGCCAGCTAGAGAATAATTTAGGTGCGCGGAGCGATCGTTTTTTAATTTAGAAGATCGGCGCTTGCCAAAATCCTGAAGGAAATGTGAATACCGCAATGGGAATAACTCAAACGAGGAAGGTCGAAATAGGATCTGCCGAAGTGTTTTTTTTTTCAAATAGAATAAATATTCTGTTTCCTGTTATGCTAAAATCCGTGTTAATTCATCGGGCTATTTTTAGTTGCAATTATATTCGCTGCGGGATATCAACAGGGCCGTTGTTTCGACGAATCAACAATGTCATTCTAAAATTAGTAGTTTTTTTCGGTTAATTTTTGGATCGAATCCAAATTGCACCTCTAACAAACCGCATTATCAGATAGTAACAAACAGTTCGTAAAACTGCGTTTAATAATACGCGCAATTAAATATTTTAACGGTTATCGATTCTACCTAATTTAATTGGTTATTAAAATTAAGTACGGATTTTCTAATGAAATTCAAGTCGCGAAAATGATAAATCCAACGAAACGGATCTGTATGTTACAAAATTTCTAAATATTTTCAATGGTTTACTTACACCTGTTAGTTATTTGTAATAAAGGAGAGTCTAATTAACGTTTGTACAAATACTGATCAAAGTACAAAGATCTAAGTAATGCGTATTTATTTAAATTGAAAGTGAATCGATTTACCTACTGGGTTTATTTTAAGCTTTGAAATCGAAAATATTTGTCGCGGATTTTAGCGGTCAACGTTCGTGATCGAAATTAGATGAGTAAAAGTAAAGATTTTAGTGACAAATTTAATACAACTTCGATAGAAATTAAAATCGGTAGAAATATGTAAAAAGGGCTATATTTTAATTGTTTATTTTATTATTTTTTACTCACTCAAACTATTTTAATGGACACTTTAAAGCACTCTAATCGATGAACTATTTAAATGATGCGAATATGTGAATTTAATATGAATTAATCAATTTTTTAACATTATTAAATTGCATTGTTAAAAGCAAAACACGAGTAGATAAAAATAAAAACGATTTGTATCAATAGGTGTTAAATTTTTTTATATTTACGACAATAGGGGCATTGTGACAAAAGCGAAAAACAAAACACATGTCGCTTTCAATAGGAAAATTTATTTTTGGAATCCACTGACAATATTTGCAAGCAATAAAAAGCGTTATTCATTTTTCAAAAATAAACTTTCGAAATATTTTGCAGGTCTACTTGGATTATGATTATAGCACCGTCCAATTACCCGGAAAATTGGCAAGCTATATTGCATGCTAGTTGATTGTACTTTAATTTTCATTTGCAATGAAGTTTTTCACTAATTTAGCATTGCCAAAATATTGAAATAAAATATAATTTTCCTCTATAGTTAATCTCAAAATTCCACTTGTATATTTTGGTGAATTTACCTGCGCTATTATAATTTCGGGCACTGTATAAATATTTCTTCATTGTAGAGGTATGTGGTTTGGTACTAAAAGGAGGTCGGTGAACAGATACATCAAGTATCGAAGAAAATCTGTTTATTATTTTAAATTCGTTCATTATGTTAAAATCAAAATCAATTCCTTCTAAAATAATCAATTAACCAAACAAAACAAAGGAGAAAAATCAAAATTTTGGTTCTAATCCTAAAGGAAAAAGTTTAGCATTCAAAGAGGATGCAGTTGCGCATGCATAATATATCATTAATGCACTATTATAAATGTACTACAATAATATTCAGTGATGTATATTCATATTACATAGTTTAACATAATTAATGCACAATAAATATCCCCAAAACGTATTATGCTAAAATGAATTTGCCGCAATTCAATTTAATTTACTTTTGGAATCCAATGAATCATTCAGTAGGTAGAGTATTTTCCAGTAGACCTGTAATAGTTTAATCCCAAATACCTCCTACTTCTAATATAATATATTCAATTTAATTTTCTTCCTATTAATTTTTATTCGTCGTTCTATTTTGTGTTAATAATTCACATCTGTTTTTTCCTATTGGAAAACCCGTGTAGCTTCTGTACGTAGGTATCGATTAGTTCGCCTTGAGCACGAAAATGGGTTTCCGGCAAATTGGGATCACGACATAATGTTCAATTGGTAATGCCCTTCTCGATAGTAGCGCTTTTTTATCGACAATTGACGCGGGCCGAGGAGCAGTCGAAGCGGAAAACAAACTTAAAAGGTTTGCTTGTTTGTTCAAAGGGCATGTTCACAATTATAGAATTATAGAATGATCCATTCACGAGTATGCAAAACATTTTGAATGAAGTATTACAGGTACTCAAAGTTGTATATTAGGTATAAATTGTATGTTCTTTAATTATCACAGTACAACTTAAACTACATTTAGGTAAATGTTAATTAAAATTTGATCGTTTTTTATGCCGATCGCGAGTATTAAATTGCATGAAATATGTTTTCAATAAAACTTTCGTTTTATTTTAAATTTAATTGAAACCAATAAAAACGCTAATCTGAAGCATGCAAGTAGGTATGCCTTGCAAGAACTGTTTTTAGTTGGGAATCGTAAAAGTTTTATTGGGGATTTTCCAGTTTTCTGATATTATTTAGAGCGAATAAATTGAACGCGCCAATCAATAAATATCGGTTAGTGAATTCTAT